GAGCGACCGAGCGACCGTAATCTGGCCAGGCTGTGCGAAAGAGTTGGTAATGTTTCTTCCAGCACACAGCACCCCGATGAACTCACCTTGGGCGCCCGCAGCTCAAGCCGCCATACAGCAAAGGAACATTGACATAAAACATCCTCATTTCCAGTAAGCAGTGCCCATCGAAAGCCATCGAAAAACTTTTCGAAACCACCGAAAAGCCAGTCACAGACCATATCAATGAACAGATGCGCGTCTCACATGGCTCATGGTCGATAAACAAAGTCAGTGACTGTGGCTGTCACTGTGACTTTAACAACAAAGTCAAGATATTAGGCAATGAAGGGCAGCAGAATAGATGATAGCAGCATTCCACATACCCAAACGTTGAACTTGACATTCTTGTATGACACCGTTTCCACGTTGAATCCCACTGTAGGTATTGTCGTAACCGACTGGCCCAATTTAAGCTTGTAAAGGATTGCTGAAACTGATTTGTCAAGGAGATCTTGGGGATTACAACAGACACATAGCCTCTGAGAGTGTGGAGCTGATGGAAGCAGCAAACATCTAAGAAGACAATGTGAAAATGCCCTCTTTAACGCTGAATGCACACAATAAACATGCATCAAAGCATACTCTGTCCCCCACAGAAAATGATCTTCAAACATTAACAAAGCCCCACCATAGTTGTCAGAAGGCAAAACACCTCCTGTTTGAAAATGACCTCATTTATCTTTGAGTACAATCTCAGGGCATGCCACTATGAGCAGAATACACTACTTGGTGAATTAAGCATGTGCACACCTTGGCGTGGGTTGGAACCAGGGCACAGAGGAAGATAAGCCACCTTGTTGCACCTCCCTACCACTCTAATGATTATGAATCATGCACATAAACTCATGCTACAAAGGATACTGGTTTTTCCAGAGGCATCCAGTCCAAGCATCAAAATTCGTATTTCCTTGTTGCCAAATATCTTGGAGAGAAATTTCCCCATCTTGAGACCATACACAGGTACCCTGAGCTTGCAGCCTGAAACAAGAAAGTACTGGTAAAGCAAAATACATTGTAGTTAACGACACATCAAAAACACAGGATTCGGCAGGACACAGCACATCTGATTGGTCAGCAAACTGTCAGGCTCTGTGCGATTTAAATTCCTTGGTCGAGCATTGCTAAGTACAACTAATGAGCCTCCAACAAATTTAATGATCTTTTACACAGGTAAGTGGTTTGCAGGTTCACAAAATATTTTCAGTTAAATTGGTTCAATAACATGAAAATATGATCCAAATGGAGCAAGATTTGGCATAAAATACAATGAAAACTTAACCATCTTCAAATTCAATCCTTCTGTTTTCATGAATTTCTTAACAACAGGAGCTATCTAACCATACCACAATGACTGCAGGCATGCTTAAAAAATATCTTAATTCACTTGAGACTTGTCACCATATGAAACCTCTTCAAACCACAATGTCGCAAGCAGGACATTACCAACATAAAGTTGCTGCAAAAAACATTATTAACTGCAAAATAACACCTTGCACGCAATATATCAAACTGCCTAATATCCTAAATTGTATCCTGAATTGGATTATAATCCATCTCCCATGGTACAATCTGGCATGCTCAGTGGTATAAAGCAGCTGATGATTGCAACAAAGAATGCTGATGCCAGCTGGTAATAAGCTGTCACCAGTTACTGCATTCTGTGGTGGCATGAGAAAGTAAAGGTTACTCCTCCTAAACTACCAAACTATTAAATATTGCAGAGGACCACACAGAACCAGGTGAGTTTGGTTGGGCCAGACTAGACTGAGCTAGGCTAGGTCATCTCTTAAGTCAGTCTTTTTAATAGCTCATTGGCCAGCCATTCATCAGGCTGGCCAATCCCAGCTCAGCCTTTTTGGTCTCACCTTAACATGATAATCAATATCTTACTAGATAATAAACAGTTAAAATGAAATCCACAGAGATGTTATGACAAAACACAACAGCCAGCATCAGCTTCCTGGCTACATTCAGCACAGCATGCTGCCATGCATGCCAGTTTCCAGTGTTGACAGTGAAGATCAGCCAGGTTGCAAAGGTGTCAGACCAGTTATCAAGATACTTCAGGCACGTCCAACTCTACCCCAAATAGGGTGGTCAATTTATCTGTTGGGGGCAGGAGCCCAGATAATCTGATGACCATGGGGTTCCCAAGATTGTCTCTACAATCTTATTCACAACTCCTGGCTTTTCATTACCCCTACTGATCAAGGTACCCAGAGTCAAATGACACTGAATTTATCATCCAACAATTTGCATTCCATCTTTACTTACAAAATTTTTAGCAATTAGAAATATATTGAACACCTTGAAATACAAACAGTAAAATCTAATGGTCTGAAAGAGGTACTTCACATTAACTGGTGAGCAGCATCATACAGATGTTTTCAACTGGTCTGCCTGTTGAGCACAAAAAGCAGAGATCACAAGAAAGATGCTTTGATCATGTGACAAATTTTGGTCCAAGCACTTCAATTTAATTGGTACATCTCTGGCTAAAGGAATGCTGCTAAGGCTGTCACACCCAAGGCTGTACAAGATAATATGGGAGCAGTGGACAACTGACAAATAAAACAAACATGGTATGCACTTTTCTGTTCCACACATCATCTAATCCAGCCCAATACCTGTGTCAAGGGATCATGTGCTTCCCAAGAATAAGGTGAGCTACCCTAACTGAAGAATTGCTGCTCTAGAATACCCAAAATGTACTAAAAATATTAATTCTTGCTTCAATACTGACCCAACAAGATCTCATTGCAATCTGCCATGTTTTGTGGGCTGGTGCAGGCTGGGGTAGGGAACATGGGATGCTACAAGCCTCCAAGCCAGCCTGTGAGAACTCCATCCACAGTACCAAATCCCTACTTTACATATGCCGAACCTGAATCATGCCCTCACAAAAGTAGCAGCTGAGCAGCTGACAAAGCAGCTGATGAGTGAATTGTGAATGCTATCATTGCATAATCATCACTTTCAAAATTTAGAAACAATGATATTGTGCAACAACATTTATTACACTTCCTCCAATGTATAAGCCTATATACATCTTCGTTCCAAATTGGCCTCATGGGTAAACATGCCTACTGTCACAAATGTCATGCTCTACAAAAATCGGAAGGTCTAAAATGAATCCATTATCTTTGCTCAGCCTGGTATATACTTTCCATTTACTACAATGTTCATATAAAAATAAACCATCTTCAGTAGGTCAAGCACCAGCCAGTCCATCACCCGGAGCCGACGATCCCGACATCTCAAGCCAGCGAAGTTAATGCGGTTTACCCTTGTCCCATCTCCAGTGCAAGCGACCACGAAGAGTACTCAAAGTAACTCTGAATTCATGCCTTATTACCTTTTCAACCTTCATACATAAAATACGGACCCGATCCCGCGCGGTCCGGACCAGACGCCCAAACCTGAATGCAGCACGGGGCACGGCGCCGTAACAGGCCTAGCGTGCGATAAACCGCTGCGTGGCGCTTACGCCGCAACGCGGTGCATATGTCACGAACGGGCCGCTCCCATCAGCTGCTGACAAGTCAGCTGACTTCATGGGGCTACACTACGCACGAAGGAAGGGGGCGCTGTCAACCTTGGATTTCGACATTACCCCGTCAAGAATGCACGTTGTTTACATTGTGGTCGGCGCGGAAGGGTGGCCGTATCTTTCTCAGTTTAGAGAAAGCTTTACTCCCCTCGACTTTAAAGTAAAATGCGTGTTCTCCGTGGCTTATCTACTATGAACGCACCAACAGGATAATCAATTCGTCGACCCCCACACCACCATTGTCCTAGTCCCCCAAATATAACAACTGTCTCGCAACCATTTCTCTCGTGACACGTGACACTTAACCTCATTACGGAAGCATGCATTCGAGTACCTAGACTGTTGCCGAAAAAGAAGGCAGCTTAAATGTGGTGTGACGTAACATTTTTTTTAAAAAAATGCCTCTACACCACAACCGTGTGCTGCAGCCGTCAGCCCACGTTAAGCAATGCCACGCCTGCATTGGTTTCTTCTCGTCACACATTCGTTGCTAGATGCAGGTTCGGCACCTGCCCATAATTGGCATGTGGGGCTCAGTCATGTATTTCGGTCACTTAATACCAGCAGGCGGCCACGACAGAATCACGCATCACACGTGGAGCGGCGAGACACGCCGAACGGCTGACTTAACACAACATACAGAAAATACCCTACAATTCAACTCTGACACCGATAGAGGAAATACTTATCAAACAGCTAAGATCTAGATGGTCGACAATGAGGAAACCCTCGAGGAAGTCTCGAGCAGGACTAGCACTAGCCGATAAACCGCGACCCACGAACGGCCCACTAACGGACCGTCACCGCGCAACCCACAGCAGAGACCGAGGCCCCCAGCCCAACCCGAGACGAGCCGTTTTATGACAAAAATCCCACGCGTCAAGAATACCCAGCTTCTTCTCACAGCAGCAATGACGAAGCGCTAAGGGACGGTCGCTGCACCGAGCCCGGGGCGAGGGGCTTGAGCAGCCAACAAGTAACAGACGCGCAGGATCCATCGATAACCGAACGCCGAGTGGCAGAAACGGGTCGGAAAGTCAGGCCAGGCGCCACGGCACGTATATCTAATTGTCTCGGGTGAACAGTGACGTCACGAACCAAACGTTTGTACTTCTCGCCTCCACGCAGAACGCAGGCACTCGCACACAGCACGTGCCCCCAGTCTCCGTCAAGGTCAGGGCGGCGCGGCGCCGCCCGCAGCGGCCGTGGCCCGCCGGACCCCGGTCAGGCACCGTTCCCAGCGGACGGGCGCGGTTGGTCCCGGCCGGCAGCCGCCGCGGACGGACGCCAGGCGACACTGACCTGATGAGGCGTCAGTCCACCAGCGGTCACGGTTCTCGGTCAAACGTAGGCGGTCATCGATCATATCACACCTCTCCCCATCCACCCACCCACCCACCCACCACACTGAAATCACAGCTCTGCGGCAGAGCGCGCACAACTTCATCACGCATTTTCTGATCACACGGTTGGTCCAGACAGGCACCACGTCGCTCAGGTGCTCCCACGGCAGTCCGGTCTGTCAGCTCGTCGGCCATCTCGTCTGTCGTTGAAAATGAGCGTCTGCCAAACCAGCGCTGTGTCTCGCGCCCCGACCGGAGGTAATTAAACGTCAGTGGAAGAGGCCACCTCAGCCACGCTCGCGCCGTCACACGTCTCAGCAGTCCCACCCGCGAACAAGTCACACAGTCTGACGGCGTCCGTAGCACGCGAAAATCACCCGCAGCGGGTCCCGCTCCACAGCCACACTCGTCCCTGTCCGCCAGTCGCGACCGCAGGCCACACGCAGGCTCTCGCACGTCTAGTGGAGGTAGAGGGAGAGAGAAATATAGAGAGAGACACACACACAACATTACGGCGCTGAGGACGGCCGGGCGCGAGCGGCACAACACCGGAGGAGGGCGGGGGCTCGCCGACGCGTCGCGGCGCCGCCCAGCGTCCTGATCGACCGCGCACCGCCACGGGATCTGGCGCGCGGCCCGCTCGCCCGCCACACCACACGCGCGCGCCGGCGCCGGTCGGGCCGGCCGCCGGCTCGCTCAGTAGGCGAGGCCGGGCAGCTCGCGCGCCTTGATGCGTCCCCCGTCGCCCTCCGAGACGAACCGCTTGCGGCCCCTGCGAACATGAAGCGGCAGTGAGCGGCGCGCGGCTGGCGGCGCGTCAGGCCGGACACGCCAGGCAAGCGTTACCTACAGCCGGGAGACAGCACGCCGTCAGGACGCCACCACAATCAGACACCAGTAAGGGAGCACGCCCCCGCCCCGGCGCGACCCCCGCTCGTGACACGGCTCCAGCCGCGTCCAGACCCGGTCCTGGCCCTAGCCCGGCTTCCACCGCGCTCCTCCGCTCTCCCCCGTGCCACGCTCACTTGGTCGGCATGCGGCGCATGGTGTCGCGCGAGATGATGCCCTTCTGGAAGGCCAGCGTGACGATGAGCTCCAGCAGGCCGTAGGCGTCCGGCACGTCCAGCTGTGTGTCCGGCATGGCGTCGTAGACGCGCAGGAAGCCCTGCGGTCGGCGACGGCGGCGTCAGCGATGGGAGGGGCGTACACGCGCAGGAGTTCCTGGACACGCCTCTTCCCAGCCACGGTGAGGGGAGCGGCGCGGGCTCGCCAGAAGCCATGTCACGGCCAGAAACGGCGCCAGGTACCGCTGCCCAGAGCGGTTAAGGCCCAGGGAAAGGCATCGCTACCGAAGGGTGGCTCACGAACTGCTTTGCTGAGGAAAGGAGAACGCACGGATAGCAGTGCTCGCGAACACCGGATCAGCACACATTTCACAGCAAACGACAACTGGGAAATGTGAAACATCCCATGCAGGCATGTGCTTTTTACTGATAAAAATCAACATGCATCACATGTCTAGTGCTCAGTTTCTGAGCCTTGACTTGCTGATCATTATGACATCATTTAAGTCCGCGGCAGCGTGCGCTGATCACCAGTCACTGAGCTCTGCCGGTGAAGCGGCGGACCGTCGTATCTGCACCTCTGCACTATCACTATCTGCACCTGCACAGAGGACCCACCTCGTCCATCTGGTTGGTGGTGAGCACGCAAGCGCCGTACATGGTCTTGAGCAGGCGCACCATCTCCTGGATGGACCTGGTGTCGGAACGCTCAATGGCCATGGTGACCGCCTCGTACACCAGCTCGTGGTGGAAGTGCGGCACCTCCAGCTCCTTCAGACACCTGTCCCGGTCGACGGCGCAGCCACGGGGTGAGGCACGTCAAGCAAAAGCGCAGCGCACCCCGGCGTGGGCACCGCAGTGGGTTGGGCGCAGCGCCATCACGTGATCGCAGCGTCCACCACGCGTCTACGGCCAACACACCCGCACACGTCTTGACAACGCCGCGGCAGCCGGCTGCCCCGGCCACAGCGCCGGGGCCATGCCTGCCGCGAACCGACACCGGCACCGCGCCGGCGAGCGGCCGCACTCACCGGATGGCCTCTTCCACGTCGCTGGAGCTGAGGAACTCCTTCAGCAGCAGGATCATCTGCTTGACCAGGTAGCGGACGGGGCGGCGCGGCCCGCCCGTGCCCCACACGTTGTCCAGGCGCACCATCCCGTGCTTGACGCTCATGAGCAGGTCGGCACGGTCCAGCGCCTTGCTGCAGCCAGATCAACATGACGCTGTTCATCAACACGGTCGACTGCGACGTTACAAGCGTCATAAACTATCACACCTGGCTTTGAGGGCAGCTGACTTTATGAAATACCACATTCGTCCACAGTGTGTAGCGGATATGACAATAAAACGCGACAACAATGCGCTATCTCTGCCGGTCGCCAAACTATGACGCAGCGGAACAGCCCACGCGCAAAACCGGTGGCATGCCACGCGGCAACGAGCAAGGACAGCCCAATTCAACCGCGGCCAGCCAAAGGGGTTTCCATACGACTTTACCACCTGCTTTCCAAAACGTGAGTCAACACGGCAGACAACTCGTCATTATCGCAGCCACAACACGACCACTCAACCGGCCCGAACCGCTGACGTCACTCGGCGTCACTGTTGAGCGAACACGCGACGCCCGGCAGCCGGAGACAGCCCGGCCGCCGCCACTCACATGGCGTGCCGACACTCCACCCTGCCCTTGTGGCTGGACAGGTACTTGGGCGGCAGACAGTCGTCGGCCACGCAGCGGGCCATGAAGTTTCCCAGGATGTCGGACGCCTCCGGACAGTCCAGCACCAGGTCGGGCAGCGAGGCGAGCAGCGCGTCAAAGCCTGAGAGCGGCACCCGTCAGTGGAGAGGGGAAGATGAATGGGCGCCCGAGCGTCGCCCGGAGCCGAGAGCAACGGCATCACAGCAGACGAACACACCGCTTTTACCGTGGTGTGCGCCAATATGACGTAATGACGCAACCAGTCACGGTATGGCAAAGCGTTTAATTTTATGACACATCTCATTAAAACAAACACCAATATGATATTCAGCATGTCTGCTGACGTTAAACATCTTACCCAATCCCTACTCAGGCAATGACGACAGTCTTGCACAGGAAAAGGAAACTCTGTCCCACGCATTGTGAGCCAATCTAAGATAATCTACCCAAAAGACAATAACCTGTGTAGATGTGCACGGGAATTGCATCACTTCACAACCTTTTGTTACCGGCATTGTTCGGCGTCCCAGCCAAAGGTTTGACTGTCAGGGTAACTACGGTTTAAAACATTTGTTTTGCGTTCAGCCGTTTTAAAGCGACTTGAACTGGTTCACGGCCGGGCAGCCCGCGGCTCTGGGCGGTGGCACGTCTTAAAGATTGCACCAACAAACGCCCTTACTGAGCCCAACAGCAACGATACAAATAAAATCGGGGACGCGGAGAAAGCTGACAATTTCGCCGGACATTGATAGCTGATTGCTGGCCCCGATCGCACGAGGAACCTTTGCGAATCAATAAAGGTGTTCCTACTTTGAGAACATGCACACTGGCAATGCCGCTCAACAACTGAAACTCAACCACAGTTTCTTAGAATTTAACGCACCATTAAGCTGAAGGTCAGTATTTCCTTGTACTGATGCCATCAGCTCGGATACTTCACTATTAGGCGCGGGCATCGGGAGAAGCCTCGGTAAGGCCCGAGGGCCCGCACCGCGATCGCGCAATCACGTACCGCGACAGATGTCGGTCTGTGTCAGACACTCCTGGTAGAGGTCCGACAGCAGCACCGAGGTCATCTCGCGGTGCGACGGCTTGTGGTCCATGGCCACCTCCACCATGGCGACCACCACCTGTCGCAGCGCGTCACCATCAACCGGACATCCCATCGCGCACGCGTGCGCCGGCTGACAGCGGTCCCGGCCACCGCGCATCGGACATAGACGCCGTCCCATGCACGCGGCATGCGCGTAACTCACGCACACGCACCAGAGCTGCACTGACGACATTCTCTCTCCTCTCCTCTCCCTCTCTCCTCTCCTCTCCCTCTCCCTCTCCCGTCTCCAAAAAACAAAACTAATATACAGAGAGAGACTGTAGAGAGCGAGTCCAGAGAGATAAGTATAGAGAGAAGAGAGAGAGAGATAGAGCGAGAGAGATCCGAGAGAGATGAGAGCGATAGAATATCGAGAGAGCGATATCTCTATATCTTATCTCTAAGTCTGCTCTCTAGATATATGATTATCGAGTATCTAGTATAACTTAGATCTTTGAGTTAGCTAGCTCTATGGCTCGCATTATCGATAGCGATCTCATAGAGAGAGATCGCTCTCTCTCTCTCTCTCTGATCTCTCGCTCTCTCTCTCTCTCTCTCTCTCTCTCCTCTCTCTCTCTCTCTCTCTCTCTCTCTCTCTCTCTCTCTCTCGCTCTCTCTCTTCTCTCTCCTCTTCTCTCTCTCTCTCTCTCCTCTCTCTCTCTCTCTATCTCTCTCTCTCTCTCTCTCTCTCTCTCTCTCCTCACTTACGAGGTAGCGGATCTTGATGTGAAGCTGGCCCATGCCAGTGCTCCGTCAGCGCCGCGTCCACCTCGGCCGTGTCGCCATGGTCGAAGTACTCGAGCACCAGCGTCTCGGTCAGCTTCTGCAGCAGGCAGCGCGAGCGGCGTCAGAGCTGGAGTCGTCATGGCGGCCCACCCCTCGAGGTCCAGGCTCGGCCACGGAGCACACGGCAACGGCGACTGCCACATCAGTTGGTATCTGTGAGACGCCTCGCGGTCTTGTGAAGCACTCGCCGCGTCAGTTGCGTTTATGTCCGTGATGTTGTGATAGGGCGACTAGGTCTAGCGATCAGATATGAGAACAAACCCAGGCTTCTCATTTTCACACCAAATCGATGTGAGACAATGGTGCCAAGCCAAAGTCAAAACCAAAGCCAGTGGCACGGAAGTCTGGAACTGCAATGGTGAAGCCTAAACTAGTGGCTTCACATTTTTAAGCACATAGCCTGGTCCGAAGGCAGGCTTTGGGCACACAAAAACAATGAGTTTCGAGCATAAGAAGTTTCAGCCAAATGTGAACAAGAGCATGAGGCCGAGCCTGAATGAAAATATACTGTAGAACACTTTTTGTGCAGACAGAACCATTTTGGTGTCTGCAAACACGATCAGAAATTGCAAACATTACCAAGACGAATCATCAGAGTTTTACATAGTGATGAAATATTTCGGCTGGACCCCCCCCCAATGATTGTACTGATTTGTACACATTGCAAATGCTTCTGCTGTCATCATCAGGTGCTGATTGCGCCTGAGAATGACCAGCTAGTTTTTAGCTTTCATGCCTTTTCCTCCCACTGCCTCCAAAAGTGGTGGCAAAATCATTTTGACATGGGAAAACAGGCACGACCTCGGGCGCGTTCGGCCGGCGGATAGTCTCGGAAAATTATCCAGAGGGTTAAAAAAACTTTAAGGAATAGTATCCAGAACTGCGAACACGAGAAATTACCTCACATAATTTTCTGTACCAGAAAGAATCCCAGACAACTTTCAGGGCATAGTCTAGACAGAGAATCTGTTTTGCCATACCTAACTATGACTGCTGGCTGTGCATAGTGTATGGGAGACAAATCTGGAGGATAAGTTCTGGACCAGCTGAACACAAATGAAGAATCTCCTTGGATGATCACCAAAATGATAATTACTCTGAAGCCAAGGCCAGCTTTTAAGAATGATAGGCCAAGAATGCCCAAGCAAATGGTTCTGCATAGCACAAAGTTAAAGCTGATGCTGCAGACAGGTGTGAAGAGTCTCTTGAGACCCAAAGTCCAACACAAAGTCATTAGAAGAAATCTGTACTTTGCAGAGTCAAAGCTGAATCCAGCTTCAGCCCCATATCTGTTAAAGATGCATATTTTACTAGAGGAGAAAGACATGATATTTCTTTTGATTCCTCTACAGCTGGTTTTCTGACCAGCACACCATACACCTCAAGCAGCCTTCCACACATCCTGCTTGACTACAAAATCAAATCCATCCTATGCACTCCTCTCTACCAATGTTATTTCATTGTCATTAACCAACTTATGAATATCCCAGCTTTAGCACATGCTAACTCAGTGGAAAAATGTATTTTGCACTATGTTTTGTCAACCTCTGCACACCACGTGCCCTCAGTGATGATTGGATACTACACCAAACATCACACCACATCAACATCACAAAACAAAACACATCACATCAAAAACATCACATCACATCACAAGTCAAACTCCATTTCAAAGACACATGACACAAAACTGAGTGATGGAAGTGTCAAAATGGAGTTTTCTTTTAACCAGAGCTTCATGCAAGGCTGAGCATTGTCAAAAACCACTACCAATCCTCTCCTTAATACTTCTGTGTTCAAACATCAACTAGGTTTATGTGCCACAGCCATGAGATACAAAACCAATTTTGCATCCTGTACTTCAGGATGCAAATGGCCAGATGAAGCAGCTTCGGCTGAAATACTGCCATATTATTCAAATTCTTTTCTATATAATGACAAACAGCATTACACAGACTCTTTGGCACATAGTTTCAGATATGCCATATTCAACCAAGTAAGAAATAAGGGTGTTTTTGGAACATCTATCTCACAGCTATCTGCCTACCTTGACTTCATCCTCCGTAAGTTCCACAGGAACTGGCTTCAACTGCACATCTTCATCCATGGACTCAGAGTCATAGTTGGGATCATGGGAGTCAACTATGTCACCCTGCTCCTCCAGCTCTGAACCAGGCTTCCCCCAGACACCTTTTCCTCCAGCTCCTCCTGGAAAATTAATACAATGTAGTAACTCAAAGAAGTGATTCAACAGTAGCCTTTGCATTGCTTACATGTACATTATATATATATATATATATATATATATATATATATATATATATATATATACATATATATATATATATATATATACAAACACATGCTCAGAGTTTACTGTTTTCTATCATAATGCAGTTGCTATATCAGTTTCAATTGCTATATTTCATTGTATGCATAAACAAGCACTTTACTAACATACCCTTCTTTGGAAGTCCTCTTCCAAACCCACTCCTGGATCTCCTGCTGTTCTTTGAAAATTTGGGCTGTGACCTTGTTGGCTCTGGCTCTGATATGGAGATTGACCTCAGTCTCTTGGAATTTGCCTTTGCCTGGGCACGAGCTTGTTCTTGAAGCGAGTTGCTTCTGTCAATCTTTTTAGTACTTGCAGTTATATTACCATTGACAGTGGCACTAGCACTATTTTGGATGCTGTTGGCCTCCATGCCTTTACCAGCTGAAGCTCAACAAATACTCAGCAACTGGATGTGTATCCAACAACAACACCTTTCAATACAGCTACTCCTGAAATGAAAGGTAAGCCCAAATAAGCATGTCAACAGCTCAACACATCACATCATACCTTTAATCTTCCACAAGCAGACAACTTTGAAATTGATTGACATACAATGCCTAAAATGAATCACCATACCTTGTGAAAGAAATGTGCCTTGTGCCTGGTTCGGAAAAACTGGTGAAATGTATGCATGAACCGGACAGCGATCATAAACAAAATGGGCCTTGACTTCAAGGTCATGTTTGCTTGGGCACACGATTTCATTAAGCAGAGCAGTGCAATGCATGTACCAAGACACGAAGACGTCTGCCATTACACTTACTTGCAAACGTTTTTTCCTGCGATATGGAGAAGTTATACGCCTGGCAGAGTAACAGCGTAAATATGGTCGACACGTGTGGCTCCGGGGGTTTCACGTCGGGACGAGTCCCGACACAAGCGCAGACCGTAAGCCGTAGATCAACCAAACTAAAGATACGTAGTCGAGCCCAAAGAAAGCACAGCTTCAGCCTCAACAAGCAAAAATGTACCCGAACTTCACCCACCCGCTGCCACCGAAACCTCCCGCCCAGACGCCCGCCCCTCACGATCCACTTCCGCTGCGCACAAAAACAAAGAACATGGACGATGTTCAAGCTTCGGGGTTCTACCTCAGCACAAGGCATCAGCTGTTGCACGAAATAGCTCATGAGAATCTTTGAAGTTCTAATTATTTGCGGCGGAGTATACGATTTTGATCCAACTAAGCACAAAATATTATTTATACTAATGTTTTGACTAATTCATTGATTTTGTTAGCAACTTATTTGTAAGAAACTATCATATATGTCGTCCTCAGACCTGCTCATGACGTGAACAGCTGATGAAGGTTTTCTAGTAACGGTTCTGAGGATTCAAGGCCACAATACAACTCCCCCTCGATGTTGCGATTACGAAGTGCGACGTAGATGGTAGTTTTACGGGATGCCGCTATGTTTTGGTGCCGCCACTATCTCAAGGTCGTGCCATGTTATGGAGTATATTTCGTAAACAGTTTTGAAATGTGTGGTGTTTTCGATATGAAATAGCTGTCATTTTAATTGAAGCATTGACATGGTAGTGCTAGAGTAGGACCCAATGCCCTGCCAACGTTGGAAAATTGTACGACCTTACAGCCCTGCCATCGGCTTAAACGGCACTGGCTGCATTGCCTTGCACCACTGGTGTTTGTTTAGTGGCCGTTCGGACCGCATGGACCGCAGTACTTTTGGGAGATTGAATTTGGTCTATATTTCGACGGCCTTGATCATGAAGAATGGTTTCAAAAGAGAGATGAAACGTCCCATATTTTGGGGTGTGGTTACGCCATGGAAGTCGTAACGAAAACTAAATCATCCAAGTCATTCCTGGACTCTCCCCCGAGCTTGTTGAAAGCTTCATGAATTATCCTGTGGGAATGAAAAGCGAAAATCCCTGATGTCCGAAACCCACACCAGAAACTGCATTTCAACACGGATTTGACCTACGTATTGTGTTAAGCGTTCTAGGCAGTGAAAGCTTGCAGGGATGCTTGGAGCTTACTGCAGTCACTTCCAATGATACAACGTACTAGTTTATTTGCGAAAAGGTCGCTTGTTAGGGACAGTTTCACCAGAGTTGTAGATTTATTTTCAAATTTACGAATTCGTGACTTTTGTAATTTAGTAGTTGGATACTCCCTTTTATGGCGCGGTAATGACAAAACAGTGGTTGGCTTACATGGCTTCTTGCAAAAAGGCTGAGAAGTCAAATCTTGCGGATTAGGGTTGGGGCAAGTTCGGGGAAGGTATCTGCGACATTACTGGGTATTTGAATTTGACTGACTGATTCTGATCAAAGGCTGCTGTTGAAGTTTGTTGTAAGATTATTTCAATTAACTGTCACAACTTGCATTTATTGTGTTACCTTTAATTTACAGCATACTGTGTGACGCCGTGTAACATTTGATTTTTGCTCTTTCAGTCAATCCCCAACAATAAAACCTGTTATGGGACTCTTCGTAATGTGAATGGGCAATTAGTGAGAGAATTGACCACACAAGGTGTGGCATATTGACACAAGGTGTGGCAGAGGAAGTGGGTTTGACTCAGACTGAAAAATACATGTTGCACTGACAATGTCTGGCATATCAGCAGCATGGCATCAACAATGCCAGTGCATTATGCTGTAAATCCAAGCACTCAGAGTCTGGTGCATGGTCATTGCCAATTTTTGAGCATAGTCAATGTTTCCAGAATTATGGTGGTGTGAGAGGTCATTGCAGACAAAAATACTCCAAAAGCATTTTTCCACAAAGTTAAGTTGTAAAGTTAACACACTTTGGCTTGGCCTGAATATGGTGCTTGCAAACATGAGCTTCAGTGCTCTTATACTGCATGCATGTTCAGTAAAGTGGGTGCATTTTGTGTAAACTGCCATAGACATTGTGACTGCCTAAATGTCTGTGTTATAAAATGAATTGATATGGTATGTATACAGATTTATAGAAACAAAAATATGATTATATATATATATATATATATATATATATATATATATATATATATATATATGCATATACAGATATATAGATCATTGGTATGCTTAGGTGTGGTCTCAAAATGCCAAGTAGCCCATAAATGCTGTTTAACAATAACAATTTTACTTGTCATTATTATGTTAGCAGGTATCATTTGGTCATAACTCCTTTTACAGTAATAACATTGTTCACTGCTTTATTTTTTCCAAAAATACCTGTCCTGGCCATTACCTCCTGCTAATTTGCCTGCATTCTCAGCCCTTGATTTTGAACTGAAGCAGGCAGAACCTGAAATATGCCAAACATAGTACCTACACAGGAAGTTAAATTGGCTACATATGGGCCAAAATTTAGGAAAAATTCAGGGCTGTTAATGCATTAGCTCTATTCAATATCATTGATACAATTTTGTAGTTTTGAAAATTTAAGGAACATATCCCCATCTTTTCTGTGAACGAGCCCATGGGAAGGTAGCAATCCAGGTGCATAGGTATTGAGGTAACTGGTAGGGCAAATTTGATCTGGGTATGGATGATGAAATCATGCATATTTGTGTCTGACACAATTGCCATCCGAATTTTGAAACTGTACCCTATGTCCATTACAACTAGTACACCCTTAAGGCTGCTTGTCTGGCAAGCTGTTGCCATGCATTACCATTGTGTGCTCAAGTTGGTGAGAGTGGTCATCATATATGCTGGCATGTTACATAGGGTTTTAACCACTTTATTTTGCACCTGATCTACAAAACACACTGTCATCCAATGAAACTGTTTCACAGCTATATTTTTTCAGTGCAATTAAATGATGCCAAATCAACATGCATTATTATTTGTAGTACAATTCAAATTTTATTGGTTAAAGAGTACATGAAAACAGGCCTGAAACATTCAAGCTTCTGCTAGTGGATGCTACCTAAAGTCTTTGTGTGCTAGTTTTGAATTCAGGATTTGTCCTTAGTTAAGTTTTTGACTTGCTGCCATGTGACAACTTAATGCTGAAATCATATATTTCTCAACCAGAAGTATGTAGCAAGTGTCTATCTGGGTATAACTGGGGGACATATCCCCACACTGGCTACACCCACCCCCAAATGTCAACCATTGCATTGCACTGGCTGCTGATGGCCAGTCCAGCTCACCATTGCATCTTCTCTCATCTTGATGTTCTCTTCTCCTTGCCAGACCCCTCGGAGCACTGCGCGGCCAACCACCATGGACAACGTGTTCCTGTTCGTGCCGAACCTGATCGGCTACGGGCGTGTGCTGCTGGCACTTCTCTCGCTCTACTTAATGGCCGAGCGTCATGTGGCGGCGGGCGTCTGCTACGTGATCAGCGGCCTGCTGGACGCGCTGGATGGGCACGCGGCGCGCCTGCTCAACCAGAGCAGCCGGTTCGGCGCCATGCTGGACCAGTTGACCGACCGCTGCGCCACCATGTGCCTGCTGGCCTGCCTGTGCGCCTTCTACCCGCACCGCATGCTCTGGTTCCAGCTCAGCATGGCCATCGACATCTCCTGCCACTGGATCCACCTGCACGTGACGACGCTGCGTGGCCGCGGTAGCCACAAGAGCATCGGCGGCGAGGGCTCGGCGCTGCTGCGTCTGTACTACACCTCGCGGCCGCTGCTCTTCTGCATGTGCGGCGGAAACGAGCTATTCTACTCGATGCTGTACCTGCTGCACTTCACGGAGGGCCCGGCGGTGCTGGGCCTGGGCCTGGTACGCGTGCTGGCCTGGCTGAGCGCGCCGGTGGCCGTCGCCAAGTCGGCCATCGCGCTCGTGCAGGGCTACGGCGCCTGGGCAGAGCTGGGCCGGCTCGACATCGAAGAACGCGCGGCCGCCAAGGCGCTGTAGCGTCCCCGCCACCCCCTTCCCCCTTCCCGCTTTTCCTCTGCGCCAGATCAAAGTAGCCGCCGGCGGGCCTGCGTGTCCTTGTTGCTGTACTGCTGTGCAGATGTTGATGTTCATTGTTTCATGTCGTGTTCGGTCGAGTGTGTTCCTTGGTATGGTAGCATGTCTAGCAGTGTTATGTGACTAAGGGAATGCTTTGCATGGATTGGAGGAATAATGCTTCGCTGCACCATGCAATCGACTATGTTGTGAACCCTTTGCTGCGACAGATTCATACCTTATGACATATAGAACATTTACTAACTGATAAGCTGGTAACATGTACAACTTACAAAATGATCAGTCGATGAGCTGAAATTAGATGCTTTTCGTTTGATGCAGTGAGCAAGCGCATGTCCTCGCACGAGTTGACATCGCGTGTGGATTACAGGACCAGTCTGCTCGCTGCCCAGCCTGTTGGAACGTCGGGAAAGTTGATATCCGGTCAAAATCACCGTTGGCCTGTTCAGGTTTTAGTGTGTAGCAATTGTGCTTTAACAAACGCGTAGTTTCGTACAAACTAACGTTTGTAGGGTAAGCAACATAGCAGGGGAGGCATATCCCTAGCTAAGAAGTGTTAATCATTCAGATAACGTAATCCAGGTTCAGAAGGAGAGGTTCATTTTGATGGATGTGACCAGACGGGGAGGGGTTGAGGTTTGGAGCGGGGCATGTTCCCCTTTTCCCCTGAATGTCGTTTTATTCCCCAAAGTTGTGTAGGATGCATGCTTTTTACGTTTTTCCGTTCACAATGTCATTCCGGGCCAAATTATCCCCCACGTTCCAGCTCGGCCCACCCAATCCTCCCTCATCCCCCTTCTCAGAGATTTGGTTACACCCACGTTTTAGTTTGCTGTGATGAGGTCGCTAAGCTTTGGGTGAAATAATAGCAGAGCTGACAAATACCTTAACAGTTCATACGTCATATTCCCGATGTAAAACGGCACGTGGTGTGCGGCAGTGAGATGTGAGATGAGAAACGTGGCGGCTTAGATTTAACCGTTAACTCCAGCCGCAGTGTCGCTCGGGATGCTTTTCCCGCTTGAAGTACAGCATGATAGCAGGCTTAGCTATAACATGCATAAGGAGGCCAAAAGTTGGGTGTGCTGTTGTGTCTGAGAATGAGAGCTTCGTGGGTATTCACTGTAGTCGACGTCTTCTCGTATGTGTGGACTTCTTTGCATAAAGATCTCGCCTACGTTCCTGATGCGCGCGGCGCCGGTGTTGCTTATTTCGTGTCACAAATATTTCGCGAAATATTTCTTATAACAAAAAATGTTTTGTTCCAACATATTTATTTCGAAGCTTAGTAACGAAAAGAGTAGCCATTCACAAACTAGTCATGTTTCGTGCTTGCAGCAGAGCATTCTTTTAATCATTCCTTGCTGTTAAGGGATGGCTGGTCAGTCTTGCCGCTATCGCCAAAGCCATGTTTGGGCCAACTGTGTGACATTGGATGTAAATGCACGCGATTCTTGCGACTTTTTCCGTAAGTATCACCGACAAGTATCCCTTTGTTTTACGCTGGGCTGATACCGCGATTGACGTCAACGGTATTTAGTAACAAGTGCGTGTGCATGTCAGCTGCTACATAAATTGTCACTGTCGTGTTCACATAGATGTTAGCACTAGGCATTTCGAGAGGCTGACCCAACAAGGCCAGTCCCCACTTTCCACCTCCCCCCGCACCCGTCCGCGACTACCTGTTATGCACATTCCCTTGTTTATGCACTACCAGAACATTAAACCGACCTCAGCAGCATAAGCGCCGTGGCGTTATTATGGAACAGTGGTGATAGCTGCGCTCCACCACCTGACAATGGCTGTCAGCCGGGCTGTCCCGCAAGGTGTGCGTTCTTTGCCCGGCGACGCCTGTGACGGTCTTTCAGTTACCTACTTAGGCGTGGGGAGGCACGCCAGCGGTAACGGTCATTTTGCGCTCCGTCAGGCCATCGCGCGGTCGGTAGATGATTCTTCGCTGCGGACTTGCGCTGGGTCATCACAGCCATTGCTGTTGAGAACATATTCTTAGTCCTGTTGCTCGATAATTCTTGGGCTGTGGCCAGCGACGCCAGCCCTGCGTTCGTTCCCGTACCACCACAGACAACGCATTTGTCGCGCCACGCCCTGATGCCGCATCCGCCGCTATTTTGTATTTGTTTTCAAAGCACGCTGTTTCGTTCGTAGCCTGGCTGTTGCGCTTTGCTGCACGGCTTTAACACGTGCGACGTCTGTTTTCCGGGGAGGTACGTTAACTTTTGCCATGTGCTGTGTTGACACCGCCGACACGCTGGCGGACGCCGCGGAGTGAGAACAGTCCGGCTAATACAACACATACATACTTCCAAACTGAGCTCTTGGCTGCCAATGTCTAGGGTTGGGTGAGACCCAGGACTTCCTAGCCATTCTGTCGCTGAAGAAAAAAGTAGTGCCGAAGGGTCAACGCGATGCTTTGTATCGCTGATCGGCACCGTAAAACAAAAGAACAATTTGAAATGGGCGGAAGGGAAATCAAAACATCAATCAGCGTTAAGCAGGAAGTCGTGGAACTATCCAGACCGCACCCGCACGCAAGGCTTGTGCCATACGAATGTCACCGAGTTCAGAGAGCCCCACGTTCGTCTGCAATGGGCGTGTCTACGAAGTGTCCCGGCCGGCAGGCGGCACGCCGCGCTGGCAACCGCCCCGCGTCGCCTCTACCCACCCGGGAAACGTCCACCCTCCGTCCACACGCGGTGTATTCTCAGTCTCAGGGATAACAGAACAAGCCGGGAGTCCAGCTCTCCCTGGCTGGCTCGCGCGGCCGTCCACAGCGCGGCCGTCCGCGGGTGAGGCGCAGACGCGACCCGACGCGATGAGAACCCCGCAATAGCACCGCCGGCAGGTCAGTTGCATAGCGCGCACCGGCGGCCGTCCGCAGGCGCGCTCGAGAGACGTTATTGCATCGGTATTGTCCAGCGGTCGCAGCGCCGGGTACACACGCGCGAGACGTGGCGCGTTCGGACAGCGCCGGTCCTGAGGCGTGCCGGTGCTCGGAGAGAACGAAAACAAACGGCGAAGGGCCGCCTGGTGTCCAACAGTCCAACAGTCAAGACGCAAAGAGGTGAGGATGTCAGCGAGCCGCGCGCCAGATCGCGGCTCGACACTGCGACCCGCCAACTCCAGACACGGCTCCGGTACTTCCCGACAAAACGATAAAAAACGAGATCCTTGCACCGCATTGGGTTAGAAAAGCCTCGAGATCCAACGCATCGGAAAGGTAGACTCTCACTGCGGCACGCGCGGGTCTGGTCCGCGTGCCGGCCATGCGACAGCGGGCCCCGGTCTGGGCCGCCTCCGCAGCGGCGCCCGTCGCCATCGCCGCCGACCCACGCTCGCGCGCCACCACCCCGCGCAGCATTGTCTGACTGGTGAGGAAGTAGGTCACAGCGCAGTCGCAGCGTGCCCTGCGACACTTTGTACTGTCCCTCGCCGGTCGGGCGTCGCCACCCTCCCGCCTGACGTCCGTCACGGGCCGCCCGGCCGCCCGTCGCCATCGGGCGTGCCGGCCGGCGGCGCACCCTCGCCGCCGTCCATCGCGTCGGCCGGCGGCGCCGAGCTGGCGGGCGCGCCGGGGTCGGGTGAGGAGGGCGGAACGGCCGTCACCTCGCCGGCCTGGAACGGAGCGGTCGGCATCAGCGGCACACTCAGACACCAGGGGACGGCACGGTGCATCCGACAGCGCCAGGGTCCCTCCTTGACTCAGCACATGACACGGCTATCGCGCAGAACAGCCGACTCAGCGCCCAGACGTCCTTCCTGCTCGCCAACGAGAAGCACAAGCAACGAGCGGCGGAGCATTGGCACAGAATCCGTCTCTGATAGCCGGTGCCGCCGCGGCCGCCGGAGGGTCTCCCGGAGCCTCCCAGCGCCGCCCGCCCGCCGACTGGCACTCCACTCACCTTGGTAAAGAGCTGCAGTTGACGACTGAAGCCCTTGGCGCTGTGGTGCGGCCGGCCGACCGTCTTGTAGCACTCGAAGCCGATCTCGTTGATCAGCAGGTCCGGGAAGGTCTCCGGTCGCAGCCGGATCTCGTGGAAGGTCTGCCAAATCCGCGGCTGCGAACAAAGGCGCAGCGCGCCCGTCAGTGACCGGTCACACGCGCCACAGCTGCGGGGATGGCCGAAACATTCTCGCAGAAGCTTTCCGCGTCAAGGCCCATGACTTTCGCTCAATCCAAATATAAAAACATTGTGTGCCTATTTTATAACACACGGGAAATGGGGGTGTCGATTTCATCTCCGAAACAATAGCGAAAAACACAGGAAACAGGTGAAAAGGAGCTATTTTGTTAAATGTGTCGCAACCAGAATAAAACGCACGCATTCTGACTCCGCTTTAGCCCATCAGCACGTCCAACGTCACGCTCATCTAGGGCTCCAGCGTCCCATTGGCCTCCAGCGTCCCATCATCTGGGCCTCCAGCGTCCCGCGGACGGTGCCGCGGCAGCACTCACCGTCAGCTTCTTCTTCTTGACGTAGCTGGCCCATGGCTGCGGCTCGAGGAGCAGCCGGCCGCCCGGCCGCAGGCTCAGGAAAACCCGCCGGAAGAAGCGCCGCATGCCGGCGTCGCCGAAGTTCAGGTGCACCCACTTGGTGATGCTCAGGCAGAGGATGGTGTCGAACTCGGGCCGCACCGTCTCCAGCATCGCGTCCGTCTCCAGCACGAAGTTGGCCTGCGGGGCGACAGGCCGGAGTTGAAGTGGGGACGGCCGGACGGCCGCGGCACGCCCATCACCCGGTCCCGACAGCCGGGCGACACGCGAGGGGACACCGCGTGGTGACACAGACGCTCAGCGGCACCAAAGGGAGCACGAGGACGGCCGGGCGGCCGCGGCACGCCCATCACCCGGTCCCGACAGCCGGGCGACACGCGAGAGGACACCGCGTGACGACAAGGACGCCGGGCGGCCCCAATATGGGCTTCCATTTGTTTCCCGTCCAGTTATCCACCGATATACACGGTCAGAATACGCAACGCTTCTCAATCAGCATGTTGGTCTCATTCAGCAGCTCACGTGCCGACCGTGCAGACGTCTCCAGGCCACGCCAAGCTACCACTCGAGTCACACCAAAGGCAACACGGTCGATCTGGGAACAGTCACCCTAACTGCCACGAACCGCAACCCCGCAGGTGACTGCACAGTCACGCTGCACGCAGCAGTCGGACCGAGCGCGGCCGCAGACGACTCTGCTCCCCTCCCCCTCCGCGGATCGCCACCCCCGGGCCGGCGCTGCGGCGGCAGCTGGTCCGGCGTGTCACTCACGTGCTCGAACGTGACGTTGCGCGGGAACTGCGTGCCGGGCGCCTTGTGCGGCGGCTGCAGGTCGCCGTACAGCAGCGGCATGCTGTCGGGAAACTCGCCCGCCCGCTGGTAGTGTTTCACGTTCCGACGCGCCACCTGACGGCGGGGAGGGATCCGTCAAGTGGGGCGGGGGGGGGGGGGGGAGGGGACGGCAGGGAACGGACGAGGACACGCACGCGAGGACGTGTGCACGAGGGGACAGGGGCATCAATTGCGGGGAGGGGGTAAGGTCACGACCGTGGGGGGCGGAGCCGGGGGCAGCAACAACACTCATGCAAGTGGACACGCCAGGCGTCGTCGGAGCAGCTTTAAGGCACACACCGTAAAAGCAATCTCTCAACGAGCTTAATTTTCCGCCTAACCAGCGATCAGAGATAACACAACCTTGGCTGCCGCTAGCTACAATCGTGACGACGATTTTGTTTCGCACAAGGCTTTTCCCTTACGTGCTCACCCAGTAATGCGACCCGGCCTGCACACCAGTCTTCTGCCCGCAATGCGTCTAAATGCCTCTTACATTGTGCAGAGAATGCATCTACGGCCAAACTGCTGTTCACACTGCAGCAAGCATATCCAGGTAGAACACACCATACCGGCTGACATCGGACGCACATGACAGGTGGCCCAACGCCGTCCGAATTTTGCGTCATGCATTCCTATCTCACAACCCATTACGACACACCGGACGTGCCGGGCCGCAACACCGACGCCAATTAAATGCGTCGGCACACGGCACCCACGCGCGCAAACTCCCGTTCCGGTTCACCGTCGAGCATAACGGGGCACATCCGGGACGTGAGGCCGGCGGCATGGGCGACGGGCGGCGGACGCGGGACGCGGGACGCGCACCTTCACCAGGCCGCTGTCGATGTCGACGCCCACGCAGCGGCGCGGCAGGTAGTCGCGCGCCACCGTCAGCGTGACGTGGCCCACGTTGCAGCCCACGTCCAGCACGTCCAGCCCGCTGAACCACTCGCGCTTCAGCCAGCCCAGCCGCGAGTCCAGCTGAAACCGCAGGCGGCGTCACGTCGCGGCGATTGCAGAGCGCCGGTTTTGCGCAAGCGATGTCAAACTGCCGTCACGTGGCACCAGTCACGCCGGCTTCGTGGTGTTCAGTGGTCCAGGTTCGCAAACAAGTGATTAAGTGTTGGAGTAAATCCCGCGACACGGGTCTCGATTTCCCAGCATCGTGACGGCCAGTGACTTCGATTCCAGTTGTCTCTGGTCATGCGTGCTGTGAGGAACACAGGAACCCTCAAACAGCTATGGAACGCGCAACCGGAGTTTTCTACCACCCAAAAGGCTCTTGACACTTGCAAAGGAGTAATGAGGGGTATGTCAGGGGTCGCACGGATTATATACGTCCAGCCCGGCCGGGGCCGGATCCCAGCCTGTCGCACCGTGGCGTCGAGCACTGGCAGGGCGCCATGCCGAGCTTGAAGCGGCCGGCGGTCGGCTCTGAATGGCCACTGGCCATTATCAGGGACGTGCCCGGCATTCGGCCGGCCGCAGAGCCGACGGCCAGCGTCGCAGACAACCGCGCCCGCCGTTCGGTTCGCCGAAGCTCCATCAGCCGGGGCGACAGAACCGCACGCACTGCGGCGCCCGCGTCACCCCAGCGCCCGGCACGCGGCGACCTTTCGCGACGGCACGCCCTCGCCCTTACCTGGTCCGGGTTCCGGTAGCCGTAGTATCTGTTGTAGTTGCCGTACTGGAACGCCGCGTCCCGCGCGCGGAACACGGGCGTGTGCTGCGGCAGCTGCGTGGGGCCGTCAGCGCCCCTGGCGGGCAGGCGCGCAAACAGAGCGCGGCCGCCCGGCTGCGGCACGGCCGGCGAGACGATCTCCGCCGAGGTCTTGCGGCCGTGCTGGCGGCCGAGCCGCGGCGGCGCCGGCGGCGGGCAGGCTGCCGCCGGCGAGCGACCCAGCGAGGCCGACGGCGGCACCTCGGGCGGAGCGCTGACGCTGCCGGGCGAGGTCGGGTCAGCTAAGGCGGCGATCCTACAGGCCGACTTCGGGTAACAACACAGGTCACCACTGAACTACAGCCATGGAGGTTTGGATTCCACTGCGCATTGATGCCCCACACATAGCAACAACTGTCCAGAAAAAAAACACCACAGACCAATGCGCATCAAGCATCAAAACAAGTTACGTCTACCTCATCAGTCAGCTACGGACCCCGCAACCAGTGGCCGAAGCTGACACCGCGCGACCCGCCGCTGCCCCCCCGCTGCTCACCAGGGCGCGCCGGCGTCGGTGCAGGGGGTGAACTCGAGCTCGCTGGGCGCCACCGTGCTCGAGTCGCCACTCTCGGAGACGGAGCGGGCGCCCGACTCGGAGAGCGAGCGGCCGGCCGGTTCCGAGGCAGACCGGTCGGCGCCGTGGCCTGAGGGGTGCTTCTTCTTCCGCTGCGGGCGCCGCGCGCGGTCAGTGACATTCAAGGCGCCTGCTCAGCCCGCTATAAACGCAATCCGCAGTGCCGGGCATATGACTACATAGCTGGCGCCAATGACAAGTTTCAAGCTAACGTGTCAGCAACGGTGTTAGTTCGGCAACGACGTAAAATATATCAATAAACAAAATGCAATTCGGGAGAGCAAGTGTTGTCAGTTACGGCTACGTATGCGCCTCCAGGCCAGTTTCTGGATTACCGATGCAGATACAAGCAGGATCGTTACGAGGCTCACTCAGATCAGCTGCTATATTATACTCCTTTCGAGCCACCCTACACTATCCAGAATTTCACGGAAACTTCGCGACCACATTCGGGTACCGCAGACAGTGCCACCAGGGCCGGCGACGCACCTTGTTCTTCTTCTTGCGCTGTGAGGAGGGCGAGACGAGCGAGTCGGGCCCGCCGCTGTCCTCGGGGCCGTTCAGGCCCAGCGGGTCGCTGATGTCGGGCGGGATGATGACCTCGATCCGCTCCTTGCGGTACTTGGGCGTCGGCATCGGCGACGACACGGGCGTGTTTGCGTTGGCGATTCTGCGGGAGCGGCGGAGGGCAGAGCCAGGTGAAACGAGCGAAATTTGCACCACAGAGGTGACACAGACGAGGGGCCTCGCGTGACGCGAGCGCGCCCAGAGCCGCGTCCGCCCCTATTGGCCCAATGATTTCGGACGTTTTTTGCCGTCACTTTTCATCGCAATCACATTCCCCCGTGCTGCTGCAATTCCCGACTTTTCCTCTTCTGGCGCAAACAAAACTAGTTCATCAGCCTCTCCGATCACACAGCCCCCACCTGACTTAATTCCGTCACCTTGCGGAGGTTTTGACCACATGCCAACCGCCACAGCATGCAGCACATGATCCGGCATGACGCAACAACTGCCACAGCAACAGGCCAACGGCCCGCCAGCGGCCGCGTCCCACACCGCCCGCGCCCCCCTCCCCCTGCCCGGCGCCGGCGCCGCCTACCGGTTGGCCTCCTCGTCGTTGAGGCTGCCCAGGTTGAGCGGGTCGCAGATGTTGCCGCCCAGCAGAAACTTGGTCGGCGGCACGATGCCGTAGCGGCGCCGCTTGCCGCCGCGGCAGTCGGCGTACACGCTGAAGCTGCGCTTGCGCGGTACCCGCTGCTGGCCGGCGGTGGCCCGCTCTGACTGGCCACCGTGGGCGCTGTGGCGCCTGCCCAGAAAGAAGAGGCACCACACCACTGGTTAGCACCACATGCCAGGGTGTAGTAAGGAGGACCAGATGCCTCAGGGAGTTAGGATGCTGATGTGGCATCACAAATCTACTGCTGAAGAAGATTCACGACAATGGTGAATAGGATGCGGAAATTGTGTGATGCATAAATGAGGACTCATTTGTTACACAAATATGATGTACAGGGCACACTCACAGACACATACACAAATAGGAAACAGAAGGTGGATATGGGGGGAATACCAACATGGGCCCTTGATCTCACAAGCAGTGGAACTGAAGGGAATAGACATGGGCCGTTGGCTGACATGTCAGCAGGCTTCACGTAGATGCCATAACCACACACATGCCCTACCATAAAAATGATAGCCCATAAAACATGTTTGTTACCATCAAAGCCAATTGCTAACCTCAAGGTCCATGTGCTACACATGTGTGAAAACCATATTTGAAGCAAGAAAAGGTTTACAAAAAGGGTCCATCCTAAAACAGGATAAGATCTTTCACTGGGCAACTTGAGAAATAATGCAAGCTTGGGAGTAACATGTATTTTTCACCTCCTAGATGACAAGCAACTTAAAGACAGAATATCACTAGAGCTCTTGGCTCTCTGTGCCAGACATGCACCTAAAGCCCCCCCTGCCTCCCACACCCCCAAATAAAATCCAGGATACCAACAACAGAACTCTAACCCAGGGTACCCTTTATCCACACTTAGGATCCCACCACACATCTGCCTGCAATTAATGGCATAAAAATATTTCATACAAATGGCATATGATAAATAACAGCACCTACCATCCTTGCCTAGCAATGGCTCAATACACTGCAACACCGTACTTGTACCTCCACATCAGCAGCATTTGATGTAGGCTGCAGCAGACCCTCCAGACTGGTGTAGACATCTATCCATATACACGGAAGGGGGGGGGGGAGTGCTGGACAATACAGAAGCCACTGGTATGAACTCACATTCGCAATGGTTGAGGCCTTCCAAGACCACTTACCTCGAGAACGTTTCATATCCACGGTTGCCGGCATCATTGAACGCACTCTTCTTCGCCGAGACGGGCGAAGTGACGGATTCCGATGGAGGGATACTTATTCCCACAGAAGCCATGGCAGCCAAATCACGCTGTCATAAATTTTTGCCGCTGACGGGCCCCGCGACCCGCACAGCCACACGCGGTCGCTCCCTACCGCGATACAACCAGTCCGCTCACGCGTATCTGTTTACTTCTCTGTCTGGGCAGTTGCCTGCGCACCGTACGCTATTGCGCATGCGCACGTCACCAGATGGTACCGCCCAGTAGCGTAAACTCAACAATTTCACTACAATTATTGACCCATGAAGTCGTGAAACCAGCTTGGGAAAGCAGGAGCACAATCATAAGATTCCAAAAGAATGCCAGCCACAGGACTTCTTGTCACACACCATCAGCACACAGGTCCACATCCAGGCCGCCCCACCCACCACCAGCGGATGTTCAGTGGCAACTGCTAAGCTCTGCGCAATTTTCCAGCAAATAACGAAACCTTACTAAGTGTGTCAAAAAATAGAAGGCTTAGGCCAGTAATTATATTCCCACTTCCCTCAAACATGCATATTTTCCGTTTCAAGAACCCCTTAACATGCACACTTTTTATATGTTCTACGGCAAAGTAAAATTCCGTTTTTGGTGTCTGTTCTCCGCACCTTTTAGTTGTAAACATGCGTTCGCTGCTGAAATCAAGACAAAGGAATGCAGCGCTGGATGCGCTCATTTTTCGAGGAACATATTTTTTGAGAGGACTTAACTGAATCTATTTCTTGAAAATGTATTCAAGCTAGGTGTTGGAATATTCTATCTCTTAAGAGTTTTCAGTTTCTAAAAATAATCTAGATTGCGCACGCACTAGGCTAATAAATATACTACGTGAAAGCAGAAGCCAGCAGAGGAAAATAAACAATCGGAGGGGCGGAGAGGTCGTGGTAGGGGTTTTGGGAGTTGGGGAAGCGCGTACGGATCGTAAAACAGACAGGCGATGTCCTTCTTCTTGTTGCATGGAAAAACACATTCTTGCCCGTAAAGGTCTGTTGTAAAGCTGGCTATAACTAGCAATCGTTTCTAGGTCTTTATCGGCCGTACCTCAAAGCTCTGAAAGGAGCCCTTCCGAAATGTCTCAATCTCTTCAGTCCGGGAAAAAGAAGGGGTTTGTTGCCCCATTTCAAACACCGTCCTTGTCGCAGCGCTCCGAAACTGCTGGTATTCGACAGGTGAGCAATCAATGCGCGCTCGAATTAGTCCAGTCTTCCCCTGGTGGTGCCGCCCTGGACGAGTCGTCAATGAGCGAGAGACACCGAGGCTGTCAGCACACGAAATAGAGGTGGCTTCCGAACAGGTCAAGGACCTTAAAGACGCTCAGTGGGCCATCTAAATACTCAAAGAGCTCGCGGTGCAGACCAAGGGACACAGAGGCGCGGGCTTTCAGGTGAAATTGGAGGGGCGGGGCGAAATGCAATTTAGATGATATTTATGCTCAATTTGTCTTAAGGAAACAAATGGCCGGTACCAAATTATTCAGGAGATACAAGGAGAGTGTTAGGTTTCATGAAGCGGGGGGGGGGGGGGCAGCGCTTCCTGTACCCTTGGAGGAACACTGACTCAAATCAGAAACAGCAGGAAAATTCGGAGACTAGCGAGGCATGTAGGGAACGTGGTTGCGTTCACGTGGTATTTACTAGTGAGCAGAACGTTGTTTCTGCGACTTAAAAGTTTGTGGTGGCATTTGCCCTGGTAGTTGACTTCAAGAATGAAGCTGTTGCTTACACCTGAACTCAATGTCTTCAGCACGTCATGTGTCCAGTAGGGGGGGGGGGGGGGGGGCACAGAGACACAGAGCTCCCTCCTTCGGCTCCGAAGATTAGTATAAGACTACAATCAATAACCCGATTTGAGGGCCCGAAGGGGCCGAAAGACTGTCTGGAGGTGATACTCAGCGGTCCCGGCTCGCGGGGGCGGGCACTCCAATGCCAGCCAGGGAGCCCTGCGCGCTGATCAGGAGTGCCATGAGTCGATGCCCCGAAGTCCTATGTGTCGATCAGACACCGTCAGTAACACACAGTCTGCCCCGTGGCGGCATGGGCCTAAGGGCCCATTTCCCAAGCAGGGACAAAGCCGGAGCCAGCGGTTTACATCGGTCGGGTCCCACAGCCACTAACAGGTGCCCTGTGTTGGCAAGTGGCCCCGAACCGGCCAGAGGCAGTGTTCGAGGAGGCCTGGCCTGGCCTGGAGACCTGGAAGGCCCGATGGGTCTTACGATCAGGGGCCCGATTGGAGCTTCTATGGGCGTGAAGGGGTGGTCGAAGTCGCGTTTAGTGGTGCCAACCCGTGGGGACAGACCCTCAAAGGATATTCAGATAATTAGAGAGTACTTTGCGCCGATCGGGGACTCTTTGAGTCGATGTGGGCCTATATATCGATCAGGCACCATCAGCACCGCACAATCGGTTCCGTGTCGGTATGGGCCTGAGGACCCGCTTCCCAATCAACTTCAAAGCCGGAACCAGTGATTTACACCGGCCGGGCCCCTGTATCTGTCGGGGGCCAACACCGCCTGGCAGAGAGTCCTGTGCTCGCAGGGGCCGGAGCCGACTAAGGGCACTGTTCAATGAGACCCGAAGAGGGGCCCGGGCGGCACAACAGAACCGACCATCAAAGGCCCAGTTGGAGGGCATAAGGCCCAAAGGACTGGCTGTAGGTCACAGAAAGATGAGGACCCCTGAGACAGTGAGGGTGTTTGAGTCAGCCAGAGGCCACAAGCACCAAACAGTTGGCTCCCGCTCAGTCTGAACCCTGGGGACAAGCAGGAGCAAGGCCCGGGGGCATGATTTGCATTACAGGGGTCATGCATTGGATAATGACCCCTAGTAGGGCAGGGGCTTTTTAAGAGGAGGCCCGCCGAGGGGCCGGAGGGCACCTCGGGACCCAAGATCAATTGCCCGATTTGACCCGGGCACGGTCCCTACCCAAAGTGCCAAGACCTGAAATGTCAGTAAGAGGACTTCTGTTAGGTTTTTTAAAGGGTTTTCTGTCCCCATTATAAAGGGTCTAGACACGGAGCCAGAGAGTGGGCTACATGTCCGTCTAAGCTCTTCAGACTGATTTCTCAAACAGGAACGAGATCTGAGCTTGCCATTTGTAATGTTCGGGGTCCCTGACACAATGAGGGACTCATGTGTCGGTCAGGGGCCACAGTGCCCAACAGGGGTCCTCTGGCGGCAAGTGGTCCCGAGTCGGCCAAGAGCGGTTTTTGAGGGGGCCCGAAGAAGAGACAAAGGGTCTCTTGAGATGTAAGATCATGGGCTCGATTGGAAAGCTGAAGGGCGCAAAGGGCTGGCTTTAAGTCACGCTGAGGACTTCCACCCGTAGGGCCGTGATCTTAAATGTAAGAGTGCCTATTGCACCGGTTGGGGACCCCTGAGATCAAGCGTTTCTCTGTTTCGGCCAGAGATCACCAACACCGAACAGTCGGCCCCGTGTCGGTCTGAGCTCGGAGGGCCGTTTGCCAATGAGGGGCACGGCCTGGTCCGCGATCTACATTTGCCGGAGCCCCTGCAACAATGCGGGGCTCCCGTGCCGCTCAGGGGCTCACAGTGCCTTGCAGGTTGTTCTGTGTCAGCAAGAGGCCTCAAGTCGGTTAGGTAAAGATTACTCAGCAAGAATGGGGACGGAACTCCGAATGATAGAGGGCCTGTTGCGTTGGTCAAGGGCCTCTGACAATGAATGGAAATGTGACAACCTATAATGACTGTTCACACTGAGGCAATGGAAGCCTCCTGTGGCAAAAAGGACCCCCAGTACCGAACGGTGGGCCTTTCAACCCACTTCCAGCATGGGCCCTGTTAAATCAGACTGAAGTCTGTATGCCAATTATTAGACCACCTGCGGCGATCAGGGATCTTGTTGCGTCAGTGAGGGCTCCTCCGTCGATCCGGGGTCAACTGCGCGGGTAAGAAGGCCCCCTATGCAGGGAAGTGGACTAATGCAATATGATATATCCCTCTAAGGACCTCCGGATCGACAGCGGATCCCGCCCCGTGTCGCCAGAATGGCAGTCGAAGAACACTCCGCGGTGGGGCGGAATGACCCTTCAGCCCTTGTTCGGCAACAGGAATGCCCCCCCCCCCCCCTAATGTTCTAATCGAGGGGGACGCTATTTTATGGAGAAATAGGGGGTACCGTTAGTGGTGAATTGGGTGGGTCGAAATGAGTTAAAAGACGAATAAGGCCATCCCAGGTGTGCATCTGGGAACGTTTAACCTTTTGCAGAATTCGACTAGTGAATCAAATCACATCAAAATGTTCGAGCCTGCGCGCCCGTAGTCTCGGGAGCAAGGGCAGCCAGCGATAGTCTGGGTTGCAGTTTCCATAAAACCGAACGGCGTTGGCCGCTGCAAGTAACACCAGGTGGCGCGTGTCTTACGCGCGAGACTGACGGTCGGTAAAATAATGGTTCCGAATGTGTTTTCAAGTTAATTCGTACCGTTAGGGTGGCATGGGGTGCGTCGTTTTCTTTCCACAACTTTGAGATTTTACTCTGGACAGATTAACACTTACAGCCACACAAAAAGTACAAACTCTTCCTTCACTTGTCCATTTACACTGCCAGATTCCAGCACGACCTTGCATAAAAGCCACCCCGTTCTCATCATCAATCTAGAAATCGCAGAGGTGAAATATACCTCGGTCCACCTTCGAGATGTACAATTTGATGTCCTAAGCCGTTCGACGCTGCGTATTTCAAACGCGTCATCGTTTTCGTCTACCCCTCGACCGCGGCTTAGTGTCAGCCACGGGGCCAACGCTGCGCGGCATATGGACACTGCAACGTCTGTCATTGAGGTTTTCGTTGCCAAGATTTGCGAACGCTCACTAGTCAATTATGACAGAATTTTGAACATTTCCAGAAAACATGGCTTAACCATGTAAATGGAAACTGTTGAATCGGAGGATAGATAGAGGCGTTGATATGTCGGCAGCATTCCTGTATTGAAACGGATATCAGTAGTCTTATCTGCCTTGTCTCACTACTGTCTTGTCTATATTGTTCCTCGCCAGTGCACTCAACAAGTTACGTTAACTGTTGAACCATTTCGACCTACATTCGCGGGGTCCTTATTATCTCTGTACAGACCAGATCATGAATTTTGCCAAAGATTCTGAGCTCTATCGGTTTAGAAAGAGTCCACTGGATCACTAAAATGAAAGGCGCCAATTATTAATTTCATGCGGTCGCTTAACGCATGATTTCTTCTGTATATCGATCAAAATATTAAGACAGAATCGACCTCGTGGAATTTTCTGGCTTCTATTCCAGTTATAGAAGATAAAGGCATGAAGAATATGAAAGAGAAAATGTCCGCATTAACAAATGGGTCATATCCAACGATTGTTTTGGGGGTGGCCTTTTACCATCAGGGAGCCCTTTGTCCGCCGTGTGTCCCCTCGTTGCTAAGGCTCTGACTGTGCGCCCGCATGTGTTTTGTTGCACATATGAACTACCATCAGTAACAAACGGGGTTAAAATACGGGACAGGGCCATGGAGCACACGGGGCGTTCCGCATGTAACTACAAGCGGGTAAAAACGCGGGAACACAATGCGACGTGAGCGCGCTTTCATTGTCTCCGAACCTGCTCGTAGCGTGCCCCGCGGCCGTGACGTTTTTAAACTGCTGATTAGCGCTCAGGAATGATCATTGTTTTCCAGTACTCGTCTGAGCGTCAATCATCAGTCCTATTTTGCTCATATTGTTTACCAACGATTTATATGGATGCTTGACTCATGGCCGCCTCATCTCCTACGCCGACGACACCGTGCACGTGGACTACCCGCCCCCCGACGGACTGGGTCTCGCCGACTTTAAAACCAGGCTGGATTTTACCATGTGTAGGCTTCAGTAATGGTTCAGTGCCAGAGCTCTCCAAACGAACGAAACGAGAACTGCTTGTGTGCTCGTAGGGCAGAAGTGCTCGTAGGCTCGCAGGCAGAATTGGAAAAAAGCGAACTGACTTCCACTTTGAAGTAAACGGTTCGACTGTGTATACTTCAAGTAGCACCAGAGTTCTCAGCGGCATAGTTGACTCCGTTTGTCAGGGGTGTCCATACCTCGAGCGTCATGAAAAATGCAATGACGCGCTCATGTCTCCGCACAAAGTCCGTCATTACTTCACTTCAGGTCTTCCCAAAGTCATTCATCGAGGCTTGGGTGCTCCCTCATATTGCGTCCTGTCTGTGTATGTGAGGTGGGGCGACGGAGAGTCAGCTACACGAAATAAAAACAACAGCAATCAACTTGGTTGCAAGAGTAATGACCGGCTCTAAAAGGAGCCATCATATGATAAAGCACCATCAGACACTAATTGACCGCTACAGAGGAGGCGTTTTCGCATAGGGTCGCAGCTGCATGGAACTGCCTGTTGCCGTACGCCTGTGAAGCCACAACACTGAGTGCGCTTAAGAACCCCATGCGTGATGTAGGTTTTGACCAATGACTACTGATCTGATCCGGCCCATAGCGCATAGATAGGTCTGTTTCAGTGTGCGCCTTTTTGTACTCTACCGGCATGGAATTTGAAACATGACCTTGACCTGAAACCGTGATCGCCACCATGCGCATAGTTTCTAATATACTGGCACTGATACTGATAACCAGGCGAGGAGTTGACGCTCTCTAAAATAATTTGGACGCTCAGCCGAAAATTTTGATCTAGCCTGTCCCCTAAACGTGACTTCTCCCCAGATTTCGGCCACTTGAATTTAACTTCTAGGATGTTGAAATAAAAAAAGCTTTTCAGCATTTCACACATTGAAATTTGCTTTTCTGTGTAGGGAATGACTTCCCATTTCAAGTTAATGTGAGTTGCCTTTTCTTAAAACCTTGGAATGGAGTGTAATATAGGTAATTTACAGAAACAATATCAGTGAATCTTGTTAACGGATCCCTGATGACTACCGCTATTGCTGATCGTGTTTTATGACCACTACAACCGGTTTGACGCGTGTACTATGCGTCAGATACGCTTGCGATTGTTGGGGAAAACATATGTTAACTTTTATCTGGGCTACCCGATACTTTTAAAAACTGCCACACGTTACAGTCAATTGTTCGCTGTTTGAATCCGGGCGTTGTCATTTGAACAATATTGTCAAACATTTGCGGACTGGCTTAACATGTGACAGGAGTAGCATACCACAAACTGAAGACACCTGGATGATACTAATTGGTACACAAGTAACATGACACTAATAGTGATACGTTAAGATAACTTCTACCTAGCGCACCAATAGTTGGCGTAATCGTTCTGTAATTATTTCACCCAGCATTCCATCTTCGCTTGTATGCATTAAGGGGGCTCAGAGGAGCATTGGGAGTGGAGAACTCAAGTCAGCATTGGGAGCTCGACCCCCCCCCCCCCCCCACCTCGCCGAAAGATATGCAAGGATGACCCTGACGAGGGGGTGTAGTTTCTTGTTCGGTTGGGTGGATAATACAAATTGGGAGAATGGGCAAATCTACGCCAAAATACCCAACACGGATTTCTCACCGCGATTGGCCCACTTTCTCCCCGAAGTTGGGGCAGAGGATTTGGAGCCCACCCACTGAATAGGAAACTTTACACCTATTTATTATTTGCTTATGGACAAAGACAGCCCAGGTGTACGGACACATTTTCCCAACACAATGTGCATAGATCGCATGGCCAATTGGGGAACGCTGAGGACTGTCCCATCCGCGTTTTCTGGGCGTCCGTCTCGCTAGGCGGTTTGTACCCTGTGCTGCGGAAGTGGTCGTATATCAAGCCAGGTCATGGCTGTATGATGTACTCACTCGCAAGGCGTTATGGTCTGAGTTTAAGTGCCAGCCGACATTGTTCTTCACAATTTATTTAGTGTTTTTACCCGTAGTTTGTAGGCGTTTCAAGGTAACTATAGAAATTATGGACTACATTTTCAGGTCAGCTATAAATGTTTAACATTAATAATGCAGAAATAATGGGAAGTGTTTTCAGGTCAGCGATACATGTTCAAATGTTAAAACTAGGGGCGATAATTTAGGACAGCCTTGAACTTGGTTATGAACTCACTGTGAACTGAACTATTATATGAACTTACTATGGAACTATTAACTTATGAACTTGAACTTGAACTTGGTTACTTGGTAACCTCTGGACTTGGTTATTTTTTGCGTTCCATATGATAGAAATCATATGGAATCATAGAAATCACGTATCATGCGTTCAGCCGGATTCACTGTCACACGTCCTGCTCAGCCCAATTGACGAAAAGCGTAGCCGCACCATCAGCTTCGCACCCTGCCGCCCTGGTATAACATGCGCCAGGTGTGATTCGCAGGCGGACGCCACCCAGTCGTACCCCGCCGCCCGTCTGGGCCACGAGAAAGAGCGCATCTTCTTTAGGGTGTTCCGCTTCTAGCAACACCAAGACGCCAAAAAAGAAACGTCCTCTGGTTCAGGCGGGTAGTCATGGCTCATCAACCACCGCAAAGAAAACCACGGAGAAGCCGAAGAAGACGATAACAGAGGCTGCCGAAATAAACGACGACATATTCGCCTTCTTGGACGAGTTTACCGAGTCGGACACGCCGTGCGACGCTTCTGGCGATCCTGCTCCAGTGAAGAAGCCCATGTCATCGAAGCCGCCCAAAGTACAGCGGCCAGCCCTGGTCAGCCCCGAGCGACCTGTCGGCGGTGGCGGGTCGGGACGCGCCAGCCCCGTCCCGAGGGCGAGGGCGAGGGAGCCGTCGGCCGCCGCCGCCGATCCGGACCGGACGGCGGCGCCGACGGCCGACGAGGCGTGCGCGCCGGCCGCCGAGCCGGCGCTGCCTGTCGGCTCGTCACTGGCCGCCAGCAGGTGAGACCCATCATCGGCCATCTGCGCCAGTGGGCGGCGGGCAGCGGTGGCGCCACCGGTTTTGGATTGTAGGGGAGGGAGGGGGGGGGGGAGCGGCGAGGTCATAAAACCATCACGACACTTAAATGAAAACAAATGGATGAAAAATTATGCGTTTAAATAACAGCGTTTTCGTAAACGAACATTGCTAAGCAAAGCCCGCATCTGCATTGCACTGAGCCACCGGGAGGTGTGGGGGCGCATGGGAACCGGGGATGGAACAGGGACTGAGGCCTTCAACTCTCCGAAAATTTACCAGTGGCCCTGTGGGCCTTGATTGGAGAGGAGCAATCAAAATAGCTCTCATCCCCTCGCCCTCCCAACGTGGAAGGACGTTCGTTGCCCCATGCCGGCGGCAAAATCTTATCGTATCGTTTCGTAGCTTGCTCCCAGCAAAGTGCATGTTATCATCTAGACCAGATGGTCATAATGTATCCAAGTATAAACATCTGTACGTCCACTGTCAAAGGCTTCGCAGGGTGATATTTCAAGTATTTTTTCCCCGCAGCTGTGCTATGGCTTCGGCGTTTTTTGTAGCAATAAAGCAAACTCTTTATTGTTTGTCTATGAAAACAATAACAGAGAAAATCCGGCCGTTTATTGTGGTTGAGATAACAGCATCTCAGCGAAGTGCTGCCTGAAGATCTGGAGGATAAACTAAAAAAGGAATACATTGATTGCGCTCGGCTATATACGGTGCGCGATAGACATATTTTGTCATGTGGTCTTTTGGAGTCCTAAAAAAATCGCACTAGTATTTGTAGCAGTTTAGTCATACCGATGTGAAAGGCCTTCATTATGTTGGACATTGGCTCATTATGTTAAGCATTGGGAATGGTGCTCCCTTGTTGAGAATCCGCGCGATAGACATATTTTCTCCTGCAACAATATTTTAGAACGGGTGGGTGGGCACTCCCCTGCCCGACGATAAAGGAGGACGCGTCCCCCTCCCCCCTCCCGGTGGCGCCGCCCCTGACAGAAGGGCTGCGGAGAAGCCGTGGTGCGGCGCGGAGAATCCCCATCCGGCTATCGCCACGCTGTCCGTATCGTGATTCCTCTTCCCTCTTGGGGATCTCCATATCCCTGTTGTTGTTCTCTCCATTGCTTTACTCACGTCATTTCGCTACATTTTTACGTTATCTGGTTTGCTTTCCCTTTGTTGTCTAATTCAAGCTTGGCTTTCTCTTCCTTGACTCCAATCGTGTGGCATGCCCTTTCTCGTTCCCTCGCCGGCCTCACCACGGTGATTCCCGTCCATGCCCTCGCGCAGGCGGCTTCCTGTATGCTTTTCCTCCATCCTCCATGCGAATCATCACGTGAACACCCGACAATGCCCGGACGCGCATCATCACCGATCTACTACAGTGACAGCGCGCTGCCGTCTCCGCAGGGCCGCGGCCGATTTCACGCCGCCGGACGCGCCGACTACGAGTCTCAGCTCGCCGCCGGCGGTGTTCAAACGTCCCCACCCCACCCCGGCGGTGACCTCTGACCCGGAGACGGGCCCGCCGCCGGTCAAGCGCCAGCTCTACAAGCACAAGAGCCGGGGCAGCCTCGGTCAGTCCGCGCCGCTGGTGCGCGCCGGGAGGTGCGCGGTGTTTCAGGAAGCTTAGTGCCGGCGCCGATACCGGCATTAACCAGAACGCGTAGATGCTGGCCTCTAGCCAAGGGGTATTGGATTACACTAGCCAACATGGGCATAGGTTTATAGTGTACGTAACGCAGACATATGTCCCGGCGCGTTACGGAGTGCGGACATTCCCAGCCCAGGCACCGCCCCTGCAGCAGTGGTCTGGCAGCAGTAGTTCCCGGCCGATCCAAGGGCGGATAACGGGGTCATGGCTCCCCAAACGACGAAAACAGCCCACATTTTCCGGTTTCGCCACCGTTGGAGCGGAAAATTTTAGTTGGGCCCCCCGACACTGGGTGCTGGATCCGCCGCTGTCAGCACCGGCTGCTCTCGCCGCGGCACCGAAATCGTGCACGTTTTAGGCGTATCAACTATCGCTTTCATGTCACGCTCATCGCGTGAGAGCATGGCTGATGGCGAAGACAGGCCGGCATACGTCACAAAAACAGCACGGGGGGAGCGCGCCGTCGGTGGCACACCCCGGCCAGTGACCGGTCCGGCCGCCTGCGCCGCTCTGCTGCCGACAGGCGGCTAATGCGTGTCGCGGCCGTGCTCGTTCGCACCGAATCGATGGCGACCCGCGCCGGCCCGATCGGCCCGAGCGGCCCGAACGACGCTGCAGCCCGGCTGGCGGCGAGTTCGCGGCGTCCGGCCGCCTGCGCCCCCCCCCCCCCCCGCCCGCGGCCCCCTCCCCCGTCGGCACGTGACCGACCCGCAGCAGCCCGCGCGCCCCGGTCCTCTGTCTGGCTCCTCGGTCTCGCACCAGCTAGCCGGCCGGCCGGCCGCCCGCGGGCAGCGCCGCACGCATGTCGTCCACACTGGCGGCGGCGGCGGCCGGAGTGCGGCGCGGGTCAGGCCGCCGACGAGCGGCGCAGGACCGGGCCGTCAGCTCGCCGCGCGTCGGTCGGCGGTGGGCGAGTCGAACGGGCCGGGCGACCCGCCCCGCATCAATCACGGTGTCGGGTGACGGGGGAGGGCCCTGTTTGTCGCGCGGCTATGTTGCCCGGAGTGGCGGTCGTCACGGCGGAGCGGTCACGCTGTTTTTGTGACGACTCGTCACACAGTGCCACCGCCGTGATGCCGGGATGTCACCCCGTCATTGTGAGCATCACCCGTGGTCTTGGAACGGACCGCCACAGCGCCGTTCGTGTGACAATGTCATCGCCGTCATCTTATTTACTGCGTGTCACCGTCCTGCACTGTTCTGAAGTTTCTGCCGTCACAGCGCATCACCTTCACGCTGTTGTGGAGTGTGGTCGCAGTTCGTCACACACCGCCATTTTGTTTGTGGTGACGGCCCGTCGCAGCACACGATGACATCGCTTTGTTCCGGCAGCGGGGCGGCCCATGGGACCACTTCTGACGGTCAAAGTCAGGGCCTCTTGTGCAACCCCCGCCCCTACCGATGCCTGCCTTCATCCGGCCAGGTCAAGGCCAGCCTCGCCGCACGAGCGCCGTGCCGCGTCCCGGTAAACAGCGCGCCCTCGCACGGTCTCTGACGCGAGCGCGCGGCTGTCAGGCGCACCGTGCCTGAGCCGGCCGCGGGCGCAGGTGGGGCCGGGCCCACGCGAAGCGCGAGGCGGCGCACATGTGACGGACCACGCTGGTGGCTGCGCTGAAATTTGGCTGCGCGCGGCCGGCAATTGTGCCTGCAGTTTTCCACGCAAATGTTTAAATGCACTGTGTCTAAAGAGGTCATGGTGTATCTATCCAAATATTTAGATACTTTTCGTACAGATGCTTAGGCCCGCTGTAGCGCCGTACCGTTACCTGATCTCACGAGTGAAGTGCCAGACGTGCTTCACGTTAATCGTCGACAGTAAAGTCCCAGCCTACTGACCTTCATCAAAGCCAAAAGCCGTCCGTGACGGGCACGAGCCCCGAGCGGTGCTCTCCACATTCAGTGCCGGCGCACGGCTCATCAGCGCTCCTCCCGCCCCTCTGCCGCCCTCTCTCTCTCTCTCTCTCTCTCCCTCGGCTGCCCCCGGTGGTGGACCTGGTTGCGGTGATGGCCGCCTGACGTCGGCTGTGATTCGCTCTGTGTCTCGGCTCGTGGTTCTGTTTGGGTTGGCGCCGGTCGGCGGGCGAGGGCGGGGGCCCGGCGGGGGCGGCGCGCCCGCGCGCCTCCTGCACCGCGCCTGGGCAGCTGTCGGGACCTCTTCTGCGGCCGCTCAGCCGGCGGGGCGGCGAATCGTCCGCCCTGGTACGGCGCTGCACTGACGCCAGGCGGTCCCAGGCACGTGCACCGACACGTGGGGCTCGACCCACCCCCGTGACCGGTCTTGGCAGTCGAGCGGGCTGCGAAATTCGGCTACGGTACCGCTGTGTCCGTCGCTGGGATGCGAGTTTTCAGTGATGGACGGGTTGCACGACTGCCAGGTGACAGTTTTCAGATAGCCTGGTGTGGTGTGTGTGGATGACGCGATATCGGAGGGCGTTCACATTTCAGCACCGTTGCATCAGCGGCATTGCATCACTTCAGTGCGTCACACAGTTCTTGGTGTACGAGTGGGTGATGGTATAACCGGATAGTTAGTGTCCCAGCGCCATTGGCAATGCGAGTCCCGTTGCTACCGCCTCGCTGGACTTCTATAGAACGCGCACCCGCGAAAACGTCAGATGCACGCTCAATTGGGTAAAGTACTAAGATCTACGTGCGTGATTACAAAGACGCTGCCAAGTGTGGTGCCTGACCGAACCAGGGCACGCTGAATCCGTGCTTTCCGTTGGGCTTTTCAGCGATTGACTTATCAAAGGGAATGCTCCACATTTGAAGATACTGAAACAAGCATCAGACGATGAAATAAGCTCACTTATAACTTCTGACGTGCTTTTAAGCAGAAAGGGCTGCTCTAGACAACACAGTCTTTCGGCCAAGTAAGTATGCTTCTCGATGCATCAATGTTCGATTACGTCACTGTACCTTGCACAACATTGATTGAGAGCCAGTTGACGGCCGCTACATCTAGTAATTGTACTCACGAACGCCATATAGGAACGACTCGACAATTATATTTGTCTTGGCCTTGATCGCCGCATAGCCAACGAAATGGCAGGATTTGAATGGCGTCATTGTGGCATCATGGATGCCTGGGTGACCTTAAAATAGTCTCCCCGAAAAAGTCTGCACATCTTCGGCAGCGTGTAGCTCACAAACTAGAAGGGCTTAGGCCTCAAGAAGAGCAGGATTGTGAAATGCACCGAATATTCTTCCAGATGGCTATTTCAGCTCAAAACCTCATACAAATGTGGAACATTCCCTTTAGGAGTACGGACGCAGTGGAGCGGTTTTGACCGTCCCATCAATACGGAGTGGGCTCTCCGCCCCGAGCAAATGGGGTCATCAGTTCGGGTGCGACCATGTCAGTCGTTCCGCTGTGACAAGCAGAGTAAACCCACCCCCTGCTAGACTTTTCCGGTTACATCGCTTGTGTCTTGTTTTTAGTCCAGTTCGATGCGAGAGCGCTAGATAGCCACAGGGCTGTCCTGTGCCGTGTGATGTGCAGCAGTCCCCAAGTGACTGCCAATCTGAGTGTCCCCGATTCGCGGAGCATTGCTTCGGTCCTGACAACCCACCGCAACCATCGCCGTTCAGTGAGGCATGCCGCTGCCCAGCTCAGTGCCGCCACCATCCCTGGGGTGGAAGTCAGGCCGTTGACCGCAGCTCGAGGCAGGAGGCGAACTCGCCTATCTAGGTCCAGAGACAAAGTGGCGAGCCCCTGAAGCATGCTCTCTCTCCCTCTCAAAATGTGATCGTCATCATGCATTCACGTAGAGCGGTCATCGCCTGGGCCTGGCCGACGCCACGTGGCCGGCGTTGACCGGCGCCGTCAGCTGCCGACTGTCGGCGCCGACAGCGGCCGACTGTCGGCGCCGCGAGCGGCCGACTGTCGGCGCCGTCAGCTGCCGACTGTCGGCGCCGACAGCGGCCGACTGTCGGCGCCGCGAGCGGCCGACTGTCGGCGCCGCGAGCGGCCGGCCGCCCGCCGGGAGCTGACCGTCGGCGTGCTGACCTGAGCGGCGGGCGTGTCCGGCGGACAGCTGGCGCTCGGGTGGCCCGCGCCCGCTGACCTGGCCCGCCCCCGCAGGTGCTCGCCGGCCGGCCGACGCCGACGGAAGCCCTCGCCAGAAGCCGGCCGCCAAGGAGCAGCGGCCCGACCAGAAGGTGGGTCTGCGCGCCGGTCCCGGCCGGCCCCAACCCGACTGGGAAAGGAATATGATACGGAGTGCACCACGTCGTCATACACTCACATTTGTGCGGTAACGTGATAGAGAAAAGTGTGATGCACCCGTCACATGGACCACCAGGAAGCAGGCATGCCAAGTTTCCGCAACGGTAATAAACAACATGAAGTTAAGCCAGACACTCCCTCATGCAGATTTGGCGCAAGGAAAACTGCATATACAACATGTTCTGGACCGCATAAAGGCACCTTCAATCGGTTAGCCTGAGAGAAGATATCCAACACTGGAACAGGCCACGTACGCGGTACGCATAAAATCACGAACCTTTGTGAACAAAGATGCCTACTCTCCACATATTTACATCCTCTCGAAAGCTTTGCGACAGCCGCACATCCGTCGGAGCGTCGCCGGAGGTGGTGGCCGGCCGCGCCTGCCTCAGCACAGCAGAGGCTCGTGGGACGTAGGCTTCCGGAACGCTGAATCGTGCCGAGTCATCGCCGGCACGGCAAAGTAGGGGAAGGGCTGGAAGAGCCCATGGCGGCTGCTGTGCGTAGCAGCGGCGTCTGGGTAGTGTACTTGGGTTGCGAGACAGGAGCTAGGAGAGGCAGATATAGTTACCGCGCTTCGCGAGGTACCGTGATTGGCCTGTTGACGGCCGGCCGTCCGGAAAGGAGAGACGGCATCAATCGATGCCCCCGCTGCGGCGGTCTCCAGAGACGTGAGCCAATGATGTGCTTCCGGAGGGTGCGCGCGTGCCGACACACCCACCGGAGCGTGCACCGACGCTGTACGCGGCCGCGTCCGCCGGCCGGCACGGCGGTCTCCGTACGCCCAGGCCGTCATGGAACGATTGAAGTCAAAACAAAGTCGCGTTTGAGCTGGATTCGTCGAAAGCTGCGGCCTTCTCTCCTGAAAAGTGTAGCGTCTTGCTCTTTGTTAGGCTTTCTTTTCGCCCTGAATTCCTCCTGCGAAGTTCTCGCTTCAACGGTCCTCCCAACAAGGCTGTGAGCGGAATGTTACGCAGTCGGGACATACTGTCCTGACCCGTATGGCATCTTTCTTTTTGCCAGATTGCTTTTGACAGCAATAATTCTGGAAACTTTGGGACGAGACGCGAAAAGACAACGTTCGAATGAGCGCTGTCCCAGTTGGAGCTGGAAATGGCAATGTTCAGGCGTTGGACATCATTGAGTATGCAAGGATTTGTTGAAACTTTTTTAATTACGCTTTTTTTACACATTTCCGATGCGTCTCAGATCAGCGCCCCGTCATGCAGATTTTTTATCGACTTGTACGATGTTGATACAACTAGAGAGGCGAATGGCTTTGTGAAAATTGCTGATGCCCTTTTCCCTACTCTGTCCTTCATAACCGCTACCTTGCCTTACCTTTCAACACACGTGTAGTTGCTCCAAGTGCAGCCTCATGCCATCCATTTGTTCCGCCGCGTATATATGTAATCAGCCGCCAGTGACGCGGTCCTCAGCCGACGCGTGCGGCCGGGCTCCGCATGCGGCACATAACTGCCCGAGACATAACAGTGTGTGACTGTGACCAGTCCCCGCTGCTCATACACCATTCCCCGCGCCGCTTGTCGCGCCGCCGCCCAGGCGCAAGGCTGCCGTTGGCCCCCGCACGCCACAGCTGCTCACTGCCTGTGACGTAATTCTCAGCCGGCGCGTACGGCCCGGTCCATATACGTGGGCCACAAACACTGGACGCATGATAGCCCAGCGCGTGATCGTGTGTGATCCTGTCCAGTGTGCGGACGTCGGCGGGCGGCGCGGCGCCGTCGGCCAGGGGACGGCCGTCCTCCGCGCCCGCTCCTGGTCCCGCCGTCTCCTCCAGCTGGGATGGCGCGGGCGGCGGCCGGTCTGCGCAGTACGGGCCGGGCGGGCGCCCATGGCCGCAGCGTGCAACTGAGGCCGCGCAGAGACGAGGAGCATGGCCAATGCCGGCAACCGTAACTGGACCGCAGTGGCTAGATGAGCTCAGACCGCCCAGACGCGTGTTCCTGGACTGCAGTGGGTAGCTGTAGACATGCCAGGATCAATACACATACGCAAATAAGATATCAGCAGATAGTACACGGTCAATGGCTAGTTTCCGCGGATTTCCCTTAATTCTTTTTCAGTTTAGCTGTACCGTTGCCCAAGTCCATTCTCCTGCAAATTGTTAAGCCCTTACCATGGCTTTTTCATGCCTTAACCGGGTATTTTTTGTGATAAAGTGCAGATCGTTCGTATTTTTAACGTTGGCTGTCGAAAAACTTGAGTCGCCGTTTATGTCACGAAAGGATTAGAGTCAGTCAACTGCAGATGGATTAGTGAAGCCTGTTTGCGAAAGCCAAGCGGTTTGATGTTGTTGGCGACCACACGCTGAGCCAGCTCGCGAACTAACCGGCGTTGATCCACGTGATGGCTGCTCGATTTTCCACTCAAATGCGGACGATAAAATGATCCCTATTGGGATCCACGCGGAGGCCTCGCGATGCACCGAAAGACCGGCGCAGTTAGGGACGGTCTGCTGAGCATGTCGGGCCCGGACGTGCGCCTGAGCCAAACTTAACAGAGCGCGTCCCAAACCACAAAAATGACAAGGATGTGCATGGAACTAAATTGTGCTGCTTTAAGTTAACCTGCGTGAGGTTTAAGACAACAAATTTGAGAAAGTAACACAATTCGAGTAAGGACCCTAATGGACTGTGGGGGCCCCATCCGATTGTAAGACCCCGGGCGGTTCGTGGCTCCACCCTGGTTAATGTCCTGCAACCGTCTCTGCCCATCGAAGCAAGTTGGCCCACGATGTGTTACAGGTGGTTGCTCCCTGCTAAACATGAAACCGTATGCCATCAGAGCAGGTAATAAGCGTTTTTACTTGTTTTCTTTCCCCCACTGGTGTGTCCGCGTGAGGACATTCATGGGCGCCATACTGGCAGCCTGCCGGAACGCCTGCACTGCCGATCAGCTGAGCCGCTGCACCGGTGCGTGGCCGATCGGCTGAGCCGCTGCGCCGGTGCGTGGCCGATCAGCTGAGCCGCTGCGCCGGTGCGTGGCCGATCAGCTGAGCCGCTGCGCCGGTGCGTGGCCGATCAGCTGGGCGATTACGTGTCGTAGAGTGGGCTGGAGAGAGCGGCAGCCGCGCCGTTTGGCCGCCTCCGGGGTCGCCGCACCGCGATCGGCGGCGCCCGGGGCCGCGCCGTGCTCCCAGCGGCCGGCTCCATTCTACAGAGGGCACCGTGACGGCCGCGCGGGCTCAGCGGCGACACGGCCGGCAGACCGCTGAGCGCCGCCGGACGGCCGCGCCGCACGCCATGGCTTCGGGCCCGGAAATAGGTCAACGGCGGGCTGCCCTCCGGGCGCTGTCCGCCGCTGTTCGCCGCCTGCGCCGGCTGCGGATGTGAGCTGTCGCGCACTCCCGGGCAATGGACTGGCCGGGAGAGCGGTCCGTGCTGGACGGGCGGCCTGGCGCGGCCCGGCGGTAGACGCGGCGGCGGCGCCGCCCCCGCTGGTGTGCCTCCCGTTCTGCGTTGTATCGCGGCGGCGCGGCGGCCGGCTAGTGCGCAGCGCACGTGAGCGGCGCCGCGCCGCGTCGCCAAGGCCCGCCGCCCCGCGCGGCCCGCCAGCGCCGCGGCCGCACCCGCCGTCCGCCAGGCAGAGCCGGTCGACACCAGTCGCGCGCGTGTGCGCGTCGTGGAAGGGGGTCATGCGCCACTGGCGAACCACACGTGGGACATGTCGCTCAGTATCGGGATTTGTGTCTGGCTTTTCGTGTTTATGCAATGAGGGTTTGATGTTTTTCACATTGATTTGGCTCCACACAAGTTGTGTGAAACACTAAATCTCCACGCACTGCATCGAGCTTCGCACCAGCGCCAGCCTGCCTGGAATGCTTCCCGTGCCACTCAGGCGATGGGGCCCGTGAAATACACTTCGCGCTTCTTTTTGTACTCTCGAGCACTTCCTGGTCAGCCACAAGACAGCATGAAGGATGCTCCTATCGTGATGCATTGCGTCGGACGGACAGCAGCCAAAGAACCGTCCGTGCCAGCATGTTCCCGACTGAAACAGCCGCCAGTTAGCTCCTGGAACGTATGCAGGAAGCAGCAACGGCGGGGTGGGGCGCGCTTTTCACGTGACGAAATGTCCCTACGTGGGTTGAAAAGGCAAGAGAAACTGCGCTGAGGGCCGGCCGTCGTTACATACCCCCCCCCCCCTCCCCCCCCCCCCCCCAGAATCGTATCGTAGACGCGTGTCCGGCGCTGCGTGACTGGCGCTTGACACGCCTCTGTACACACCTTCGCGTGCTCGTCCTGTCAGGAGGTTTCTTAGACAGGCGTCCCTGATCATGCCAGCTGCTCAGTCGGTTTTCCGTGTCCAGCCCGGCGGCCCATGCGGGCCTCGGCCGTCTTTCGGCGGTATGCGGGGCCGGCGAGCGATCGCTGCCAGCTGCTGATAGCGCGGCGCCGCTCCGTGCTCGGAGAGCCTCCGCGGCGCCTGCACCGCTCGGCGTATGCAAACTGCACCGCTCGGCGTATGCTGGCATGATGCAACCAGGCACCGGCCCTCCTGCAGCACGGCCCACGGGCGACCTTGGTTAAAAAATCGGTACAGCAGTCCACAAACACGCCTCCGCAGCTGGAGCGCGCGCCACGCTCCGAAATCCCGCGCGGCGGCTTGTAAGACACGGTGCAAGTCAACAGACCGAGGCGTTGTGGAGGCACGCTAAGCTGGCTACCCAGCGGCCGGTTTAGCTGCCAGAGGAGGCTCGACCCATGTCGCCGCGCTGGGTGTTCTGACCAGCAGCTCCAGAAAAATAAAAAAAGTGACCCAGTTGTCGTACGCTGCTAAATTTAAGCAGTTGATGAAGCGATTATCCATATTCTGCAACCGGTCGCAAAAATGAAATGGTGGCCCATTTGTCGTACGTGTCCAGATTTGGAGACTTGATGACTGTGATAACTAGTACTGTTACCATTCATATTTATACGTGATCACCGTCACGGAATCGAAACCAAGCTGAACGTGTTCGCACTTTTGAGCGGCCGCGCCAGCGACCGCGGGTAAAGCGTGCCGATGCCGTGCCCATACTTAATACACATGACCTTTGCTGTTCTGGTCATGACACCAGCCGACATGACCATGAACTATCGTGTTGAAACGTCGCCTGCACGCCTTTCTCGGCGGTGGGCGTGTCCGAGCTCCGCGGCATTGATGCGCCACCGACGGCCGCCACCAGGGCCCGCCCCAGTCGTGACGATCTCCTGCTCGGAAGAGCCGTCTGGCACGATATGTTGCACAGCTCCAGAATGGGGGTCGCTGCGCCAGTGGCGTAACCAGGGGCTTTTGGGGTCCGCCTGGAGGCGGCGGGGCGCCTTGGACCGGAGGCCCCAATTTCCGTTCGGCACCTTAAGGCGCTTAAGGCGCTTCTGAAGCATAAAAGCAGCCCCCCGGGGCATCGAAATGAGATCCCGAACTCAAAAAGGTTTCCCGGGGCGATAGCTCATTTGAGCATAGCGCCTGCCCTCCGATCCAGCCGCCCGTGGTTGGGTGGGTTGGGTTGCTTTAGGCGCCCGCTATCTGGCCTTGACAGGTACGGCCTGCGGCCGAGAGCTGGAGCTATACAAAAGGTCAGGTGCCGCCAGAGGGCAAGACGGACCGTGCCGAGCATCGCGGCATGCTAACCCTCACCCCGATAAGACAGGGCGAGTGTCGGTGCGCCTCCGTAAGGTTTTTTGAGGACACCTTTTCCGGCATGTTGTGCAATCGCGCCCAAATTTTCAACAGCTATGGGGCATTCATTGTACGTGTTTTGACACGAAAACATGCTCTTAGCTGTTCTAGTTTCGGAGCAGCAGCGGTTTTTGAGGAATATGGCACGGCGATCTGCGGCCGACGCTGGCGGCAGGCGGTAACCGACGATGCTGCGGAACGCACGCGGCGGGCCGACGTTGTCACATTAAGTGGACCATGTATCTTGCAGATATGCTCAAAACACATAAAGATGTACGCAATTGTACTAAGGATTGAAAAAGGAACATGCCTGTTTAGTTTTTGTGTCGGCACGAGGTATGGTCTCGCGTGTATGATGTTGTAAAGCTGAAAGTGTGATCGGGAAAATTTGAACTTTTGACCGGGCATAATATGATCAATTCTTACCTAGTAACATAAAACTGGTACCAATCGCGAGATGCCGTTGAGACCAGTCCATTGGTTTGTCTGCCAAACTCTATCTTCATTACTTTGGGAACGGAAGGTGAGGTGGCATCAACCCCCCCCCCCCCTCCCTCTGCAAATCCGCGTTGCGAAAAACGGCCAGTGAGCGCGAAGGTTAAACTGTCACCACAAATCCTGCCGTTGACCCGAAATTACGTGATCGCATGGTAGGGCTCAGGGCTAACACACCAAGCACTGCTTAGCGTGAGCTCTGGTCCCAGAAATCCATCCGTCCAAAAAGGCTCGTATGTAACCTTAATCAAAAGGTTCCCCAAATACAACTCAGAGCTTTTAAGCGGCGAATAGAGGTTCCTTGGCTGGAAGGGCTCTTATGACCCCATTTATCCCGTCATGAGCCAAATCCTAGCTACGTCATTGCGTTATGCACCAGTTGGCCAGTCTGTCTGTACCCAGGGGGTCAATCTGTCTGTCGGATCGCTCCAGAGTTGTAGGAGCAGAATGGTTTCGGGCGAGGAAGTGAAAATTTAACGTCCACTTTTCATGAAAATTTGACGACCCAAAGTGGCGCATGACAATACAAGCTTAACGCTGAGTTTTTCCCGTGATGGTTGAGACGCCCCCACATTCTCGGTTCGCTCTGGTACGCGATCCGAAGCCACCATCCGCACTTGGCCGGAAGCCATTGGTCAGCCTTGAGCGCGGATTGGTCACCTGGCGATGTACCCCACGTGCTGCAGTCGAGCTGTTGACCGGTGTAGCCGGCCGGTCAGCCGCCGTCGACCGCCGCCGGCCGGTACCGTGATCCCTGGACGGGATTCGGATCTGGTCCCCCGTCGGCCCCGGTCCCCCGTCGAGCCCCCGTCGGGCCGCCGTCAGCCGCCGTCGACTGCCGCCGGCCGGCACCGTGATCCGTAGACGGGATTCGGATCTGGTCCCCCGTCGGCCCCCTTCGGGCCGCCGTCAGCCGCCGCTGACTGCCGCCGGCCGGTACCGTGATCCGTGGACGGGATTCGGATCTGGTCCCCCGTCGGGCCCCCGTCGGGCCCCCGTCGTGCCGCCGTCAGCCGCCGTCGACCGCCGCCGGCCGGTGCCGTGAAACGTGAACGGGATTCGGATCTGGTCCCTCGTCGGGCTCCCATCGGGCCGCCGTCAGCCGCTGTCAGCCGCCGTCGACCGCCGCCGGCCGGTACCGTGATCCGTGAACGGGATTCGGATCTGGTCCCCCGTCGGGCCCCCATCGGGCCGCCGTCAGCCGCTGTCATTACTGTGTCTGGCGCCGCGCTCGACATCGATCGCGACGATTCCCTCCTTACGGTAGTCGGGGGATATTAATAAATGTCGACAGTGAAAGTCGACAGTGAAAGAGTCGAGATGACGTCAATAAATAAGTACATTGAGAGCATGTGATGTAACCCTCCTTGCAGGCGACACATACGGCTCAGCCCGCTAAATGAAGATTTTTGCAAAATATGTCTGATTGTGCTCCCCTCTTTATTACGGAATCTTGCAGATGCCCTTGCGGTTTGTTCCATTTCGCGCTTGCGCCTGCTGTATAGGGCACCCTAAACTTGTGAAGACTGTTAACCTATCGACGCTCAATGTACCTTGGCATAGGTATTTAACGGGCGTATTTATCGGGCGTGTGTACGTCAACGGAGCGTGTCAGAAAAATTGCCCCATCGGAAAACCCTATTTGAGGCCAAGTCTGTCCACCCATCACATGAGGTTAATGTGGAAATTCCAGGAAAGTGACAGGGGATGAAGCTAGTATTTCCCTCCCTCCTCCCCTTCTTCCACGCCTGTGGTTTGTTAGACATGAAACATCATGGCGAAGCCATGACGTCTTATGCCAACGGGGGGCTTTTTCGTCACGACAGATGTTATGTGGTATGAGGTGTTGCTCATGTTGAACTGCCCATGATCAGCCCGCCCATTGCTGAGGCCGGATGGTGTAACGTGCCACAGGGAGCTCCTAAGAACTGTACAGTGGCGGGCTTTCAGGAAAAGGTGGCCAAGGCGCACTGTTACCGCGAGGTTAGGTCGTTTTTCGGATCCCCGCTCGACAATGTCGTGCGCATTGGCCAAGGTTAAAGCAACTATCGATTTGCAGTCACCTCACACGACCGTTGAAGATATTTTCGAGGTCCCGTCAATGTCGTATGGATTGCTCGCCCGCCAATACGGATCGGTGCGTGTCATCCCCAGCCCGGCCTTCATGGGCGTGCCATCCCACAACGGAAACTGGCTGGGCGTTCATGTGCCTGAAGCCACCCTGGGAGTCCAGGCACGTCTCCGGCTGAGTGCGTTCAACCGTGGAAAACATAACAAAAGTATGCTGTGAAATAGATGAGCTGAAAACTCGGGTCTGCCGATACCGAAGATTCGTGCCCTCGTCTCCTGCTCCCAATATTCTGATGTTGGCGCCAGGCAGCTGTCCCGGCGTAGGCATAACATGCCATTGGTTACGACGGATCGGCGGTTACGACGGATCGTATTTAAAGCGGCGTCCCACCCTTGTCGCGGCATCGTTTGGAAGCGACGGCCGACTGCACAGCGCTTCCCCGTGAGGTGTGCAACGCATGGGCGACTGAACATCTGCAAGCCGGCGTCCACGTCTGCGTCGTGTGCCGGTCGCTATGGGCTGTTGTCTGTCATCTGTGTGTCGCTATTGTCCTCGTGCCCGTTCTGGGACGCTCGCTTGTGCCTGTTCTCACTGCACTTCGTGAGCTTGTCTGCATCCCTGATAGAGCTGGTACCGCCACTCGAGCACAATTCGACTGCGGGCGGTCTGTGCAGCTCGCCACACCAACGCTCGTCCGGTGCACGACGGGAATAGTTTGTACATTTGGGCATGTAGGGCACGGTCGACCGGGTGTTGGACTTCGGACCTGGGGACCCGAGCTCAAACTGCGTCCGCCGAGTGATATCCCACGGGCGCTATCGCGACGACCAGCGTGTAAATCGGGGTGGTAATGGCCCTTGCACCTCGCAGTTATATGTGTCTTGAAATCAGGTAATTATTTGTGTCAGACAATGGGAGTGCCGTCCCCGCTGATGCACTTAACCGCGGCCGGTGAGCACCGCGGCCAAATTATGCTCAGAATAGCTCTAAAGTGGCCGAGCGTGCCTGGGGGGGGGGGGGGGGGGGGGGGGCTCTGCCGGTAAGTGGATGGAGCACGACAGCAGCTGGGCCGACCGTGAGCGGCCTCAGATCAGATGGTCGGGATAGCCGTAGCCGGCCGCCGTGTCTGATTTGTCCGAGCGCTGCACCCGCGTGCAGCTGTGGCGGCGATTTCGGCGCGTGCCGCTGCAGCCGGCGCTCGGGTGTGCCGCCGCTGACCGCCGGCGCTGACCGTCCACAGGCGCGCATCCTGGCGCTGCAGGCGCGCCGCACTTGTGGGACCTGGGTGCAGTGCTGCCACATCGACTGCGGCAAGTGGCGCCACCTGGCGGCCGTGCAGGACCCGTCCGAGCTGCCGCAGGCCTGGCACTGCACCATGAACGACGGTAGGTGGCCGCCGGCCGGTCCGCCCGGCCGTCAACACGTGCCGTCGCTCAGCGGCGGTGGCCGCGCCTGGCACCGAGCTTCGTCGCGCTCTCCCGCGCTGCTGGCGCCGCGCCGCCGCCGCGCGCGAATCAGGCCCGTTTAGACGAGGGTGGCTACATTGGGCATGCCGGGCTTCGCGGGTGTGCAGTCGAAGGCGAGTTGTTTGCAAACAGACGAGCGCGAATGGCTGGCAGACGGCGCGCGAACGCTTCCGGATTTAGGAGGCGGCGCCGGTGCAACGGTGCTAAGAATACCTGATGGTCGGGTCCGACCGCGCGGCTTACGAGGCGCGGGGAGAAGACGTACGCGAGAAGGGAGGGGCGAGAATGGAGCGCAACCAGAGCAGTGAGGGAAAGAAAGAGGGCGGAGGGGGGGGGGGGGGTGATGGGAGGCGCGGAGCATGGCGAGGGTGTGCTGCCCAGAGATAAGCGCGCGGCGGCAGGGGCGAGAGCAGGCCGCGGCGTGGCCGGTGTCCGTGCTGACGGCGTGGTCGGGCCGAGCTGGCCTGTTTGCGCCGGCCGCCGCTCGGCCTGCCCACTGTCCGTGCTGGGCACGGCCGGCCGCCGGCTCGCGGGCCGCCAGCGCGCGGTGCCAGCAGTGGCCGTCGGCCGCGGCGGCGGCCGCAGCTCCCGCCGCCGGTGACAACGGCCGCGGCAGGGGTCGGGCCGGCGGACGGCGGGCGCCACAGGCCACGTGCGGCGGCCATGTGAGCCGGACAGGCTGGCACGCGCCGCTAGGAACGGACGCGGAACGCTGCGGTGTACGGTGCAGATGGCGAGGATGCCGGCGCATCACATCGATTCGGACCGGTCGTCGCCGCGGCTGCTGGCCCCACCAAATCGACCTGTGATGGGCGCTACCGGTCCGTGCGAGCCGGGGCCGAGGTGGGATCAGGGCGGCGTATTACTGCCGGAGATCCCTCCTCCGCTGGATTCGCGATGCGCCTCTTCACTGATCTCTCCCCGAGACTCGGCTTGGTGGCTGACTCTATTCTGACACGCCACGTCTCGGCCCCGTCTCTCTCGCCAGCTGGTGATCGTGAGAGGGGCTCAGATTTCACTCATCTTAGCTGGTGGCCGGTCACCGACACGTGTTCCATGCGTGTCAGCATCTATCTATCTGTATCGCTGGTTTTCCCCATTTCACATAGCTATTTCTGTACTGAACAACACGAATGAACTACGGAGCGTTGGTAGCAAATTCAGCACTGATCAGCGTTCGCTCAGACCATGGCACAGCTGACAACTGCCTCCAGATAATGTAGATCAAGATAAGGTCACCCAACTCCCATTTTCTGTGCATACGCGGACTGCGGTGGTGTGCCAGCACCCAGGATCTAATCCTAGGCTGTGCGCGTGGCTGGCGCTTTCTCCACACTCTCCGTGCTTATCCTGAAAAGTTAATCCGACGGCGAACAGTCATCGGCCGGCGTGGAGGCCGGTGCGCGCGCCAGCGCGTACAGACAGCACTGCGGCCGTGGGCCGGCGTGCCTGTCTGCGCTTCACCCGGCTAGCGTGAGAAGGTGCGCGGACCGGCCGGCAGCGGCGTCAGGTGGTGTTTGTGCGCCTCGTGCAAACAGCGGCCGCCCGTGCGGGGAGCAGGCGGAGCGGGGGCGAACGCCGGCCCGACATCAGCACCGTCCCGTTGGCCTGCTCACTCAGCGCAGCCCAAGGCGCGGGATCGACCTCAGTGGACAGTGACGCCAGTAGTTCTGAGTGCCTTGTGCTGTAATTTGCGGCGGCGGTGTCCCGGCGCTCTCGAACGGCTCGTCCCATCCTCGGCATCCTCGACAGACTTTCTAAACTTGCCTGATATAAATCCTGGCAGAGATTTTTTTTCATTCGGTCATCCGATATTCTTGAGAGAGCCGTGATTAAAGTGACGGCAGCGATATCAGAGCCAGCAGCTGACAGCCGAGCGAGGCCGATTCTGCCGCCCGTGCCCCGGCCGCCGGGTGGGCCGTGACCTCCCGGCGCGGTTGGCGCGGCGCTGCACACCGGGGGACCTGTCGCCTCCCGCTCAGCAGCGGCCGCACGGGTAACGGGTGGCAGGCGCGGATGCAGAGCGGCCCGCAGGACGGCACTGGCTGGGGACACCCGAAGCAGACGGACGCGGACGGGCGTGCTGAGCTTGTGATCCAGTAAAGGCGCGAGTTTGACAGCCGGTCTAAGAAGGCTGAGTAGTTTCATCACACACGTGTCTCCAGAAAAACCTAGTCCCTGGTCTTGTAGCCCAACAACAGACACGAGTCAATCAGCACGAGAGACACGGGGCTTGTCCACCAGTGGCGTATGCAGGATTTCGCACGGGAAGCGGCTAGATCGGGTCAGAAGGAGTCCTTCCAGCCAAGAGGACCCTGTGCATCACTACAGGGGCTCTTTTTGAAATTTAGGAGACCTTTTTGGGCTCGTGTTCCTTCTTTGATGCCTCGCAGACCCCTCTGTATGTTTTACAAACTCTAAGGGCGTTTTCAACTGCAAGTACTAGGGCATTTGACCCCAGGCGGCCCCGGCCCTACCGGGGGTGGAACGGGGGAGATACGGCTCCCACAACTCCCTTGGCCACGCCACTGGTGTCCACGTGCCGAAGCCGGCGGTGATCGGTGACGGCGCCCTGCGGCCGGGCTCGTTGGTCGGTCCGGTTGAGGTGGCCAGTTTTTCTGGCGGCCCTCGCTCCCTGGCTCTTCCGCAACGGACGGCCAGCCGGCCGGCCGCCGGCCGCCGGTGGTATTCGCGTCGTCGCCCCGGCCCCGTCGCGTGAGGCGACGGAGTGCAATGCCGTTGTTGATCAGCTGAGGCGTCTGCCTGCGCGACGTCCCCTGTGCAGCGACGTCCCCGGTCCCCTGACCCGCGCATGTTTTCCAGGAGCGCGGTTGTGTAAGCCCACAACCGGTTTATTGCACGGGTGATTACGCGATCAAAAACACAAACTGGATCAGCCGATGCAGCCATGGTATGTTTCTGAGCCAGGCTACATTGCTGCTGGATTATGAGTTGTAAGTTCTTATGCTGACAGTAATCGGATTTCAGTAGATCTGGAGGTACTGATTAAACGGCGTTATTTGACAAGCCATGGTTGTGTTGACAAAACCCAACCTTAGATAACTCAGATCGCAGAACTAAGAACTCAAACTGAGGCTTTTGCAAGCATAATCATGAGATGATAACGTCGGTCACACAGTACGTCCTGCCGCCTGGGACGCCGATGATGTTGACATAACAACTCTCAACGTACGCCGAACAACCGGGACCTCAATGCTTTTCTTGGTGACATGGAGTAAAGCACCGCTGCTGGTGCCTGCCATTGTGTAGCAGTGGCAACGTAGCCGGCTCTTTGCATTCCTACAAATAAGGCACGCACCATGTGCCGACATCGTTCAAGTTGTGGTTTTGTGCACAGCTCGATTTGTATCATTGCCAGACAGCTCACAGCTAGACGTCGTCATTTTCATGCATTGCTAGACGGCATGTGACATTTACACACAGAAGTGGCACAAGGCAACGTTGTTTCTGCAGTGCAGAGCCGTTAAACGATCACCATGAACAAGGATGAGCCTCTAACCGAGCGGGTTTTGCTATAAGTTAGCATATCTCAACTGAAGTAGCCAAGTCCGCCCGTCACGTTTTCAAGAACCTGGCATCTTTGCAATCTGCAGTCGCAGCCGCACGCCAGTTTCAGGAAAAATGCGCGATTCTTCAGAGGATAAACTGGGTGTATTTTCAGACAGTTTCGATCAGCAGTTTTGATCAGATTTGATTTTCTGCATCGTTACGTCGTAAAAAAGTGCAGCCTCCTGACACAGGTGCGCCCATTTATTCAATGTATAAGGCCATACAATACGGACCGAAACACGGTCCAGATCTCAGCAACCGGTTGTCACAGCGTCACAAGGCAAGGACTGCCTGAAGGAGGCCAGAACGGACCATGGCGGCGTCACAGCGTCACGAGGCCAGCACCGCCTCACGGAGGACCAGAACGGATCATGGCGGCGTCACAGCGTCACGAGGCGAGAAGCCTGAGGGGGACCAGAACGGATGATGGGGACTGCCTCATGGGGTCCAGAACGGACGATGGCGGCGTTACAGCGTCGCGAGGCCAGAAACGTGAGGGGGGTCAGAACGGACCATGGCGGCGTCACAGCGTCACGAGGCCAGAAGCCTGAGGGGGCCAGAACGGACCATGGCGGCGTCACAGCGTCACGAGGCGAGAAGCCTGAGGGGGGCCAGAACGGACCATGGCGGCGTCATAGCGTCACGAGGCCAGAAGCATGAGGGGGGCCAGAACGGACCATGGCAGCGTCACAGCGTCACGAGGCCAGCACCGCCTTACGGAGGACCAGAACGGACGATGGCGGCGTCACAGCGTCACGAGGCCAGAAGCCTGAGGGGGGCCAGAACGGACCGTCATACCGGCAAAGGTGTCAGTGGGTGCATGCTCGGTTATTGGCGCACGCTTGAGCACGCTTTTTGCGATTGTTAAAGACTGTTGACAGATCTCTGCAACAAGAGTAGATAAAGATGTGATAACCGCACGGTGCAGGTCGGCACACCGTTCACAAATCACTAACAATCTCAGCAGCTCTCGCTTCACGGGTGTGCTGGGAATCGACCAGAAAGCGGCCAAGGTCTCAGATAGAATCTGGCCCGGATTGCAGGGCGCTATGGTCCGAACCGAGACAGATCGGACCACGCAAACTGCACGAGAGTGCGGCCGGGTACACTGTGACCAGTGGACATCTGCAAGTTGTGTATTTTTTCGCAGTGGTAAGTTAAATAACACGGAGTGCGAACGCAGGTGCCAAAACGTGGGCGATCGCAAATTCGTCGATTTCGTCGACTGAAACCGTTAAGCCTGCGCGGCTCAGCAGAGGCAGCAATTTTGCAACGTTTTTTTTAAATTTTCACTTCGTGAACTGGCGCTTGTTTGCTACGGTAGTCTAATCTGCTCTACTAGCATCTGCGGTGACGTTTTGTTCTTACGACGAAGTAGCACTTGAGAAATAATTTGATCTTTTCTTTTAATCGATCGGGCGTGACACATGCCGTTCACAGCAATTGAGTGCCGCATTGCGAGAGCATGCCCTCGTTACAAATAAATATCGTTTTATCATCCTCGAATTACACATTCTGCTGACGTGTCCGGCGGTCTACAACAAGCCCGTTCCCTGCTGCGGTGCTCGCGCCCGAGTGGATGCCAATGATATCTGGAATCCGTCACGTTCGGCGCCTCAAAGACGCACCGAGTCGGCTGAACTAACCGCTCGGGATAGCAGTGAGACGCCGCGCGCGATTTTTCGGTGGTCGTTGGCAGGCCGCATTGTACCTACGCGGTGGGCCTCCGTCGGCGGCCGTAGCGGTGCTCGCGCGCGCCCGACGGCTGCCGCAGTTGGAACGAATGGTCACGATCGCGCCACAGCTTTCAGCGGTCTTGCCGAGTCACGTTCCAGACGCCCTTGAAATTCTGTCGACGCTCTCGTGCATTCTGAGCCTGGGCGGCGGGGTCCCTGCGCGTCAGATGGGCACTGCCGGCCCCACCCGCCGGCGGGCGCCGCCAGCTGACGCCTGAGCCGCCAGCAGCCGCTGGGCGACCAGCAGCCGCTGGGCAGCGCGACCTGGAGCTGGCCTCCGCCGCCAGCAGCCGCTGGGCAGCGCGACCTGCTGCCGTGAGTTAGCCGGAGCCCCCACTGGCGGACGGCAGGAGCTGGCCTCCGCCGCCAGCAGCCGCTGGGCAGCGCGACCTGCTGGCGAACGGCAGGAGCTGGCCTCCGCCGCCAGCAGCCGCTGGGCAGCGCGACCTGCTGCCGTGAGTTAGCCCGGGCTCCCACTGACGGACGGCAGGAGCTGGCCTCCACCGCCAGCAGCCGCTGGGCAGCGCGACCTGCTGCCGTGAGTTAGCCCGAGCCCCCACTGGCGGACGGCAGGAGCTGGCCTCCGCCACCGGCAGACGAAGGGCAGCCTGACCCGCCCGCCGACATACACACTGCAGCCTGACCCGCCCGCCGTCAGGTGCAAGTAACTTGATCCTCGCGCTGTCAGGTACCAGTCAGCTGACGCATCCCCGCTGTCAGGCACCAGTGGGCCGACTGACGCCGCCGTCAGACCCGGGTACCTGGCCCGGTCACGGCCGGCCAGCCGGTGACCGAGTCCGCTGCCGTCGACAGACGCCGCCGTCGGACCCGGGTACCTGGCCCGGTCACGGCCGGCCAGCCGGTGACCGAGTCCGCCGCCGCCGACAGACGCCGCCGTCGGACCCGGGTACCTGGCCCGGTCACGGCCGGCCAGCCGGTGACCGAGTCCGCTGCCGCCGACAGACGCCAAGTTCGGCTGGTGCTCGGCGCCGCAGGAGCACATCCCCAACTCGGCGTTCCCTCGGCTGGTGGCCGTGCGCTTCACGGTCGGCTCGGTGGTCTGGGCGCACCTGGACGGCTTCCCCTGGTGGCCGGCGCTCGTCGACGACGACCCCGACACCGAGGACTTCTTCTGGCTGGACGGCTTCTCCGAGACGCCGGTGCGTGGCGGCGCCGCGACCCTCCCGGCGCACGGCTGAGCTCCGTGCGCCCCGTCAGCTAGGGACGCGCTCCGCGGTATCAGTGTCCGGTTGGGCGTGGTTGGCAATGGTGCGACGTCGACCCATGGCGTGCGCGCGTGCTGTACGGGGTGCGGAGATACTGCAGACGGTGGTCCGTGGTGCATCGATCGTCCCTGGTGTTACGCAATGCACATGACGCTTGGTGTCGCCGGCTAGCGCCGCAAAGGTCGTAGGCCGAGACGAACTGACAGGGGTGGACGTGAGACCCTTCTTGCCCGCTGTGTGCGTCCAAACGCTTTGTGACTCGGGGCGAGACCGTTCAAAATGCGCCGTCAGTCGTTCGTTTAGTTAATTTTGATCCTCGTTACGTCGTGTGTGGCGTCGTTGTCGCGGCGGCTGTTGGTGTCGCTCGGCTGAGCTGCCAGCGCGCTGCCGGGCGGGCTCGAGAGGACTATTGACGAGGCAGGCAGTGCGCAGTCCGCCCGTCAACATACTGGGCTGCCAGCCAACTGACGAAGCTGCCAGCCGCCCGTAACGGTCTGTCCTCTCCCCCTCCCTCGCCCGCCCTGCAGCGGTGACCGCGTCGCACGACGCGAGCCATTACACCGGGCGCCTCTCGCTGTGTCGCAGACCCACTACCACGTGACGTTCCTGGACGGGCCGACGCAGCCGGTGACCCGCGGCTGGGTCACCCCGGCGCGCGTCAGGAAGTTCGAGTCCGGGGATCAGGCCAGCGCGCGGACAAAGGTCGGAACCGGGGAGGGGGCAGCTAGAGCCGAAATCCGCTTTGTGGCTGTCACAACTCTGAGGTTTTGTACACGCTGGATTGCACTAACAGAGGCCCTCATAATGCTTGAACTCGTCGCGGTCGCTTTGGCTTTGGTCGCTGCCTTATCGGCCGCTGCGGTGCTGACAGGCCTGAATCCCCAATCAGGGGGCACGATATGGGTTCCTTTCATGCCCTGATGTAACCGGGATATCCCTGTGTAGTAAACCCACGTTCAAGACGCCCCGCCTCAGCAGCTGTAAGTCGGCGCCGTCTCAGCGCTCGCAGTCGGCGGTGCCCGCCGTGTGTTGGCGGTCTGACCTGACCTGACCTGACCTGGTCGGCCGGCCGTCAGTCCCGCTGCCGCGGCATCGAGTACCGCGCCCGGCTGGAGGCAGCCGTGGAGCAGGCGCACCTGGCGCTGGCCTGCCCGCTGGCAGAGCGGCGCCGCCGCTTCACCTTCGTGGCCCGCTACCCGGGCCCGTGGCCCGTCTACTCGGACAGCGAGGCGGAGACGGCCCGGCTGCCCGACGGTCAGTCCGCGCCGCCGCCGGGGCAGGCCGGCCGGCGCCGCCAGCGACTCCTGCGCGCACGGCGCCGAGCCCGTCAGTACGCGCCGCCGCCGGGGCAGGCCGGCCGGCGCCGCCAGCGGCTCCCGCGCGCACGGCGCCGAGCCAGTCAGCCCGCTCCGGCGGTGGCCCTGACAGGCGGACGGATCCCCTTGGTTACGCCAAAGGGGCAGCCAAAAGCGTTATTGGCTGCTGGCTACCAGCCTAGTCCAGTGGATTTGTTGACGAGGATTGAGTTAACCGAACAAACAAGTGGCGATTTGTGAGGCTCTGAACTTGGCGTCTCGGAGACCGGAAGTATTGCTGAGAACAAGTGGGCAACTCTGACCGCCCTCAACGTCTCTAATATACGGGCAGACGGACCGCCTCGTCCATGCTGACCTGTCCCTGTGTCAGCTCGCCGCGTCGCCGGCAGAGGCCACGCCCAGCGTGACCTGGCCGCCGAACTGACCGCGCTTCGCCCGGCAGGTCGCCGCCCGTCGCGGAAACGGCGACGCGGCCGGCGCTCCAGGACGTCCCGCGCCCCGGCGGCGCAGGTGGGCGTCCCCGGCGGGGGCCGCGGGGCGACTCTGTGCGGGGGTGGACCCCCACGATCAGAGCGGCCCACGCCCTCGGTCGTGACGGCGGCCGCGTCCCGTGGCCTCGGAGCCTGTTGACTTTGCTCGTGCTGTGCCTGGCCTTACCAGATATCTCGACAGGCGCTGTCGGTGTGCTAAGATTCTGAATGCGGCTCACGCTGGTCGCTGCAAGTGCAACCCATGAATAGAGCTGTAAATATTTGCATCCTGTCGTGAGCCGCGCTGCTGCCCGTAGTCGGCACCAGACGGCGCGGCCCGCAGTCGTCAGCAAAACAGACCTTGCAGCAATCGCGCCTGTTTAGGCCCATCCTGCCGTCGGAGGACGGGAGTGGGGCGTGGTGGCGAGCCGGGCCCGGTGACGCGGCCGCCCTCTGCCGCAGGCCTCGGCGCCGCGCCGCCGCCGGAGCCGCTCCACCAGCACCAGCAGCAGCAGCAGCGGCAGCCGCAGCAGCCGCGACGACGAGACGGTCAACTCGCTGATGGACGTAGTGGACGACATCGTGCAGCAGCTGACGCAGTCGCAGTCGCAGTCGCAGTCGCAGTCCAGGCACACCCAGGGTGCGGGCGGGCGGGCGGACCCGGGTCGGGGCGGGCTGTCGACGCCGCTGGTAAACAGATCGCCCGGGCTGGACCTACTACACGGCGCGGCGAAAACACGGTCAAGCGGGCCGCTTTGTCGGTAGCGCCTAACAGTTCGAGTCAGGTCCTGAGTGTCACGAATGCCCCTTTGGCAATCATTAATGACAGGCTGATGAGAGCGCTCCGCATCCTGCCAGCGGCGGGCCCGCGGACGGGATGTCGCTCATGCTCGCGCCGCGCGGCCCCTTGTAAGTCCCCGAGGGCACGCGCCACGTTAACGGCCATCTCGCGGTCAGGTGACGCCGGTGAGGGCGTCCTCCCACTGATCGACGACGCTCCGGGCGGGTCGGAGGCGGCGGCGGCGGCGGCTGACGAGTCTGATGCAGAGTGCTCGCCGGAGCCGGACACGGCGAGGACTGGGTCAGCGAGCCGGGCACCTGACACGACGCAGCCGAGACAGCTGAAGAAGGTTCGCGCGGGCTGGAATGAGACGGCCAAACCCAAACCAGCCCACAAGAAACTGAAGGACAAGAACGCAATATGTGGCAAAAGTAAAGGGAGCCACACACCTGTCAAACAAAAAAAGAAGCGGCAGACGACAGCGCCGGCCGAGTGCCAAACGGGCAGGATTCTGCCGACCTACAAAACCAAGAAGGCAGGGAAGGCGTCAGAAGAGGCGGGCGCAGTTAACAACACGAAGCCTGTGTTCAAACCAAAAAATAAATCTAGAGCGATAACGGCGATGCGAGATGCAGTGAACAGTCAGAGCCCTACTGCCACGCCAGAAAAGAAGTCCCAGAAGCCACCAGTTATGGATAATAGGATGGACAGTGCGGAACCGTTCTTCAAGCCGAAGACGCAAAGCCAGGAGGCGCCGGGAGTGGAGATCGACGCGGACAGTACGAAGTCACCCCGTTCCCAAGAGAACGAGCTCCCCACCCAGCTGCCGGCGGGCGGGTCGAGCCCGCGGCAGGACGGCGGTGACCGGGCGCCGAGCCCGTGGGGCGAGCCGTGCGCTCGGGGAGATGAGCCGCGCTCGGACGAGGAGAGGCCGGGTCTGCTGCACCTGGACGGGGCGCGGCCGGCTCGGACCGAGTCTCCCTTCCTCCGCCGACCGGCGGCCGCTACCCTGCTGGCCGGCGGCGGCAGCCAGGGCTCGGAGCCGGCGCTGGGCCCGCCGGAGCTGGCGCTGGACGCAGAGTCCAGCTCGCTGTTTGAGCCGGCGCCGACGCCGTCGCCCCGGGCCTACACGGAGCTGCAGAGCGAGGAGCGCTCGCAGGAGCTGTTCGGCGCCGCCGAGCAGGGCTACCAGTCGGACCCGTTCGAGGCGGACGACTGAGCGCCGCCGGGGCCGGCGCCGGAGCGGTCGGTGATGAAGGCCGAGATCCTGTAGGCCCAGAGGTGGCCGAGGAAGAGAACTCCCCACGTTGTTGTCATTGACGATCCGTGTTGCCCTTCGTGAGCGGACAGGTTCGCGTCGTGTTCATCGTGATTTTCTGGCATTCTTATGATTGTTACTGAGGGCCTCGTTTCGTTTGGATGATTGTGTCTAATGACTTCCATTTGTCGATTGTATTCAATGAATCGCGTTCCAGAATGCATTCTGTATATTGCTCTCAGCGACGCACAGCAGAGCTCGCGGCAAACTGCACGGCACATGTGTTCACGCAAACACACGAACACACACACACGGTACAAACGAAGGAGTGTCAGCAGAGACAGCAACGCCCGGCCATCGAGGCCACGAGCGGTTAATGCCAGCCAGCGCCCGGCACCCCGCATGCCGCCGGCCCCACTCACCAAACCTGGTCACACGCACGCGCGACACGCCGGCCATTGGAATGGCTCAGCTGCAACAGAGTCGTCCCCAGGCGGCGGAACGGCATCGCCATCATCGCCTCACATCGGACCCCCGGCCGGCCGTCCGCCCGTGAGGACACACACCAGCTACAGTGCACGCGTGCCGCGCGGCAGCCGTCGCTTGAGTGGCAGCCGCCGGCTCTTAGAACAACAGTAATGGAAGCACTGGCGCAAAGCCACAGCCCGGCCAGGCGGCGGACGCACCGTCCCCGCACTGGCGGTATTCGCGACCCTGTCGGCGACGCCAGCGGAGACAGGAGCCCCGGGGCGGCTCGACAGGGCGCGGCGCGGGCGGAAACTCTGCGGTCCGACCTCTTGCATCCACGCCTCTCATGGAGGCAGCAGCGACCTCTCGCCGCCGCCTGAACCCCCCCCCCCCCCCCCCCCACACACGGCAGCGGCACGCAGCACGCTCGGACGTCACCACACAGACGTGCACTGGACGCCCTGCCAGCGGCAGCGCGGCAGCGCGGCACCGGCCGGTCGGGAGGCACAGCGGAGACACAACCCAGCGGTGGGCGACGGAGACAGCGTCGTGGAAACGACGGCGACAGCTGCCGGACTAGAGTCAGCGACTGGAGCGGGCGGGCGGGCAGCGGCGCTCCCAGCAGGCGCCCAGCCGCACGCGGACGCCGCCGGCCCGCAGGAAATCCCATCTTACGCTTGGACGCTTATTTGGCAGCCGCGCACAAGGTAAGTGCGGCCAATCCGCGCCAAAATGCGCGCATTCCAATGATTGCATTATCCGTGACGCACGACTGTTCATGGCAACAGCGGCGAATCTTTGTCGACAAAAGCTCGAACCACGCCCGCGGAACACACGCGGCGAGTGTTTAGTGCGCTATCACACGTGACCTGGCGCGCCCCGGCGGCTCGCTTTGGCACCCCACTCGGCGCGGCATCACAGTCTGAGGGCCCGGCCCGGCCCGGCCGGCCGAGCTCATGAGGCCATCTGCTTGGGCGCCGGAATCTCGACGTACTTGGCCGGCACCCGGAGCACCACGTACTGCGAGTTCTCGAACACGCGCAACAGCGGCGAGGCGTCGTCCTCGAATAGCCGGTGACAGAGCGGCGGCCGGTGCCGATTGTCCGGGTCTTCCACGTCCCAGATGTCCACCATGGCGCAGCCCGGCCTGGCGAGGGGGGGGGGGTCGTCACAGGGGGCGGGTGGTCGCTGGCGGAGAACCCCGGGTCTCAGATCCCCAACATGCGAGCTTTAGAGACGGTCAGGATAGCGGGACAAATTCAAAATAAACGCATCTGCCATCAACCATGTTCTATATCCTTGCAGATTTAACACCAAAACCACAGTCCAAAATATTTATTCGCGCAGGTCGATCCTGCATCATTCTCGATTAACTCCGATAAACATCGTACCAGCGACTGTCGCTACTCATCAAAGCATGCAAGCGACGACAGCTATGACCATCACTTGGGAGCTGTAGCTCGTTTAGGCCGTAGGGGTCGTAAATTACCCCACGCGTTCGTTGCCAATATCAACCGTCACTCCCCTGGTTACGCTGAGTGAACCCCACAGCGCCATGGTTACGCTGTGCTAACCGTAAAATTCCAAAATATTTACATTTGTGTGACACTGGGCTAAAGATGCGACACAAATAACGGGCGTGTGACTTGTGATGAGAGGAAACCAAAGGCATCTCGCGTGAACGTTAAATTTCATTTTTAAAGATTTAGCATGATCTACAGTCACACCCGACCGTAACGTTACGCCGCGCAAAACCTTCCTTCCCCCTTATTCCTCTTCCAATACGTTCCATCAAACCCGCTCCCTCCCTCCATGCGTAACGCCATTTACGGACAGCCCGCTATAAACCACAAAGCCCGCGCCTGAGGAGCCTGCGGGTTCCGACTGGCCGCGGTCTCTCTTGGACTCCCCACCCCCACACGCCACCGCTCAGGTCACCGACCTGGGCGCGCCGAAGCACATGGGCTCGTAGAGGAGCACGTAGTCGACCTCGAGCCTCTTCAGCGTGCGGTACACCTGGCGGGCGCTGCGGCGGCTGAACACCTCGTACACCTGGCGCGTGCGGAGCCTGCAGCGACGCACGGAAGGGCTGGAGTCAGCGTCAGGCGGTGGCCACAGGCCGCGCTTGGAGGTGTACGCATCGGTGTGCATCCTAGTCATCCACGAGCCAGCCATTAAAGCGGAAATGATGCGAATCAATGGGACACAAGTTAGCAGCAGCAGCGCTAAAAGGTCATACAGACAAGGTGGCAACATAATCAAGGCAAACGGTTGAAAGATGGTACAAACAATGGAGGAGGACTAGCAGAGGCGTGATCACAACTCATCTGATCACAACCTGATATATGAAGTTGTCATTAGATGAGCTGAGATGACTCTACTTCTGGGAACAAAGAATAGTTGCAACTGCTGTAATTTCTTTCAAGTCTATAACAGCATCATAAATATGATAACGAGACCATGTTTTTATCAATACTAACTGCTTCAGAAATTACAGCTGAACAAAAGTGCGGGGCTCTTTCAGCTCAAGAAAACTTGTGTATGTGGTTGACGCTGTCGCAACCATAAACCGTGCCAACGGTTGACTAACCGCAAGACTAACGTTTCGCAATGGAGTGAACACCTAACGCGTCAGCTCGCAGTGGCAATGGTGGTCGCTGTCGCCTCGCAGCAGAGGTGGCCGTCACTCACCGCGACCCTACCGACTCGTAGTGCGGGTGGTTGACGATGGGCCGCCGCGTCGTGAGCATGACGGTGGCCATGAGGGCCATGGGCCCCGCGAAGGTGTCAGTCGGCGCCGTGTCCGTGCGCACCCACTCCAGCAGCTCCTCCAGCTCGGGGTTCTCGTATTCGCCTGGCGGGTGGCGGCGGCACGGGTCACGGGTCATGCAGCAGGGGCGGCACGGGTCACGCGGCAGGGAGCGGCACGGGTCACGCGGCAGGGGGCGGCACGGGTCAAGCGGTAGAGGGCGGCACCGGCCACCGGTCACGCGGCAGAGGGCAGCACGGGGCCGCGCGCCGCAGGCTTAGGCGTCGGCCACCAGGTGGCACGTGTGGGAGTGTCGTTGGCAGGTCATGGGGCGGCGACCAATCCGGATGGAGTTCGCTTTTGCTTAGCAAGCTCTGAGACTAAAACGCATTGACGGAATCGACGCGATGAGCAAATCGCCCTTGCACAACACCGAGCAAGAAATCGAACGACATGGCGCGGTATCACCGCAACCACTTCCCAGCCGACTCTCAGCTAGTCGCACAACACCACTGTCCACCTCTCGGCCTGTAAGCGGCAGCCGAAGGGGCGGCCGTCAGCCGCCCGAAGGCCAGAGGCGCCGTGCCGATCCGTACCGACGATGTCGTACTGGCTGCGGATGTTCTTGACGCCGCGCACGGCCATGCCGCTGACGAGCACCGCCACGATGGCCAGGTGCACCCGGCGCAGGCGCACGAAGTAGACGAACTGCCGGACAGCCGTGCGCGCTCTCAGTGACAGGCGGCCGGCTGCGGGGGCGGCCGACCGACAGCGACAAGAGCGTCAGGGGCCGGGGACGTGGACCGCGATACCCTGAGGCGAGGACTGGGCTCCCCTGCGCCCATCCCCCTCCATCCAATCACTGTCCTTCACCTGTGCGCCTTACTTTTTCTACTTTATCTGCAATGCCCCCGCCTCCACTTTCCGTGCGCAGCTGAGAAGAATCGTAGGTCCACCCCCACAGCTTGCACCCGCAGATACATACTGTTCCCATCCGGCGGTAGATCACTTGAGTGTCACAGACAAGATCGTGCAAAGACCATCGGCAGCTGGCGCCTGCACAGTGGGCCACCAGGCGGGCCACCGACAGCGCTGTCGAGCTCCCCACCCCACAGGAGACATGCACTCCTTTCACGGGGCGGTGAATGCTTATCATTACCAAAAACACCACGCCGAAACATGACGCAACTGACCGGGCAAAAACACCGGTGATATCACACATGCAGCAAACTACAACGCAGACCGCCCTCGTGGTGACGGCGGGGCGAGGGGGGGGGGGGGGGGCGGACCAGGTAACCCATCAGCACCAGTAAGGCTAGCGCTCAAGTTCGACCCCGCCTAAGTGCAGCTGGAGGCACTCGGCTCACCTTTCTGGAGACGAGCAGCGCCGCCGCCACGCACAGCATCGGCGTGAAGAACAACTTGAGCCGCATGACTAGCGTCGCCATCACGGCGAACACGGCCAGCTGCAGCAGCGAGTACACCACATCGAGGTCCTGGCGGAGCCGGGTGCGCACGGCCAGCGCCCAGGCGAGCAGCGCGCCGGGCCGCGACGCGGCCTCGCCGGCGCCGCTGGTCAGGCGGCGGCGCCGCGGCCGCGGCCGGCTCGCCTGCGGCTCCTCGTCGCTGCTGGACGCGGCGGCGGCCGGCCGGCGGCCCGGCTCCGGCCGCGGCCCGCCGGCCAGCCACAGCGAGATGGCCAGCGCGGCGCCCAGCAGCGCACACGGCAGCAGCAGCGTGCTGCTCAGCTGGGACACGGTCGCCGGCTGCAGCCAGTCGAACTCGGGCGCGCACGTGTACAGCAGCGTGTCGAAGTCACGGTACTTGCCCAGCTTCGAGCGCAGGATGTTCCACACGTGGTTCTGCAACACGCAACGTGAAAATCAAAACCTGGCTCACGGACATTGGAGCGTGACAAAGTTTCAACAAAATAGCGTGTGCAGTATGGTCTTGGCTACCCCGGTTTATTCACGCGATACATACGGCTGCAGTGGCATAATCATAAGTACAGCAGCAAGGTGCCACTCACAGGAACTGGGCTCACTATACCGTACAAGCGCCATTCGTTTACTTTTTTTCATTTCGCCGTTTATCACGCGCCAATTACATGCCCCGCCCTGAATCGCTCCCGCATGCACGGTTATCAAGGCAGGAGCAGATGCCGCCACCAACGCGCCCCCACACCAACAGCGACCGACACGCCTGGCGCGGTCGGCGGGCATCGCTCACATCGTCGTGGACACCCAGCAGGTGAGTGAGCTCCAGCCGGAGGCCGACGGTGCCGACGATGCCGAGTCCAAGCCGAGCCAGCGCGCCGGCCGGCGGCGGCAGCAGCAGCAGCAGGTCCTCCAGCGTCAGCGCCACCAGCAGCAGCGCCAGCACCGCGCCCGTCAGCAGCGAACACAGCAGCATCCGGTTGCCGAACAGCAGCATAAACGCCGTCACCAGACCCAACTGGGGACGGAGACGGTCTGTCAGCCAAGCTGAGGACGGAGTCGACCTGTCAGCCCAGCTGGGGACGGAGGCGGTCCGTTAGCCCAGTTGGGGACGGAGGCGGTTTGTCAGTCCAAGCTGGAGACGGAGGCGGCCTGTCAGCCCAGCTGGGGACGGAGGCGGTCTGTCAGCCCAGCTGGGGATAGAGGCAGTCTGTCAGCCCAGCTGGGGACGGAGGCGGCCTGTCACTCCAGCTGGGGATGGAGGCGGTCTGTCAGTCCAGCTAGGGACGGAGGAGGTCTGTCAGTCCAGCTGGGGACGGAGGCGGTCTGTCAGCCCAGCTGGGGACGGAGGCGGTCTGTCAGCCCAGCTGGGGACGGAGGCAGACCGTTAGCTCAGCTCGGGACTGACGCCAGTGACGGTGGGTCCTCTGGGGAGACGAGCATGGGCGCGCAATGGCTGCCGCGGTCGGCACAGCCCACGAGAGCAATTATAGATAGTCAGATACAGAGATAAAGTGATGCTACTTCATGCAACGCCACAACATTGAATCTATTTTTTTCCAGATGCAGCAACAGCTCCCTTTAACTTCCTCTTTGCTTCTGCCGCCTCTAGCGAACGCGGATTGTCAACCCAGCTGGGACGGAGGCGAGCTCCCGGTCCATTGGGGACAAAGGAAATTGTCAGCATAGCTCGGGCAGAAGCGACCTGTCAGTGCAGACGGAGACAACGGACGACTGGAGCATAGCTGTGATGGGCCTCTTAGCCCACCATACGGCAGTGGAAGGCAGTCAGTGCTGCTGGGGCCCAGGCGAAATGTCAGCGGGCGAGGTCGGTTGTGGGAGTGTGGACTGAGCACTGTTTGGAGAAGGATCAAGAATGTGGACGTCAGTACGACGAGGGGGATATGCCCCAGCTTGCTGGAAATAACCCACGTAAGCACAAACTACGAACGGAAATCGATCATTTCTCCCTCGTCACACGACACACAGTACAAGGCAACACTGCAGACACAGCAAGGCCGTCCCCCTGCCGGGATGCTAGGATGAGCTGGCTGGGCCAGCTGCTCGGCATGCTCTGAGGGTGGCGCTGGGCGGCGCCCTCCACTGGCACCGGCGGCCAGCGCTCACGCCCACGACCGGCACCCGCGCTCCAACACGCTCGACACCGGTTCAGCTGGCCTGAGGCCAACTCAGACCGGGGCGGCCCGCGCAGCGCGCCCACGCTCACCAGCTGTGCCGCCAGGATGCCCTTCAGCTGCGTGGTGCTGAGCACGCCGACGACCCAGAGCAGGTAGAGCAGCCACGTCTGCGTGAGCAGCACGAACTGCGAGAACTGCCAGAACAGCAGCGAGATGGCTGTCATGCAGCCGATGCTCAGCACCTGGCGGCGGCGGCCGGCGGAGGCCGGGTCAGTACAGCCGCTTCCGCTCCTGGCCACGGCCGGAGGGCGGCCCGGGTCACCGCCCGGGAGACAGACGGGAAGGAGGGGGCAGCGCGGGGAGGGTCAAATGTAACGTGCGAACGGTCGGGACTGACCAGGAGGGAGCCGGTACATCACCGTACAGCACGGCACGGTACATCAGACGGATCAGGTCACGGTTTCACGGTTTATTTCCAGGATCAGCGTGGGTCGTAAGCACGTCCAGAGCGATCAGTGAGGGTAGTCATGGTACTCATGGTCAACCTCACGAGGTGTCTGAGTGGCCCCGCGAGGAGCTGCGGCGGGCAGTGCAAAAGGTCGGGGCCGCGCGTGTGCGGTCTCCACACCCGACACCGGGTCACAGACGAGGGATCGAACCGTCTCACCCTGCCACGAGCAAGCGGAGAACCTGTTATGAATGCCTGCGATCTGACCCTACATAAAAAACCAACACGTCATTCCGACACCCCTCAACCTCCGGGCCAGTGCGCCCGAACCACTCCGACGGCACTCTCCACCGGAAGCCACTCCGCGTGCACTCCTGGCGAGAGTGCTCCCAGCGCGGGCCCGACCGGAGCCGCCGCGGCTGCCCACCTGAAGCCAGCTGGGCCGCTTGGACGCGACCGTGCGGCACACGTACACCATCTGCGCCATCAGGAACGGGAAGGCGAAGCTCTCGCGCAGCGGCGGCGTCCACATGATGCGCGTCGCCTCGGCGTGGTTGAAGAAGAAGCAGGTGACGGTCAGGAGGCCGCCCCATATGTTACCGCTGTCGCACGGAAGGAGGGAGTCAACACGGGCCGGGGGGGGGGGGGGGGGGGGAGGGAACGACGGGTGACACCGGTGACTTTGTATGATGATTGGTATTAAAAAGCGCGTCAGATGTTGACGTCATTTTGCGCTCTCCTCCCATCTTAATTACACGGCGACTTTACGGTGCTAATGAGGTGAGTATGTCACGTGAATTCCGACAACGGCCAGGAACAGCAACACGTCACGCGGGTCGATCTCCGGACATTCACCTATAAGTGAAGTCAGGATAACTTTACGTCCAAAGAAAGCTGCCTCTAAGCAACTAAAATTGCACATTATACCACTGCATGCCTGGCAGTGAGGATCAAAAGTGGAACGCTTCACGATTGTGCGTATCATCCTCGCGCCAGGGGCCACGCTCATCTCCTCTGTGTCGTCCCAATTTCATTATATGTACAGCCGAAGCGGGCACCACCTGGCAGCCCCAGACCCGCACCACTGACCCCATCTGGCAGCCGTAGACGAAGAGCACGATGCCGAGCAGGGCGGCGCAGAGCCAGACGCCGGCGAGGTAGAAGAAGACGGGCGTGCCGAGCCCGATGCAGCTCCAGACTGGCGCCAGACGCTCGCCGCGGTCCACCTTCCAGCACTCGCGCGTCTCCCAGCCCAGCGCCTGCGTCACCCGCCGGTACCAGTGGTACGCGCCGCCCAGCAGCACCTGCCCAACGCACGCTCGAGCTGTCATATCCGCCGGTACCAGTGGTACGCGCCGCCCAGCAGCATCTGCCAAACATACGCTCGGGCTGTCATATCCACCAGTACCAGCGGTACGTGCTGATTGAGACCATCTGCCTAACACACGTTTAGTCAGTAGCCGATACCAGTACTTAAAGTGGCACCAGCTACACAGTGGTGCAGTGATACGCACGCCGAGACAAGCAGCTGTCGACACCAGCAGCAGGCTCCATACGGTACCACCTGACCTTCTGACCCCGAGCCATTCCGCAGGCCGTCGGAAGGACGGGAAATACACCAGACTGGGCTGACCTACACTGCGGAGGACGGCGCCAGGCCGGGTGGTGCTGCGGGCCCGAGATCAGGCTCGACCGTGAAGGTCAGGCCGCGTTCACACGCTAACCAGTGACCCCGGCCGCTGTGTGAAGGACAGAGGAACACCTGCCGACCTCCGGGCGCACAGTGCGGCGCACCGGACGGGCGCGCGGCGGCTCACCTCCGGGTAGAGGTTGAACCTCTGCAGGGCGTTGACAGTGTGCGGCGCCTCAACCAGCCGGTCCTCCAGCAGCAGGTGCAGGCCCGACATCAGGTCAGGCGCCTCGGCGACCGTCTTGAAGTACGAGTAGTACATGCCCTGCGGCAGACACGGCGTCGGGCTGACGTGATGAGCCAGGCCCGAAGCGGCGCCGTCGGGAGGAGCGCCGCGTCGCGTTCACATGCTAATCAACTCCCACTGGCTCGGAGGTGAGTGCTGCGGGTTCTGTCAGTCATGAGTTCTGCATTCATACAGGTAATGATGGGCGGAATGAAAGGGGCGCAAGTACTCTCGTTCGAGCTACAACGGAGCACAAGGTACTCATGGTCATGTACTTCAGTTTATTGTTCTACTGAATTGCTCGTTTACTGACGAATGAATTATTTGCATTTACGTTGCAGCTACAACCCCCAACAGATCGCTCCGCGCGGTGACAGCATGACACGGCACCGTAACACAGAACACTGTGTGGAGCGATGCCGGGTCATAGCCCCCCCCCCCCCCCCCCCCCGGCGGCGCGGACGGCGCCCGACGCTGCAGCGGCGGCGGCGGCGGCCGGCGGCTCTCACCATCTCAGTGCGGAGGGACATCTCGCGCTCGAGCGTCGACAGGTGACTGAAGTGGCGGTCGTTCTCAAACAGGGTGCTGACATGCAGCGCGTGCAGACCGCCGCACGTCAGACCTGCGGCACGGCACGGCACGGCACGCAGTCACGTCCCGTCCCGGCCCGGCGGCGCGCGCGCCAACCCTAAGGCGACCAGCGCCCACCCAGACAACGTCGTGCGCGACAAGCGCGCGCCCGTGTCTGCTGGCGTGATCACGGCCATGGCGACATCCGGTGAGGAGAAGGCGACATCTTACCGACGTTTGGCCACATGGTAAGGCACCAACTTCTCCAGCCGAGGAGAGGACAACCTTTCTCTGTGCCCGGGAATTGCGAACCAAGGCGACCGTCCACTCACCAGCCACGACGAACGCCAGGCGAGTGAAGCCGGCGGCGGAGCGCGGCGCCGGCCGCCGCCCGGCCGCGTACGGCTTGCGGCTGTCACCGGAGCTCTTGGTGCGGCGGCGCTGGCGGGGCGGCGCGTGCTCGCGGCGCGGCACCTGGCCCGGGCTGAAGTCGCTGTCCTCGTCATCGGTGGCCGGCTCGCGGGTGACCACCATTGGCGCTGGCCGGCGCCTGTCGGCACAGGTCAGGCCGGGCTGCCAGCGGAACGGCGACGGCGGCGTACCGAGGACACCGCTGGCTGCACGCCGCGGGCACCACCGACTGCACACCGTGGACACCTCCGATGGGACACCCCGAACACCGCGGACTGCCCACCGCGGACGCCGCCGACTGCACATTGCGGGCGCCGCGGACGGCACACCCCAGACACCCCGACGACACACCCCGGACACCGACTGCGCATCGCGGACATCGCCGACTGCGCACCGCGGGCACCGCCGACTGCACACCCCGGACACTCCCGATGGGACACCCCAAACACCTCGGACTGCACACCTCGGCGGACACCACCGACTGCACATCGCGTGCGACATCGCCGACCGCACACCGCCGACTGCACACCCCGGACACCCTCGACGGAACACCCCAGACACCTCGGACTGCACACCGCCGATACCATCGACGGCGCAACACGGACACCGCCAACTGCACGGTATGCTGGCGACTTGGCAAGCTAGTGACATGCTGTAGACAGTTTTGGACAGAGGTAGTTCCGGTGTGTTCAACAATTCAGACCGCGCTCCCATACCGAACTGCAACAGCTTGTCCAACAATCTATAGTAATTGCAAAATTACCACTCAAATATGATTAAATCACACCGTAAATGTGTTCATGCTGCACGTCCACTCTAGTAAGTCCATTGCACCTGTACCTTGTATCATTGCATTTCAAGCATCAGTCATTGTCATCATCAATTGTCATCCTTTGTTAAAATGCCTCCTACATTGAGCTTACCGCCCTAAATGATACAATGAACCGATGACTATTTATATTGATCGTGATTGGGGTTCTAGGGCATGCTGACCACTGCAATCATTTTGCACCATTTTTTTCAGTCATCAGCAGAGTGACAAAGACTGCTGGATTTTTGGTCTCCTAATGACTGCTAATCTCCTCTACCGCGGCCCGACAAGGGAGGTACTCCTGGTCAGCTATTCGTGGATGACTGCGTCGACTACAGACAAGGGCAAACAATCCAGACTGTAACCATTGTCAGACTGAAGTTTTTCGGAAAGTAGTACACCCTGAAACTGGACACTCATTCTGCAAACAGGTGAAGGATTTGTCAGCCAGCAACTAGCTATACACAGCGTGCGGGCCAGGGAGTAAGCATAAGAACATACAGCATGCTGCAACAAGAGGGCCTACGACAGCATGCAGCAAACACCATGCAAGCCAATACAGCAAGCAAAAACAACGTGAGCACAATCACCAAGCCATGCACATGCAACATGTCACATTCCACCCATCCCAAAATGCAACAGCCTATATGGTAATGGTGAAAGGTGTGTATCACACTAGGCAGCTCACGTCTGCATAGGTATGGGTCCCCCGTCACCAGAAACTGCAACCAAGAGACAGACTAACAGAGACTTGCTCAAAACTAGGACTTCAGAATTTCTTCAGGGTATCAGAAATTGAGCCCTAACTGGGCCGCGTCGGCTCCGTGCCCGCAACGTTCCCAAGACAAGCTGCAATCTCTCCAGACTTTCACTAAACGCTTTTCCAAAGGTCATTAAATCGTCGAGATACACACGGCAGATCTTCCAAACGAGACTCGCTAGTGTCACCATCATCAGCCGCTGGGACGATAACGGCGTCTCCTTCAGGCCCACGAATTTCGCGTTAACGTCGAACAGTCCTTTGTGTTCTGCAAAAACAGACGTGTTTATGCTCCCCTGCGCTCCTGCTGCCAATACCCACTTTTCCGATACATGCCATGAATCCGCTCAGTCCCGGATGGGCCGTCCCAGCAGTCATCGGTTCGGGGCAATGGAACGGCGTCACTTGTGGTATCCGCGTTCAGTCCGGTAGTCGGTGCAAAAATCGGATCGTCCCATCTTTCTTCTGCACCGAAACTCTTCTTGCTGCGCACGGGGACACACCTCATGGCCTGATGACGTCACCTTGGCCTGATGACGTCACCTTTGAGCATGTCGCTCACCATTCCGTCCATTGACCCACTCGCGCCGGCTGCACGAACCTCGGAGGCGCATCATACATCTGAACTTCCTGCTAAACGACACCTGACCCTCAAAGCGTTCCATCAGTGAGAAACCAATCCAGGTATGCAGGCAACAGCTTCCTGTCATTCTCCTTTTCTCTTCCTATTCCACTTGCTTTCTCTTCCTGAGGATTCTTTTGGGCGGCAAGGATTCATGCACCACCGCCACCTGTTCAATATATCCGACTGTTATTCCTTTGTATAATCTGATGCTTCCCTCACCTGGATTCACAAACTTCAAGCTCACCTGATGATTATCCCCAACAGTGTTCAGAACGCGAGCATCTACAACCTGGTACTTATTATTTTCAAATGCTCCATCAGGAGTGCACATTACGCACATTCCGGCTAGCTGGCCCAGCGCCGCGTTCCCTTCGCATCGATCTCATATTGACCTGGTGCGACAATGCCGCATGACAGTGTTACCCTGCGACAACAGAGCTGTAACAGCTCCAACCTGCATCTCATCACTAAAGGAGGCAAGCTTTTCCGAGCCTACAGACACCTTTCCAGAGACCCAGTCAACCGAAATGGCGGCCCCCAGCCTTCTTATGACATCAGTGACCAGCAAGCGCAATGTGGTCACTGCTGGCACAGCGCACACAGGATACCAACACCATTGCCTAGAACAACAAGCGTTTACCGTCGATTGTAGCAGATCGCTGGCGCACCGCGCATGATACTAAATAGCGAACGCCTAGGACGCCCAAAATGACCTAGGTACACTCCTATGCTCCCATGCCCAACAACCATGTCCCTGCACTGCTCTCCAGCACAGTCTTTCAACTGTTGTTAGGAAAGGCGGTTGCACCCACAACAGCTTCTTTATCGAGCGCACCACTGCACAATCCCCGGACCACATCATCACTGGGCCGAGCACCTGGAATGGGAGAGTGGCCCTCCTCTCCAGCTCTCACTGAAAATCCACCTGGGCTCAGCAGTTGAGCACCAAATGACCTGACCGTCCACATCAATAGCACAGACCACCACGTCCCCGCTGTAGGCCACCAGTCCCTCGCCAAGTGACCATAACAACTACAACAACAAGCATGGCTAGTGAGTTCTTCCTCCATGACCTCCCTGTCCAGCGCACCTCCCCCTCAGTAAGCACCTCTACCGCACACTCTTCGATGAGCACCACCGGGGGTCAATCTGCCGACGCTCGCCTGAAGTTCTGCCATGAAGGCTGCCACCAGGCTAGTCTGATTACCAAACTCCACCCCTGGGCCACAGCAGAGGGTCCTGTCCCGAGCCTCCCCACCAGCAGAGAAGCTGGGCAGAAGGTGCACTGCAAACCTGCTCAATCCTCCTTGTCCTCTGCTCCTAGTCAGAGCTTTGACAATACCCTCTGCAGGGCCAGATGCCCATTCCTGGTGCACCCATTCTGCCAACTGCTATTACTGCTACTACCACTGAGTTCCTCAGCAGGTAACTGCACCTGCTGGCATCAGTATGAGCTCAACTGCAATGCACAGTGATTTTGAAAGCCACATGAACCAAACTTGGACATAAACAATTTTTAAAATTCTGTATGTATGTTTTGCAGTCCTCTTGTCAGATACCTTGCGAGCCAGTGACAATGAAAACTGACCTCATTTGGTGGTGTCAACAGTCGCCCTTAACCAGTGCACACTGTTCAAACTTGTAATGGAAATGTCTGACATTGTCCCTCCCATCAGTCACTTGACCTGACCACTGTGCCACTGGATGTCATAGCAGGTGACCTCATCTCTTACTGCACTGTTAGCTCCTTGTCCTCTTCAAATTTTGTCTTTGACATCATGCCTCACCACCACTATCACCAGTGTGACAAACAGCCAAACTGTAGTTTTTCAGGAAGTAGTACACCATGAAGCTGGACACTCATTCTGCAAACATGCAGAAGACTCTTTAGCCAGCAACTAGCCATACATAGTATGCAGCCTTGGGAGGTAGCATAAGAGCATGCAGCATGCAGCAACAAGAGTGTCCACAGAAGCATGCAGCAAGCAAACACCACACACACCAAAATGGCATGCAACACTCATGACATAACCAGAATCATCAAGGCATGCACATGCAACATGCTACAATACTGCTTTGCCTGGAGAAAGCTTTCATGGTTTTTTACAATCACCATGATAAATCTTCCAACAAGCTGTATATTGTAATTTTAGCCTACCATTTCTCTTAACAAAATGTTCCTTTCATCATCCCTTAATTCTTGGAATGTCTGAGACATAACAATCAATTTTACATAAGCACCAATGCTGACACCTTATTCACTGATACATTATTTACATCATGAATGCTTTGACAGCAAACAGGAGTTTAATATGACATGGTACATGGTGATGAAGCAATTCTTTATAAATTTTATGAGCATTTCACTGCATTTCATATCAAACATGGTGAATCAAGGAGCAATGCAAAAACCTATGAAGAGGTACACCAAATTTTGGGTACAATAGGGTGAAGAACAGATCAAGAATATCTATTTGTGTGAGCAGTTAAAAGTGACTACTATCATGTAGCTATAAGCTCAGTTGAACATTGTTCATCATATCAGACAAATATATTATTGGAAGTTGCAAACAAATGATACCTGTGTGTGTATATGTACATGAGTCAATGGAACCTGGTGCGGCAACTAGCACCACACACCACATTTTTCACCCCCGGGAGGCAGTCATATTAAATACCAACAAATGCGGTGAGAAGTCTAGTTAAAATTTTGCATGATTTGACAAACCAAGCAGACTGACAAAAGGTGAATGAATTATTTATACCCCAAATAATTTATGTTATCCAGATATATCAATTGAGCATGCTCCACTAATACACAACAATTACCACCAATTTCAATACAATCTCCATGAGAAGCCAAGTCATAAAACAGAGGTCACTAAGTTGCCCACAACTAAGCTTAGTTCTTCTGTTTTTAATACAGTCAACATGCATTACAACACAGTCATTATACAAAAAGATGATTGGAGCAGCCCTAATGCCTAACATCCACACCTGAACACCATTCAATACATTTGCAACACCGTATTCCGTTTGATTGTCAATGCCTAGACCTACTAGTGCAGGAAAGGTAGGCCACTATACTATATAAAAATGTATGTGCTTGTTATTCCCTGCAAGCAACTGAATGCGTTGGGAATCTCAGCCGCCCTTTTCGCAAGCTTCCCACAGTAGAACAGTTTACCACATCATTGCGACATATTAGTCACATCATCAATTCATAAACTGATCGCTGGAAGATTCGTCGGCTAAGCATCCTTACAGACAGATGTATCTGGAATCAGGCTTCTCCACCAACCCCCAACGATTCCACGTCCCTATGTTTACACGGCCCCCGCACGCAGCAATCACACACGAGGTTAACCGTAGGAGTTATGGGTGGTGGGGCTAAATGGGAGTGAGCTCTGGCATCTAGCGGAACGATTATTTAAAAATGTCATTTTGCATACATTTGTAACAGTTCTGGATTCAAGCTTTTGAAAATAATAATTTTAGATTATCCACATAACATTTGTCTTCAATTTTTCTTTTGTCATATTTTGAGGCTTTATATGATTTTGTATGTTATATTTGGCGCGGGAATTAACTAAAACAAGCTGGGCGCTAAAGGTAACTAAATTTGGTAGCTTTTGTCTGAGAGCGTTATTCCTTTCTATTGCTGTCCGTTTTGAGCTTGGTGTTCGGTACGCCAATCTTAAAGCGGTCTCTTTCCACGGCGCCAAAGACTTTAACTCCGAGAAATCCACATCATACAGTTAAATAAAAAAGAAAATATTGATATTGCCTGTATATCGATTAGGGTCATTTTGCAGGCAATCAAGCTGAAGAGCCATGATCGAGCCCAATTTACCGCTAAATATAGACCCTCTCAGTTGGAAAATGCTCGTCTAATTATTTGAATCAAAACGATGAAAGACGTCGTAGAGCTCACGTGGAGTGCTGGCGACCAATGGGATGTGATACGGATAGCGATATCTGTCATTCTTCCTTGTTTGATGCCTTTGTTGATCAGGATTGGATACTCGATATACAAAGCTCGAATATTTTTAGTGTAGATACACGGCTAGAAAGGATTTTCTTTCGGGATATGGTAGCTCTCACTGGGGCAATATTTTGCTCTAATGCGGCGCATTAAAGCGAAAGTGGATAGGGCGCGCAACTAACGCTACGCTGTAAGTAGGTCACGGAGTCGTAGGCCGCGCCGCGGTTTGTTAGTAAATAGGACGCGCGAATGCTGCGCGTGTGCAGTGTTGTATCCGTATTACCTAAATCGAGTGTGGAAGGTGAACGCTGCCGAGGAAGTGTATCGTCGGCAAGCACAGCATTTACAGCCACCGCTTCGATTTCTATGGATACTGCAATCCATAGGCCTGAAAACGTGGCTGGATGAAGCTACCGCCGCTGTCTGTGGCAAGTAGGTCAGTTAAATCCTTTGCCTTATATCTACTTTCCTGAGGCTCAAGGACATTTTTCTGTGAGGTGTGTTCAGATGCCTGTAACACGTAGTTCTTGAGGCATCTGGACAGAAGTGAAAGTAACAGCAGCACGCAAACAGCAGAAACATTTAGATGATGTACAATTCTGGCCCAAATAGGTTGGGATCAAGCCCGTAAGGCAAATAAAACCATTTCCAAAATAGTTGCATCAATCTCATAGCCTGTGTACCCATCTGAATTAAATTGAACCCTTAAAGAGGCTTCGGAGTATGGTGTGTAGAATGGGGAAGAAAACTATATGGCTGTTACAAAATTTTGACAGCCATGGTCAATCCATAGCCATAGTGGGAACATAGTGTGAACATTGAACCAATTATGATATTCTGTAAGCAATGATAATCATCTTCCTATTGTCCTACTGTTACCATACACAGTTCATGCACCAACCATATTATTCACTGAGCCAAAACCTCCCAAATTTAGTGACATGTATCTATAGGTACCCTTTCATGTTTGGTTGGGGTGACCAAATTCCTGGATAATATGTGGCATGTGAGTCAACAATATCATGGCTCATTCTGTTTGAATAATGTGGTTATGTTGTAATATTTTTTAATCCCTGGGTTTATAAGTGATTTATTCAATGAAACAGTTGTTTTGTCAGAAATGCAATGTATTGTGCTCAACATGTGTAGGGCAATAAAATCACATGCTTTGATATTCAGGCAGGCTTTACATGTTATGCTTAACTTTTGATCTCTATACATGGTGATAGTTTAGTGTCATTGATTTTTGCAATGCTTGTGGACAGTTTTTAAAGGGTATGCTTTTTCTGATGCATCATTAAGTAAGCCTCCTTTCTTGGTAATGCTACTACACCAAAACCAATAACAAAACTGTGAGAGTGAAAAGATGACCCCTTTTGAATGTGCAGGTGTGAAAAATTTCAACTAACTTATGATGAGTGATCTATTGGAGTTGTGGGAATTGGTAAAAATGATTTAGTTTGGGGATTAGGCACTAAGGTTCATTCACAGTGACAAATGAACAAGATTGTAAGCCATGGTCAAGTTTGTCATTTTCCACAGGCTACCAAATGTCCTAGAATTGAGTTTTCTGTCCATTGGAGTAATTTGACATTCAGGTTGTGCTCTCTGATTACAAATTGTAGCCCATTTGTAATACAGTAGTTGATTTCTCAGAGGCAAACAAATGCGGAAAGTTAGTTTTGTCATTGTGGTATCTGGTGACTTTTGTGTCAGCATGAATGCTACCCGTCTTATAAGGACTTATATTTATACTCATACTCGTGCTCATATAGTCCATACTCTTGAGGCTCATACTCATATAATTTGCGCTATATTACAGTACATCCAAGCACTATGGTCACTACCATCAAATTTGCTTTTGACAATTATTGCAGGGACAGTGAATCATCAGTCCAATAGGCAGAACTCAAACCCAAAGTTTGTTACATGTTCATCTGGAAAGCATGCCATGCCAACTGATGCCAACTGAACTGCCAGTGCCACCTGAACCATATGTCCCTTTTTGGTACCAGGCATGAGCCAAATCTGATTTGGGTTCAGATTCTGGTTCACAAAGCTGCAGTTTTTCTGTGATGGCCCAGGGTTGGCTTCAACTTTCAACTATTTTTCACAACTGGTTTCAGCTGTGTGCGCTTTTGGATGGTTGCTGTAGGGTTTGATTTTATCTCATTTTAACAGCTGGCTTCCACAACTTTCAAATTATGGTTTCAGCCTCAGATACAGTCTTAAAGTGCTGGGTTCTGCCTTTTCATGCCAATTTTCCTTTGCTACAGTCATGACATTACTGAATGAATACTGTTGGTCCTGTCAACCCAACTACACCTGGGTACATTCCCAGGCTGTTTTCACAGACACGGCTGAAATACAAAATCAGTTGATCATCCTCAGGGCCAATTGATCTGGCAAGCAGTTGGAGAGTCTGAAAGGTAGCATACATATTAACATGCAAGTTAGCATCATTGGTCTGAAATTTTCACTTGTCTGTTATTGTTGTGCCTTGTTGTAATCACCGCATACAACCTTCAAACTTTTGATATTTTCCGGTCACATGGGTTTTAACGGACGTGAAAAGAATTTTGGTTTTGCGGAGCGACGTTAGCCGGATCCAGATTCCGCTTCGGCCGTAGTGTTTCTGAGTTCAAAGTCGTAGTTTCCGCTTTCTACTTCGTGTCTACAAGCTTTGAAGTTTGAAGCGGCTGTCTGTGAATTTTAGATTTACATTTTCAAAATATCAAGTCCATATTTCGGCTTCGGCTTCACCGTTCGAAGCTTCAAACCTGGTTTCGGCTTCGGCTGGATGTTATTGCTTTGGCGTTGGATTTGAAGTCAGAAGCGGGGGTTTGTCCCCCCGCCTGGTTGGTACCGCAGTTGGCATGGTACGGAGGCAATGGCTGTTTGCAGCTGTACCATCGATAGCACTCATTCGTTTCGAATTTTTACGTTTTCAGCAAAAATGGACGTAAAATGGCTACAGCTGTCGATATGCTCTAAAAATACCAACGTACGCCAACTGTAACATTGGCATATGCTGAGTAATGAAAGCCTTACCTTCTAGGACCTTGATGACACAAACGATGTGATTTGTATGAAACCTGGAGTAACCAGACAAAGTCACAACAGTCGAGATGTAGCACGGCGCTCGCCCGTAATCGTCGGCGACGCAAGTAAATGACACCGAGCTGTGGATGCGAACTGATCTATTGTTACCATAAAGAGCATCATTCACCGGCGCTGAAAACAGCACTGCTCCATCACAGCGGAAACAAACCGAAAACATTTTACCCATGGGTCATTATCGACTGCTTTATAGCTTTCACTTCGCTGTTTCACCCAACCATCCGTTCGTTTTGCACGGCCGTCCCGTGCCTGTCGCATGACCCGATCCACATTGTGACCGGCCGTTGGCCCGTGCCGCTCCGGACAGCGGCTGATGAGGCTGGCCTGGCCGGCAGGGTCTCGCCATGCTGGACACGACGCGGGAGCACCTGGTGTGGCCCGGCACGCCGGTGGGCGGCAGCGGCGTGCGTCCGCTCTTTATCAAGAACACGTCAGCCACCGAGTCGATGAACCTGGCACTGGACATAGCCGACGGCACCTTCTTCAAGGTGGGAGGCCCGCGCCGAGCCGTCGTCGGTTGCGCGGCGGACACGGGCTGCTTACGTTCACTCGTACATGCTTCCGCACGCCCAGGTCAGCCTCCACCCGAGCAGATCCGCCTTCACTCATCCCGATCCACCGCTTCCACCGATACCAAACTGCTTCCACTGACCCCGATCCGTTCCCACTGGTTTCGATCCGCTATCTCTGATCTCGATCCACTTCTACCGAGCCGGATCCGTTTTCACTGATCTCGATCCTCTGTCACTGACCCCGATCCGTTTCCACTGATCTCGATCCGCTATCGATGATCTCGATCCACTTCTGCCCAGCCCGGTCCGTTTTCACTGATATCGTTCCTCTTTCACTGACCCCGATCCGTTTCCACCGATCCCGACCCGTTTTCACTGTTTCCGATCCGCTTCCACTGGTCCCGATCCATTTCCACTGATCCCGATCCCACTACCCAACGGGATCGCAATCCGGTCCAGCCCAGCTCAGTTCGTGGAGGACGGCGTTTAGCCAGCCTCTGTGTGACTACCATGGCGCGTGATCGGGGTGTACGCAGACTGCCGTTCGGTATGTGGATGTCTGGATCTGCCTGAGACGAAGCCATCCGAAACCGGTTGTGTCAGTCGTGCGTTGATGCTGCGCTGGCCTTGGCTTGTTATTTGAGTTTCGCTGATTCTGCTTCAAAGGATTTGTTTGCGCCTCTTGTTTATTGTAAATGCCGTTATCGGTCCCGTGGCTTCTGGGCTGGTTTTTCATGCCAATCATTAACTTGCATACCGCACTGGTGGTGTGGGTTTTCAGTTTGAGACGGTGCCGAAGCCTAGCTCTTCGTTTGAGATCGCCATGGCGCCGCGCACGGAGCGGAACGTGAACGTGCTGTTCACGCCGAACGAGGTGCACACGTACCGGGACTCCGTGGTCATCCGGCCCTCCACGCAGCACCGCAGCCTCAACAGTGCCATGGTGAGCCTGACCCGTAGCCTGGGCCGCAGTCCGACCCCGCGCCTGACGCGCCACCCGACCCTCAGTCCAGGCTGCAGTCTGGGCGGGCACCGACACGCCGTCTGTCTCGCTGTGCAGTCCGCCGCCTGACGGATGTCTCTGCGCCAGGCTTGACTGTGGCGGTGGTGGAGATTGGGAGCCTCACCCGTGATCTCAGTGTAGCGTGCGTGTCTGGCTTCCTTGTGCACCCGCCGTGTGTCAGGCTTGCCTGCCCTTCATGGCCTCTGGTAACGGAATGTGACTTAACGGCTTCATTTTGTTATGTGGTAGACTTAAGATTGTCGCCAAAGGATTCAGAAAATGATGCAACGTCTTGGGGATTAAGTAGTTGCAAACATGACAAGTTGCAGAATCGTTGCAGTTGCAAAATGTCAGACGAAAGCTGACCCATGAGTGCACGCATGCGGCTAAAATCGCTGTCCTAAGCCAGTCTCCGTTTAACCCATCCAGGCCACTACGGCCGCGCAGTTTGCATGACTGCTAATGCGCGAGTCCACTAGGTGGGAGATCTCCAGCCGTCCAGCTCGGACGGCGGCGTGCTTTCGCCGACCGGTTCCATCTGGGGATATGGCGGCGACCGACGGGTGGTGGCCATCTCGCGTGACTAACACCACCACCGTGCAAACTGTCGTCGGCGACAGGGCCCACGTGTACGGTCCGCCGGTTAGAGATATCCAGCCGAGAGCCACAGGGCCGCGCCTTGGTGCCGCTCCGTGTCACCGGAGCGGGCATCGGTTCACCGTGCCCGAGAAAGCGGTACAGACACAGCGGGGCGGCGAGTGGTGGGGAAGCCCACCCGTGCTGTGAGGCCCGCCCGTGCCATGAGGCCCACCCGTGCCATGAGGCCCACCCGTGCCGTGAGGTCTGCCACCTGTGCCGTGTCTGCCCGTTCCGTGGGGCTCACCCGTGTGGTGAGGTCCACCCGTGCCGTGAGGCTCACCCGTGCCGTGAGGCTCACCCGTGCCGTGGGGTCCACCCGTGCCGTGAGGCCCACCCGTGCCATGAGGCCCACCCGTGCCATGAGGCCCGCCCGTGCCATGAGGCCCACCTATGCCATGAGGCCCACCCGTACCGCGAGGTCCACCCGTGTCGTGAGGCTACCCGTGCCGTGATGTGTTCCGGTGTCGCGACATCTATCCGTGTCGTGACGTCGGTTTTGTGGAGAAACCCCACGCTTGTGCACCTTCTGTGAGGCGCCAGCTGCCGCGGCGATCACGTCGCGTCCAGCGGCCGCGACCTGACCGGGATTCGAACCCGGCCCTCCGCGCCGGAGTCCGGGCTCCCCAGCCCACAACGCTCCCTGTCGTTACGGCTGTTGTTGGCGCGTGACCGGCGCCCCACCCGCCGCCAGATCCCGCTGAGCGGCTACGCCGGCGCGTCGGACGTGCAGATACAGGCGAACGGGCGCGACGCGGCCGGCCGGCCCGTGCCTGAGCCTGAGCGCCACGGCCGGCGACGGCTCGCGGTTGGCCGGCTTCGCCATCGCCAACGTGGGCCGCCGCGCCGCCTACGTGAAGCTGCTCGTGTTCGCAGGTGGGTACGGTGGTGTGCGGGGACGAGGGTTGACCTGCGAGAGGAGCTGCGGGGCGGGGTCCGGTCGTGGATGCGAGCGAAGCGTTCGACGCTGCGGGTGGGGTGGCGAGTAAAGTGGACGGGTGCCGGTGGGGTGCTGACCTCGCTGCTGTTGACTGATAGGGTGAATGCAACGACGAGCGTCTCGACAGATTAGTCTGTTCGTCGGTCGTTTTGAAGTGTGCCTGGTATTAAAACATGATCTGGGCTGGGAGAAACTTATTCAACGGGCCTCGGTACATGTCGAGAACGAAGGAAGAAGTTTCTCCTGTATCTTCTAAAGCGGTTCACGGGCACTCAGTACCAGAGGCTCAGCAAGCGCTGTGTTGCAAATAAAACAATGAAAAAAGAAGAGTCGACACATTTTTACTGTTGCTAAACCGGTCCACGGGACACGACGTGCCATCTGTGAGCTCCGGCGTCAGCTGAACATTGCCGCGTGTCAGGCTGTGGTCGTTATCCGGCCTTGGATTTCGCCAGCCGCGGGGTCGCCCGTTCCCTAGCGGCTCGGCTCGGAGAGCTCCGATCTCGGTGATCGGGGCTCTCCGGCCGCCGGCTCTGGCGACCCGCTGCGACCGGTGCAGTGAGGGGAGCGCCCTGCCGCCTCCCCCTCAGATGCGGAGGAGGGGGGGGGGGGGGGGGGGGGCACCACACCTTGCGGTTGACCGGACTCACGCGGCGGGGCCCATTAAGCGGCCTCTACCACGGACCGGATTACGGGGGCGCTGTTATCTCGGCGTCATGGGCTGGGAACCCCGGCCGCGAGGCCTCCTGGCGTGCTCGGATTAATCGCGGCGGCTACCGTGTCGGACCTCCTGCGAGCGTGGGGTGAGTGAGATCAGTACGTGCCCCCCGCACGGCCGACGGAGCGCTTGAGTCGCTGTGCACGGCGGGGTACGGTGTGACGTCATAAGGCGTTCTGTAGCTGCCGCCAGCGCCGGCCGAGGGTGTGACTCGTCGCCCTCGTCGGACTGGTTAGGATTCGGGAGAGGGACATCGTGCCTGAAACGGGGCGTCCGCCGCCGGCCGATCGCCGCCCCGCCGCCCGACCGCCAACATCACGCGGCGGCCGGCCGCTGCCGCGCGCCCTGCGATTGATGGATGGCCCTGACGGCTGACGCCACCTGGCCGCACTGAGCCGGCCGGCCGGCCGGCCGCGCGCGCGCGAGCGGACGACCGAGCGAGCGAGAGCTGACTCAGCGTCATCTGCGGAGCGTCACATTCCGCGGCTTTCGCGGCCGCCAGGCGTGAGGCGGCGGGCGAGCGCGACGCGCGGGACCGGCCGCGGCCGCCGAACGACTCGGGCGTCCCGGCGGCGCCGCCGCCCCGGGCCGGCCGCCGCTCATTGTCGTGATGCGGGGGCGGGGCCGGATGACATTGACTGTTTCAGAGAAGCGCCGCGTTTGTTGTCGGCCGTCGCTGCATATTGTGGGCAGTACGCTCCCGCTGGGCGTCGGTGTGTTTTTGCCTGTTAGTAAGCGAACACGAGTTCGAGCGGCGAATCAGGCACGTACGCCTGCTGATGGGTATAGCCGATGGCATGCGCGTGCTATGCTAGGCTGCTGTGAATATTTTGCCTGATGTCTGTTCTCTTTTAGAAGCCCACTCGTTGCTGGGAAACAAAAAAAGAACGCGGAACCGTGCATCGCGCTTGCAGATAAAACTGGCTGTTACATAACTTGCTTACTATTTATGGTCGAGGACTTTCCGGTATCAGTTCATTTGCGTTTTGGGGTGACCAGCTGCGTGATTGAAACAAGATAAACAAACCGGACGGATGCGAGGGCGCGGCGTAAATGGGTGTACTGCGAAATAATTTAGCTGCGACCCACTTACCATTATGTGATTCCACGTAATGTACGCGGCGAATACTCCTCGTTCGGAATATCCAGCTCCTGGGTGAGGTAGCTTATGCGAACCATGTCTAGCCAATCACGTCTGTTTGCAAACTGGATGCCGTCGCTGAAACCCTGAAGTCGCCATCACCTGCCATCGTGACTAGACGGCTCGCTAGCCCACTGATCCTCCGGAGAAGCCGTGCCTTCTTTCGGGTCGGGCGCTGCTCAGCGCTGACGAATCGCAGACCAGCTGCCTCGTCACCTGTTCAGCGGGCGCTCTTGACCAAAGCGCGCCCAGACGCGGTGGGGCTGCGGCTGCTTGTCGCCCCCTCCTCTCCGCCCCGCCAGTCGCCGTGTGTGGTGGGACGAACGAGTCCGGGCACGGAACCTACGGTCTCGACGCCCGGCCTCCGAGACTCGCATCTGTACCCGCTCTGGCCTGCGACCGCCAGGCCTCTGCTGACAGTGGCTCGCACTCAGCCGTCTCAGCCCCGTGTTCCGCTCGCTGAGGTCGTGATCTGTCGATATTCGGGGTCTTCTGTCAGTCGCAGTTGTTCTCTCGCGTGGTTCACAGTGCCGTCCTTGACTACCACGGCGAGGTGCGCGCGCCACGCTCCCGCATCCCGTTGTGAGTGGCCGTGTTCCGTTCGTCAGCGGCAGATGTGCCGGTGCCTCGTTCCAGACGCCGGCTGCAGCCGCCCGCTGGCGTCGCACCAGGCGGCCGTCCACCCGGGCCAGCTGGTGCTGAGGCCCGGCGAGACGCGCCAGCTGACGGCTGCCGTGCCGCCCGGCGCGCTCGCGCACGACGCCGGCGCCGTGCTCGTGCTCTGCGGCGACGAGCTGCTGCGGCGCGAGCTGCGCCAGGGCTCGCAGGTGGCGCCACCGTCGCCACACGCGCCGGCCAATCTGCACGGCGTGCATTTCCAGGTGCGTGTTGGTCCCCGGGCGGGTTCGCTCCTGGCTGGGAATGGGGACCTTTGCCACATGCAGTTTCAGGTGTGTGTCGCCCCCTAGCCAGGGTCGCTCGGGGCTTGGAATGGGGACCCCTGCCTTGCGGTTCCAGGTGCGCGTCGTCCTCTGGGTGGAGTCGCTCCGGGCTTGAAATGGGGTCCTCTGTCTCCTGCAATTTGGGACACATGCCAGTCCGTGTTGCAAAGTCACATTGGACTTAGAGTAAACAGGTGCTCGGAAAGCTCAAGGAAAGACGGAGGTCAGTGTTGGACCAGAGCGGACTTGATGGACAGCGGTGGGCCGAGGTGGTCGTGGTGGGCTTGGGTGGTCAGCGTTTGCGCCAGTTAACTGTCCTATGTGGTGGACGAGTCCAAGAGAAGCAAGCTGTGTTTTATACGCCCTTAGCAGGACGCCGCCGCTGTGTCTTTGTTGTACGCACGATGACCCAGCGGCCGGAGGTGCGGAAGCGGGTGGAGCAGCTGCCAGCGGTCTGTGCGAGCCTCTTCCACACCGGTGGCTGGCTGAGGACCTCGGCATTCGTCATGACCCGTCCTTGCTGTCGTTCGCGCGACAGGCGGTCTTCGAAGGCGAGCAGCCCGGCGCCCTGGAGGGCATGCCGCTGGGGATCCCCGTCTCCAAAGTGCAGGAGGTGTTCTTCGCCAACATGAAGCAGACCAAGCTCCCGCTCATGCGTGAGTGCCGCTGTACACCACAGTGTCATGTGCAGACTGCGTGCATCCTACCTTATTGTTTCTAGTGTGTGGGTTACTTCACGCACGGTGACTTCGACGTCCCGACTGTAAACTAGACTTCTTTTCACCTGCTGACGGCAACAGACAGCCAACAAACGAAGCTGGTGCCTGCGGGCGCTGCACCGGCTGGCTGGGGCGCTCCACAGCGCGGGTCTTCGCTTGTCCAGCGTCATACTGGACACGTTGCGTGGGTTCTGGTGGGACGTCCCCGGGCGGTGCACGCGCCCCACGGGCTCGTGGTGGGCGCCGCTGATCGTCCGGCCCGGCTTCAGACATGGAGGCGCGGCCGCCGGCGACCGCGGCGCCTCCGCAGCAGCAGCAACAGCAACAGCAGCAACATCAACAGCAACAGCAGCACCATCAACAGCAACAGCAGCAACAGCAGCAGCAACAACAACAGCAGCAACAGCAACAGCAGCAGCAACAGCAGCAGCAGGAGCTGGTCGGCGGCGTGCCCCAGTCGAGGTACCGGCCCGCCGCGGCACGCGGCAAGATGTCTTAGCTCCGGACCACACGGAGCCACTGGAAGGGAGCGGGTGGCAATGGAGCGTGTCTCCACAGTCGGGTACTCTGCCGGCACCTTCCAACTGTGTCCGACTCCGAGCTTGAAGCGTTCAACGCTGACACGGCGTTGACACTTGTCGTGGTCAACAGGAGATGACCTGATGGCTGGCCTTCGGCCCCTGTCCGGCGTGTCCCTGCGTCACCGATGTTGTGATTAGCGCACAGTTCACATCCTGTGTCTGATCAGGTGCCGTCGTTTTCAGAAATGGCGCCTACACGGCTGCTGGTCACGCGATAATTCAGGAGCACGTGCCTCGGCAAACGGTACGTGGCATGACCCGGTACTCTTCAATGGTCCGATCATTCCCCGAGCCTGGAACGTCTGGAACGCACCAGGCACATGTCAGGCGAAAGAAACCGGCATTTTATCGAATTACACGACATGCATGCCCTCTGCAAACCTCTCTCTCACGTCGTGTGACAGTTATTTGCGTCCGGGACCGTGCCGGCCTTTCTTGCAATGACCAGGAACTAGCGTGACTTGTGACCAGCAGCGTCACTCTCTGACATCTGGCCCGTTTGGCTTCCTCCGGCTAACCCGCGCCATGACCCCAGCGTGGCCTCCACTTCGTCGCGCATTTAACTGGTCAAACGCAGCCCTGATGTGCGCTGCGCATCCGCGCTTGACATGTCCCCTTCCCCGGCACAGCCGTTCGGCGTGTCCCATCGCCTGACGTGCCATCAAGCACGGCTGTTGATGCCAACGGCCGCGCCGGAACCGTCCCGCCAGGCTCTACCGGAGCTGACCCCGCGGCTGACCTCGGCTCCGCAGGAGCTGACCCCGCGGCTGACCTCGGCTCCGTCGGAGTTGACCCCGCGGCTGACCTCATGCTCCGTCGGAGCTGACCCCGCGAGTGACCAGCCCATGCTCCGCAGGAGCTGACCCCGTGGCTGACCTCATGCTCGGCTGGAGCTGACCCCGCGGCTGACCTCATGCTCCGTCGGAGCCGACCCCGCGAGTGACCAGCCCATGCTCCGTCAGAGCTGACCCCGCGACTGCCCTCGGCTCCGCAGGAGCTGACCCCGGGGCTACCCTCATTTTCCGATGGAGCTGACCCCGCGCGGGGACCGGCCCGTCAGGCTTCGCCGGCTCTGACCCCGCGACTGATCTCCCCAGGTTCCGCTGGAGCTGACCAAGCGCGGCGCGTCGCCGGCCGGCGGCGCGGCCGGTGTGCGGCCGCCGGCGCCGCGGCCGCCGCCGGTCGCCGCCGACGCCGGCTGGTGGCCGCAGCCGCCGGGCGTGGAGCAGCTGGTGACAGACAACGGCCAGGCCAAGCTGCGTCTCTCCACCAACCATCTGATGTTCCCGCGAACGTCGCTGGGCGTGCCGCGCGCGCTGGCGCTGCAGCTGACCAACCTCGGCGACGACGTGCTCAAGTGGAACATCTTCGGCTACAGTGTGCCCTACTTGGTCACGGTGAGGCGCGCCGACCCAACCTCGAGAGCGGAAGGGGGGATCCGATCAGAGGTGGACAGGCTCGCCCGGCGGATGTTAGTAGTTGTGATTGACGGTTGTGAGCTGCATTGTGGGAGTGTGAGTCATTATGTGGTGGGTGGTGTGTGATGGATTCCCAGGAGATTGCATCTCCGAGATTCCTCGCAGGGTCCCGTATCTCCGCCCAGAGTTGAATGCGGAAGTCGGGACGTTTCCAATCGCCTGGAATATTTCTCCAATGTTTCAGCAGTGCTCTGTGCGAAACTAACCATGTTACCTGCTCAGACCCTCCATCCTACGTGACGGACTGCCTTCCCTCGATCCCGCGCGGGCCGCGGCGCTGCCCTGACCGTGCGACCGTGCTCCGCCAGGGGGTCAACGCCATGGTCAAGTGCGGCTACGACGTGTTCAAGATGCGGCCGCAGGACGGCCTGGTGAAGCCGGGCCAGACGGCGGTGCTGCAGGTGACCTTCAGCCCGCCCTACCCCGGCCAGCTGACGCAGCTCTTCCAGATGCTCTGCAAGCCGGCCAAGGACATGCCGTGAGTGGGAGGCGGCTGGGGGCGGCTGTGCCGACCGCGCCGGCTGAGCCCGTCGGAGGGGCCCCCGATGGCTGGCCGTGTCTGGCGAGACGGTCAAATACGACGCACGACGTCGGTGCTGGCGTTCGCTCTGCCAGCAGCAGCGCACGCATTGGTGCAGTCACGGATGTGTGTGAGGTCCGTGTCTCCTCTGCAGGGGGATGCCGATGGTGGTGTACACGCTGCTGGTGCTGCTGTCTTGAGGCTCGTGTCTCCTCTGCAGGGGATGCCGATGGTGGTGTACACGCTGCCGGTGCTGCTGCCTGAGGCCCGTGTCTCCTCTGCAGGGGGATGCCGATGGTGGTGTATACGCTGCCGGTGCTGCTGTCTGAGGCTTGTGTCTCCCATGCAGGGGGATGCCGATGGTGGTGTACACGCTGTCGGTGCTGCTGTCTGAGGCTTGTGTCTCCCATGCAGGGGGATGCCGATGGTGGTGTACACGCTGTCGGTGCTGCTGTCTGAGGCTTGTGTCTCCTCTGCAGGGGGATGCCGATGGTGGTGTACACGCTGTCGGTGCTGCTGTCTGAGGCTTGTGTCTCCTCTGCAGGGGGATGCCGATGGTGGTGTACACGCTCTCGGTGCTGCTGTCTGAGGCTCGTGTCTCCCCTGCAGGGGGATGCCGGTGGTGGTGTACACGCTGTCGGTGCTGCTGTCTGAGGCTTGTGTCTCTCCTGCAGGGGGATGCCGATGGTGGTGTACACGCTGCCGGTGCAGGTGTCAGGCCGCGGCAGTGTGCTGAACGAGGGCGAGGACGAGTCTGACCTGCTGGCGGCGCCGCTGCACGTGTCCGAGGACTACCTCTTCTTCCGACACTGGTCCATCTGCCACAAGCTCGAGGTCACCAACAAGACGCGCGAAAACATGAACGTGAGTGTGTGGCTCGGATTCGGTGGGATCGAAATGGGATGTCCGAACTGCTAACCGTGTCATAGCAGCGAGAAATGGGGCATTTATGTTTGTCGGTAGCAGATTGGTAGTTGGAGTAATAGACTGGTTCCGGCCTTTTCGTGCATGTTGTACCATGACGCCGAGGATTAGGGCGCGCGGTGCACCGCGTGCACCGTGTATGTCCGACGGGTGGGCTCATGTAGTGTCTCCAGCGCAGGGTCATAGTTTCACAGTGAGGTAAGGGGACAGGGGAGCACTGAGCAATGGCGCAACATATCCCGAAAATACGCCAACACACGGGATTCCCCTCTGATTTGCCTCCTCTTTTTTGGATAGTTGGTGCTCCCCCCCCCCCCCCTCTGAATTGGAAACTACATCCCTGCTCCAGTGTCCCCGCCTAAGCACTGCTGTCTGACCAGTGAGCTCATGCGTGCCTCTGTGACCCTCTGTGACCTGTGGGACGACCTGCCGTGACGTGTGTTGACCTGCCGTGACCGTCCGCCAGGTGGAGTACTGCGTGACGGGACCGTTCAAGGTAGTGGCCGGCCCCAACGAGCACAGTCTGACCGACCACACGGAGGGCACCATGCTGGCGCCGTCGCAGCGCTACGTCCAGATGTCCGTCTACTTCTGCCCCAAGCTGGCCGGCTCGTTCTCGGGACAGCTGAGGCTGTCGCTGAAGAACTCGACGTGGCGCCACGCCGTGCGGCTGGAGGGCACGTGTGAGGACGTGGACGCGCTGCTACAGTCGCTGCTGCCCGGTGACCCGTAAGCGGATCTGTGGGCTGAACCGGTAGCCGAGCCAACGGGCAGCCGAGCCGAACGGGCAGCCGAGCCGGGCCCGCAGCCGAGCCGGACCGGTAACCGAGCCGAGCCGACAGCCGAGTCAAAGCAGCGGCCAAGCCGAGCCGGGCATGCAGCCGAGCCAAACCGGCAGCCGAGCCGAGCCGAGCCGAGCCTGCAGCCGAGCCTGCAGCCGAGCCTGCAGCCGAGCCGAGCCGAGCCGAGCCGAGCCGAGCCTGCAGCCGAACCGGGCTGGCAGCCGAACGGGGTCGGTAGCCGAGCCGAACCGGCAGCCGAGCCGGGCCGGCAGAGGTTGCGGCAGTGTGTTGGCAGAGAGGCGAAGGACAGTATCAAACTGGGCCCGGGGCCTGGAGCCGGCCCGACCCGGAGACCGTGTGGGAAACAGGAGCCAGCCCGGCCCGGAGACCATGTGGGAGCCAGGGGCCGGGCCGACGGGACCATCTGTAGTGAGCGCCGACCCGCCGCCACCTGTGCCCCTCAGCAGTAGTGAGCGAGGTGTCGGGCCCGACGGCTGGGGAGGCGCCGGCCGCACGGGCAGCTGCCGGCCGCCGACCGTCGAGCGGTGCACCTGCTACCGTCTGTGGTCCGCGCGTGTTCAGCTGGCGTTGCGCTACCCCTCCAATTGAGGGGTACCGTCCTGGGTTGTTGCTGCTCTGACCCCTAATGATGGACCCGACGGCCTGGATGCAGCCAAGCTGCCGTTTATTCTTTCAGTCGTGTCGACATCTTCGGTTAGATCTGTTAAGTGATTGGGGTTTGCATGGTCGTGTCGTAGAATGTATTTTTGTACGCCCGTAGTTATTATTTCGTGTTACGGTGTTATTTATTGCACGAGGCATCTGTCCTCGTGCATGGGTTACAGGGCTGCTGTATGGCAGCGGCAGTGACTGGCTGTCACGTGTGCTGGAAAACTTATCAGATGACATGTTTGCTTCTGTATTTAGGCCTCCGAGGCTGTGAGACACTATCTGTATTGTAGTCTGTTGTTTTGGATGCATGTTCCTGCGTTTATCGACAGCAAGCTTACTGCGCTATTTTACGAGCATGATTTACCCAGCATCGACCTTGTCTTAATGACCTGATGAGGGCTGCGCGCTGTATCATCCCGGCAGCATCCGCGCAGTGCCGTCTGCCTGTTCCTCGCCGATCTTCGCCACCATGTATTGTCGCCGGCCGATTGGCTGTTGTTGTTGCACCATCATATCACCGGGAATGTTTGAGGTAGGCGACATTTGGTTGCCCTCTCCCAAGCGTGCGTCAGTGGCGGGCCCGGTATTTCTTTAGACGTGTAGTGTCGTGCTGGCCATGGCTGGTCAGGCACCCCGCGCCACCGTCTCGTCGCGTTCGTTCGTGTAGTCCCGGTGTCTTCTGCGTCGCGGCCCGGTTGGACGCGCGCTAGTGTGTGCATGCACTGCCCTTTCCGACTCTCTCCCTTCCCGCGAATCCCGCCGTGCGTGCGGGCGTCCGCTGCGGCCACGGGTCCCCTGAGTTCGGAGTGTTGCTGCCGCCCGCTGTCTCCGGGTGTCTCCGCCGCCGTGGTGTCTGGCACTACTCGTGTCGAGAGGCGCGCTGTGTCGCTGCCGGACGCCGACTTGGCCGTGTGCGACTCATCACAGGAGACGCCGCCTGCCGTCGGGAGCGTGTGTCACTGCCTCGCCTGCCTGCTGCTTGCCAGCCCGCCGGCCAGGAAAGACTGGGCATGGCGCCCTGGCGGATATGGTGGAAATCACTAGTGCCGCAAGCGCCCGCCACCGGCGCCGTCGAGCGGAACTGATAAAGACATCTCCGTGCTGTAAAATGGTCCATCGTTATGGAAAATATATTTTTTGAAGTGGTTGCCCAATAAATTTGCTCACATATGACTTGGAGTTGAAAGACAGCAATTACGTGTCAAAAATTCGACTGAGCGACGTGATTGACGGCCGTGCTGTTTTCCGTTCTGTGCCGGCCCGGCGATTGCATCGAGATGTCGCGGGGCCTTGAACGGTAAGAGTTCGAACGCTTCTAGGAATGGCTCAGGGCTTACAGGAGCTCGGAGTCGACTGCTCATATACGCTGAGCACTTCATAGTTGCAAAGGGTAGCAGAAATGTGAGTGTGAGCAGAAGTCCTGGGGGAGGTGAGGAGAACGGATTTCGGTTCAATTTTTGACATGCAACGTCGCGTACCATTTTGCGTTTGATGTGGGGATGAGGTGTCTCGACGGACCAGGTCCCCACGCCGCCAAGCTCCCACGCCGTTACGCCCAGATTAAATCTGCCTGCCACACCATAACTGTATGACGGCAATGTAAGAGCCCCTCGAATGGGCCATACAGTGGAGAAGTATATGAAGATGCTGAACATACAATTGCACTGACCATGGGGTGTAAAACAATGTGAACGGGTGTGACAACCGGACGAATGCAGTGGTAGACATTCATCCTGCGAAGAACAAACATGCCGCATGATGAAATAATTTAAAAACTGTTACTTTGATTTCAAGCTGCATTCCGTTAAGTGGCTTCCGGCAAAGCATTACATTTTTTGTTGTTACTGCCAGTTCGTGATCAACACTCATTCTCTGTAGATACTTAATGGAACGATGTTTGACCCAGCTCTATGGCCTTGAGTTTAGTCAGCTGACGAAGATTGCCTCCGTGCCGTTGTTTATGCTTTTCTCTACGAGCCGTGGCGCGCGCTGGCAGTACGCTCAGAGGATCGTTGGGGCTCGCGGGGCGCGCGTCGGTGCTGCTGCGGAACGACGTGTCTTGCGCGTGTCGTTTCCGATGGGTTTGATGATAACGACTGTTGTTGCTTTTAATATTACCGGCGGACAGTAAGTGGTTACCGGAAAGCGTCTTATCAGTCACAAGCCTAGGAACACCGATCAAAGCTCCACGATTTGGCCCACGGTCAGCGAGCAAGGTGAGGTCGCGACTTTTATGACTATGATTTGTTATCCAGAGGTGTAGAGATGTTCTCAAACTTCATCAAAAGTGGGAGGGCAATGGCCCACTGGCCTCTACAACGTCCATGGCTGTTAGGTAGGCGTGCCAAATTGTTTTAAGAAACCGTGCGGTGTACGATGGTGATGCCGGTATGTCCAAGCTCCATTATTGGTATGTGTGAGAGCTTTGGACTGGGGTTATCAGCAGGGAAATTGAGTCAATTGGTTGCGATTGATGAATGCAGTTGTTGGGATGTAAGTACCTGCGGTCTAGTGGTTACCATTGTTTGTACAGTACACATTTAGCAGGTTTACTCTGTGTTATCAGGGTTATGTAAATAGGTAAAGTTACCTAAGTGTGTAATATCAATCACAGAATTTGTTTCAAAGATGTCTCATTTCAATATGACATTAGGGAAGGCTTCATCAGGGCTTAGATGACACATGTGGCTTGCTCTTAATACTACCATGGATACTTGAAAACCATCATTGAATTCATTGTTAGATAAATGGAAGTATTGGAAAATGCATGAGGGCAGATGTAAAAAATTACAGGTGCATGTGCATGCTAGCACCTGAAAATTTTCTTTTCTGTTTCAGATGGCTTTCCTGAACTGAAGAAACAGGACATAAACTGAAAAGTCTCGCTGACTTCAGCTTACTGAAACAACCTGACAATGGAGCCTGTAACTATCCAGCTCTTGGAGAGCATTGCCAAGGACAAGGATGCCTGCAGCCTGATGGCATCACTCTTCCAGACAGTCACCAGTGATATGAAGGTAAGCAGTCAGATGGTGCCTGAAGTTATATGAAATGTGGTAGCTATGTGATGTGTATTTTAAACCAAAGTGGGCTGGATTTAAGCCCAGGATAAGTTCATTGGACCATGCCATTCCCAAAAACTGGACCATGCACACCTGAGGCACACTTAACTGGGTTGTCAGGAAACATTTTGAGCTGCGCCCCAGCCCCATCACAAAATCTTTCATATGCCCCTGCTTGATTGATGTGCATCATATGCAACTAATTGCTAATAATTTGTCAGTTACATTCAATAAAGATATGCTAGTTGATATCCCAAGCTCATTGCTGCATTTAATCTATTTGCTAGTAGACATTAGCTGTGTAATCAGTATATAATGTACAATAATTTTTACAAACCACTGAAGAACACAGCCACATTAGTTTAGGCCACAAAGTTTGCATTAGACTGTGAACAGCTAATTCTTGTTTTATGACCAAAATTCCACAGCCAAAGTTGTTTTGAAATCAGATTAAGCAAACTTTGGCCATTATCTCTGCCAGGGTGAAACTTTTCCTGGATCATGAAGTGTGTGAATCATCTGATAATCCATATATTGGGGAGGACTGGGTGAAGCTGGCTTTAAAACAAGTGGACTAAGATTGAATGAGACTTGCAAGTTGAGCAACCTGGGTGGATAATGTAACTGGAGGACTGACTGAACATGTAAATGTTACTAAACAATGCATGAATGTTGTCATGCAAGCTGCCCTTGTTTTTTGTATTTAGGTCAGACTCAAAGTTAGAAGCTTTCTGAGAAATATCTTAATCTGCTGGCTGTGACCCAGTTTATTTCAACATTGTAAAGTGGTGAGCTGGTTATTGGATTAAAAGCCGTTACACTGAAGACTCGGTCATATAATTGTAATCCATGCAGTGGTCTAATCAAGCCACACTTGCTCATCATGTATGGACCCAGGGCATGAGATGGCCCAAGTCCCAAGCAGCCACACCAGATGGATGGCTGTCGCTTCCACATAGCGAGTGCTGCGTGGTCGGACTGTAGGGCCCCTGTGGCCGTCGCTGCGCACGGTCGGACCCCGGTATCCCGCCGCGGCCCCACCGTCCAGCGGAGCCGGGCGCCTTCCGTCGGGCCGTCGCGGGACAGCCGCCGACCGCCGGGATCCCGTGCGCCGCTCGTCCGGCGCGCCGTCTGCCGGCCAGCCGCCGGACCTGCCGGCTGTTGTGTCTGTCCAGTCCGGCCCGTGTTTGTTGAACTGGATCAATATCGATACAGCGCGCCGCCGGCTCGCGGCAGGCGTTGCGACAGAAAGGCGGCGCCGGTGGGCGTCAGTTGCGGTCGGCACTCACATGCGAGTGGCCGCCTGCCCTTCGCCGCGGGCCCGGCGCGATTGTCGCGTCTCCACGGTCGCCGCACGCTGCTGCGCGCGCGGATGGAGATGCCTTCGCGGCCGGCGCCGCGGCGTCCGACGCACGCGCGCGACTGTCAGCCGGCGTGATGGAGAAGGGAGGCGCCAAGGCTCGCCGCCGCTCGCAGCGGCGTCCCGCGGCCCGTGGCCGTGACCCGGCCCCGCTCCACGGCCGGCCCAGTTTGAGCCGGCCCCGTTTGCGGCCGCCGCACGGAGGGCCCGCGCGCCGGCTTGTCTCTGGCCAGGTGGTGGCATCCGGCAGGTCCGATGTCTCCAGGGCACCTGGTGCCTCTGGTCTGTCAGAGGCCTCCACTGCATGACACGTCTCGGGCTGCAACTGGTGCACCGGCCTCGCTGACCCGTGGCATGTCTCCAGTCTTTGGCACCTGTCCAGCTGGATGAGACATCTCGTGCTCGTGATTTTCCCGTGGCGCGGGTCGTGCCCGATGCACAGAGCCTCGTCTGGCCGCGGAGACGCCTCCCGGCCGCCGCGCGTCGCCCAGCTGTTACGTGGGCCACGGTCAATGGGCTGTGACGTCACTGTGCCAGGTGCGGCGCGCGGCGGCCGTCTCCACCGCAGCGGAGGCGGGCCGCCGGGATCCGGTGGCGGGCCACGCCTGCCGCCCGCCGCTCCGGGTTCCGGCCGGACGTCGGAGCGGCGGGGGGCGGCGCCGCCGAGGGCCGGAAGCGAGCGTTCACGAGCATCACGTGCCGGCTGACCCGTTCGACTGCCCGGCCGCCGGGCGGCCCGTGACCCGCGCGGCCCGTTACGGCGCCGGCAGCCGCGGGCCGAGCCGGCGGCCCGCCCGCCGCCGCCGCCGCCGGCAGGCTGAGAGATAACGGGATATCTGGGCTAGCCGGGCGGGGACGCGAGCGCTCCCACGCGGCCGGATCCGCCGGAAAGCGAACCGGTGGCCTACATGGCGGCGGGCGGACGTGATTCGCTGCCGCGCGTGGATGTTTGCAGCACCGTAGCCGGTCACGGCCGTGAGTACGGGTACGGCCTGATGACTCCGCTCGTTGTGAAAGTGGTCGGCCGTGGTTTTGCTGCCGACTCCGGCATGATGTGGACCTGATAGCGCGCGCTGTTTCACAATCTGGCCGCGCCGTGTCGGTGGAGGTTTTTTATCGTGATTGATCAATGAGCGGCCGGCCCTGTTGTATCCAGACTGTGTCGGACGTGGTGCACGTTATCTAGGGCCTGTTACGGATACGGGAATGTCGAAGAGTACGCGCCGGTGTGTGATCCGCATCAAATTGGGCTATCTTTCGCGTACGGAGTTTGTTTGCAATCTGTGCGTGACGGGGAAAGTGGAGTCGCTCGCAAAAACGCCGATGGGACAACCGTAGCTTGTCGTTCAGTGCCGCTGGATTGTAACGGAAAGCCCAGAGCGGCACGTTAGTCACATTTACGACGTGAATTGGTGTTCCTAGTGACACGGTCTGCGGCTGAAAATCAGACTGTTGGGACATGGGGATTTTTTTTTGTTGTACCATTACCTTCCCGTGACGTTATCGTTGACCCGAGCTGTTCATTTACCTGCGCTGGCGCCAATCCTTGCGGGGTATCACAGGTGCGGTCAAAGCAGCATGCACGCTTGAAAAAAGAATAAGGCATGCGTGTTTCAGGCGCCTTCTATTTGTCCGTCGTGAATACACCGACCGCGGCTGGCACGTGTCAGTGCTGACCTTTGCCGTGACGGCCGGGCTAGCTGGGCCCTGCCTATCGCCGGCGTTTGGTGCGCCGCTGCTCGCAGACACGGGGGCGCTGCCAGACTTAGGTGGCACGGCCAGGCAACGGGAGGCAACGGGACGGCAACTAGCAGAGACATGCGGAACGGGCAAGCTCTCCTCAAAATTGATATGAAAGTATTCCATTGGTGCGTACTAGCAACACATAACGCCGCCCGCCGGTTCTTCCAGCGCAGTGATTCTGAAAAAATCGTGCGACTTCGCGTCATTGGCAAAACAGTGTCGAACCGAGCTTTGGACCGGGTGCCAGAGAATGTACAGTGTGTATCATCACTCGCTGGTGTGTCACTACAGCGTTCCAAAATGCATCCAGCAGAGTTTGCAAATGGGAAATATCTGTATTAATGCGTTCATAATTTTGGTTCTCGGGGCTCTCCGAGTAATTCGTTGGCTGCTAATCCGCTGCCCTCTGACGTTGAACCCTGGCATCTGTCGGGTCCGGCCCGGTTCGCCAAGCCCGGGTTGCCTAGATGCTGGGTTGACCGCCGCCCGGTTCAGTACTGGTTCGCCAATCTTGAGCAAGGGGAGGAGCAACAGGCAGTGAACCCGGAGCTGGGAGTGGAGTGCGATGGCACGAACAAATATCGACATCTCGCCACTCAGTTGACCAAATATTGAAACAGTGTTACCACGGCTCGGGGCCCGTCACCTCCACCGACGGCCGCCACCCATTCCGCCCCCGGCCCGACCGCCCTCGCGGCGTCGTGCCGCAGGGAGGCCAGGCCGGCACCGATGAGAACGGCCGGCCCGCTCGCCAACGACTGGGACCGAGTTCGGGACGGCAGCCCCCGACCGCTCTGTTTTGCCGCCGCCCGCACTGTTTATGCCGCGCGGACCGGACGCGACGCGGCCGCTTGTCGCCATGGCGACGGAGCGGAGCGGCGTGTGGTGAACCGGCGACTGTCCCATCGGACGAGCTGAGCTCAGCTGCCGACGCTGCTGACGCTGCGCTGTGGGGCAGGGGGGGGGGGGGGCTGGGACCGGTCAGGCTGGCAGAGGACACCCGACCGATTAACTGGCCGGACGCAGGACCCGGAGACCTGTTCCTGGTACGATTCTGTCACCGCACTTTGTAACGTAAGCTCACTTAGCGGCAGGCGGCATGTGACGACATAGCGGCTTGCATCAACTGGTTCATTCACTGACTCGGCTACGGGTGGCGGTAATTTGAGAAGCTGTTTGCGTTTAGTTTGCAGACGTTTAACACGGCGCTTTCACCATACGGTGATTATGTACCGACCGATGGACGATAATTACGTGGAAGAAGCTGTTGCAAAAGCAATCGATTACTGGCCATCGCTGTTTTGCAGCCAACGAAGCGTGTTACGTTTGATGGTTTATTGGCTGTGGGAACGCGAGGCTCGTTTACTATTTGTGTTGCGTTAAGATAGCGTCGTGCCCAGCTCTGGGCTGTAAAGACATGTACAAAAACGGCTCGTCTCTGACCAACAGGGCTCCCAACCGGTGTGGGAGGACTTCGCCAAGCAGGCCAACAAGCTGCACATATGCCTCAGGTGAGTGGCGCTCGGTCGGCGGTGGCCGGTGTCGCCGGTGCGAACACCGCAAGACCTGTCCCGCCGGACATGCTGTGGAGTGTGCACGCAGCGAGAAGTGGTCCCTGACACGCTGTCGTGGTGTCACGTGGTGTCACGTGCGACACGATCGCCTGTCGGGCG